CATTCTGGTCTATGTCATTTATTTCAATAATATTTTTTCATTTCTATAAAAAAATGTCTCGACAACCGAATTTTTTTTTCTTATTGTCTACCACATTTGTTCATACATTATTGTGATTTGTCAATGTTTAATTCAATAAGAAATTTTAAATGATTGGAATTTACATTTGAAAAATATTTGACAATATTTCCGTTTATTTGAATGGATTCTATTAATAAAAAATTGGTTTTTTTTCACCGAAACAATCATAAGAATCCTCATAAATTTGCATAGATTTTTTCATCACAACATAATTATGGTTGTGTGTGTGTGTTCAATACGCCCATCATCATCATCATCATCAATATTGATGGTACCCGGAAAATCTTAACAAAGAAAAAACTTGTATTAACATCCTCATTGTTGCAACATTATGTTCATTGGCATTATATTTATTTCTATTTATATTACTGAATAATGGTAACAAAACAAAAACAAAAAAAAAAATATCAATGATTATTTTTCGTGTTTTTCTTACATAAATCGTAATTCGTGACCTTCCATGGAAAACACACATACACACACACACATACATATGGATTCATCATCATCATCATCATCATTTGCATATATGTGCCAACTGATTTGTTTCATCTTCTTTCGTTCTTATCATTCTTGTTTTGTTTGGAACATTTTTTTCCTCAATAGTAATCATCAATGTGGATCGTTTAAATGCATTTCTGTTTCTAGAGAGGGGAAACTAAATTGTCTTTTTTTTCATATAATAATCATCATCAATATTTGTTGTTTGGATGTTTTGTTCTGTTTATATGTTTGGATTGTATCCATTTTTGTCGTATAATATCGTATTTAGTCAAAATTAGAGTTTTTTTGTTACAAATGAATTGTATATCGATATTTCCTATCAATAATAATAATAATGATGATGATGATAATAATAACAATAAAATTTCTCTTTCACCTCTTTCAAGTACACCCACTTATTATTATTTGCTATTATCATGAATAATGTTTGTTCGTGTGTGTGTGTGTGTGTGTGTGTATGTTTGTGAATGTTTTGATTGTAATGATTGTCATATTTACATGAGAAATATATAGAAAAAAAACGTATAGTCATTTTTTTTGGGTTAAAAGATATAACATCATTATTATAATAATATGATGACGAAATCTCTTCAAATGATTCTTAATTTAAATCACATTGATTTTATTGCATAAAGAATGCGATTTATTCTTCAACAAGATGTGCTTAAGATTTTTTTTTCTTGCTTCAGGATAGTTAATTTTTTTTCAATTGCCATGTTTGCAATGTGTTGATATTTGACATTTACAGTAACTTGTTCATTCTCGATCTCTGTCTTGTTCATTTGATTCGTGTATTGACAATTTATTCAAATAATAAAAAAAATGAAGATAAATCGATCTGTTTTCCTACCGATGATGATTATTATTGTCGCTTGATGTTTTGATCAGAAAAATATAAACATAATTAGAATCGGGAAGAGAATTTCAATTCGAATGCCAAAAAACAAGGGAGAGAGTGGCAAATGAAAACTAATTTATGTATTCCATATCTAATATCTAGATCGATTTAATATTTCCACCTACATAAATCTAAAACCACAACCCCAAAAAACTACGGCGAATGGTGTGTTTGAATAACTTGTCTTTATGAGCTACCAATGTATTTCCATCTATTAAATCGAATTATGAAATATGGAATTCTCCAATTGAATTACAATGTAGCTCAGGATCGAAAGTATTCGCCATATTGATGATGCTGATGATGGCTGTTTTTTTTTGTTTGTTGCTTTGTTGGTTTGCAAAAAACTTAAAATTCAAGTGAAGTTGGCTTTATTTTTCTTTTTTAATATAGTCTAAAAATACTGAGATGACAAATAATCATGCTTTTGCTATGGATTCCATATTTTTTTTTCTGATGAAATTATAAAATTTTTCTTGTTTTTTTTTTTTTCATGGATAAAACAAAAGTCATTTTTTTCATTGTCCTGCAGGCCATCATTGGAATTCATCGTTTGATGAATTCATAATATTTGTCTTATGTGCGTGCGTGCTGTTTAACAATTTTTATTTGGTCGCTACATCACTATCATTAGAATTTTCAACACAAAAAAAATCTTCTACTTTGTAAAAGCTTCATGATCCAATATGATTTTTTTGCCTTTAAGTCACAAAAACAACAAGAAAAAAAATATGTTCAAACAACAATAAAAAAAAAAAAAATGGGAACTGCTCAACCAAACATCAAGCTGATTTAGCCGAATTTTTTTCCAAAGAATTTTCCTGTAATTCGTGATCATCTTGTATCGATTATTATTATCGGTCATAATGTTATCATCGATCAATGATGATGATGATGATGATGATGCCTTGGAAAATTAATCAAACACATATACAAAACGCATCAAAATGCATTGAACAGCAGAAAATATATGGTCAAATGGATATCGAACATACATACAAAAAATAAACATCGATCGAAACAAATAACGAGAGGGAAAAAGAAAAAAAATTAATTCGATTCAATTTGATGAGATTGGCTCTTTTTGTTGTTTGGTTTAATTTGACTTGTTCATTTTTTCTTTTATTTCTCCATTTGAATCTTCTCCATTCCATCCAATAAACACTGAATGAATCGATCGATGTTTTTTCTCTTGGTTTTCATCTGGTTATTTCAAGAACAAAAGAAAAATAAAAATTCTACGAGCCTTTTAATGGTTGGGTTATTGATGATCATCAATAACTTAATGAATTGACAATCGTTCAATATGGCCATATAGAGCATGATTAGTTAGTGATATTTTTTTTTTTTACATTTGTGGTTATAATCTTTTTCAATCAGCCAAATAATACATGTTGACAACGGCTCTATGAATTTTGTTTTTGTTTTAAAAAACTATCATCTATTTCAATTGATTTCAGTTATTCATCATCATTATCTTTCAAAAAAAAATCATTGAATAAATATAAATTTTATCGATTTCTTAATATTTTTGTCATCAAAATCAAATCAAATCAAATCAAATCGAATTGAATTAAAACCCAATTCGTTGTAGTTTACATACAATACACAACACAACACTAGCATGAAAGAAATTCTGATTCTAAAAAACAAACGGAAATTTTCTTTTCCATGTTCACACACACACACACACACACACACACATGGTAAGAAAATCGATTTCGAAAATCGGAATAAATTATTTTGTTTGTCGACGTGTATCTTCTTTTTTTTATCACAGACACACGCGAAGCTTAGATTTACTCAAGAATGGCAATCTTGAAATTATTTTAGAATTAACATGATAGCTGCTATACAAACAAACACATTCGTAATAGATTCTAATCTTGTATAGACAAAAATCCAGTTACACGAATAACGGTAACATTTGTAACGAATGAATTCAAATTGTATATTTTATTTTATCATCATATTCACAAAATTTTTACAATTCAAATTAAGAAATAATTTTTTCATCTGTATCAGGATTCTGGTTCATTTTATTTTCATCCTGATTCTTGTGTTCACCATTATCATCTTCATTGATTTTGTTGTTGTTGTTGTTGTTGTTGTTGATGACGCATCGTAATCCATGTTTCGAAGCCCATTTTTTAGCCAATTGCCATTCTCGAAAACGTCGTGCACGCCATAATGGTAATTGTTCAATATAAAATTTAAGCCAAAATTTTTGTTCCATCATTATCAAGTTGTTTTCACCATTCATTAGTATTGGCGATTTTTTCCAATCGAATGCTGTTTGTTCGTAACAAGGTTTTTCTCTTTGAAACAATAACGGTTCCAACGATCTATTTTGACAATATTGTTCAAATAATGACCGATCTCCATACAATTCATAATAACAATTTCTGGTTAGATTCCATTCAAGTAACCATCGATGTATTTCTGTATTCAATACGGCTAATCGATGATTGAATTCATTCTTCGTGAATAATGATGATGATGGTGATGATGATGATAGTTTTTCACTAAAATAATAATAATCTTTTTTGATTGACAAAATAAACAGAATAAATGATACTAAAACCAATATGGCTAGTATCAGAATGATGATATTTTTTCTTTTGTTACTATTCATTTTTTTTTTTTTTGATGAATGATGTCAATTTATTCACGTGTATGTATGAAAGCCCACTACATATGATTTTTTTTTAATTTAATTTTATATTTTTGAAACAAAAACGTTTAATGATTTACATTATTTATGAATGATGCATTATCATCCGAGCCATCATTAATTTTTACCACTCGCTCTTATATATAAAAAAAAATTCATTCATGTTTATGTTTTTGTTGGTGTTGGATCTATTATCAAGCAAGCAAAAAAATTTCCTCATAATATAATAGAAGATAAATGAATAATATATGGAACATGGAATTATTCGAGAATGTTTTCTATTTTGTTTTAATTTAAATTATTAACAAAAGAGAAAAAAAAATTAAAGCAAATAACTAAATTTTGAAAATGAATAAATTCATTTGAACTTGGCTTTTGTGTCTGTGTGTGTGTGTGTGTGTGTGTAAAATATTTGATCCACAATGTTTGAAAATGATGAATGTGGTGAAAACGAATTCAAAGGATTAAAAAATAGACCCGGGTATGCGACAGATTTTTTTTTCTTCGTTGGCATGTCAACAACCAACTATTCATTAATTCTAACTAAGAAAAACAAACATGATAAATTCACTTTTTTTTGTGCAACATTCAATTCAATAATTCTGTCTGTGTTGGTGTATATATAGAAATGAAATTCATAATTATGATGAAGATGAAGATGATGGTAAAGTTAATTATAATTTAGCATTTTAGCTGAATCGACAATGTGTGTGTGTTTTTGTTATCCAAAAATCCTTTAGGTTAAAATTTTATTTATGTTGAAGATAATAGTTGTAGTTTTTTTTTGTATTAATAAATCATATTTTCTTTTCTCTCTCTTTCTCTATTTTTTTTTCATCATAGATTTACAACCATTTCCGGTTCTAGTCATACTACATGGTGAATCATATGATTGGCATTCCGGAAATGTTTTCGATGGATCCATATTGGCTTCATATGGACAAGTGGTAGTCGTTACTGTCAATTTTCGTCTTGGAATTTTAGGTCAGTATACAGTTTTTTTTCTTCATGCAAAAGATTTAATCCAACCAATAAACAAGACATTAATGTTTAGTCAATGGACCACCATGAACTATAAACCAACTAGTCACCACGGCCATAGACGTTGATCCATTTAATTTGCCTGACTACATTGGCCTTCATCATTTTGTTTTGCCTGATTTGACCAGAGCTTTTAAGAAAATTATCTTTTTCTTGACTTTCAATCATCAAGATTCGATGCTGGCCATTGCCATTTTTAAATCCGCACCAATAGTTTCTGACTACATTGTGTATGCACACATATTGCAATTGCTGCTTATGGATCTCTGGTATAAGGAGGAATTTTTTTTTCAAACTATCTACACAATAGAAAACAAAAACAACAATCAAAACAATGATGGCCGATTCTCATCTTCTCATTGTTGACTTTAACAATTCCGAATAAATGATTATTATCCTAATTCATCATCATCATCATCATCATCATCAGAATTTGAAAAACAATTCTTTCTGAAAAATATACAGAATAGGCAATAATTTCAACCATAACGATCATAGCAATAATCATTATCATTATTCGTTTGGAAAAAACAAATATGATGGCCAAAAAAAGTTACAAAATTTGACCAAAGATTAGTGAATTAAGAGTTATTATTTCGATTGAACATTCTCGCTCATTCGCTTTAGAATCTATGATTGCCAAAATTCTAAATTTGATCATTGAAGAATACAGACGAATCCGATCTTCAATTCCTATCGAATTTCTTTTTCTGTTCATATATTTATTCTTTTCATACTGACATACAATCAGACACAAATGCAGAAACAATTCAGAAGATAAATTCAAAGTTTTTTTCGATTCCGAAACAGAGAAAAAAAGTTTCAAATTTCAATTTTCTATTTCACTTTTGTTTTTTTTTCTCTCTTCAATATTATTAAAGGATCGGTCACATTAAATGTGTAATGATCTTGTTCTAGTCGAATGAATCACGTCAAAACTCGATTTATTCATTTCAATCCTATAGTATGCTTCTAGTAGTCTATATATTCGTGATTGTGTATTGAAAAAATCAACAATGCTAGAGGGAAACAAAACCTAAAGGGTAAAATATTTAGGCTATCCTGAAAAAAATGAACATGAAAAAAAAGTTTCCTGTTCATGTTGAATTCAATTGATAAGTCATTTTTAGTAATTTTTAGGTATTGGTTACATTGCAAATTTTATACTGTGTTTATTCTCCTATAGGCAAACATGGATCATGATAGATATCATTCGATGAATGACGAAACGAATTTCTATTTGTTTTTTATAATTGTTGAATTTTGTGATTGATCCAATACCGTATATACACACTAACGGGTAATGATCACTTCTCTGTTGATGTTGCAAACGATTTTCATATACATTTTATCATAAAATTGTTAAAAGAACCGATGCAATTAGTACTTTTGAGTGTCGAGAACAAAAAAAATCATTCGGTTTTTTCTTCTGAATGCACATGTATTAACCAAACAAAAAGTGAAAAATTTCTATGTTTCATGCTTGAATAATGATGATGAGTTTTTTTTCTGTTGGTCAAGATGGCAAAAATAATAATTAGAAGAAATTGATTGTAAAAATCCCGAAAACAAACATGCACACATTCATACAGAAAGATAGACAAATAGTATTGTATAACATAAAATCCTTTCGTGGTTGGTGGCTGATTCCATAGTTCTAGTTTTTCAATTTTCTCTAATTAGTTTGTTTTATGGATTAAAAGTACATTTTATCAATTTTTAGTATCTGTTTATGATGGTACAATTCTCATCAACTTTTGTTTTTAATCGTTTCGTTTTGTTTATTATTTTTTCTCCATATGTGCTTATACAGGATTCCTCCCTGCTTTTGCCGATGGTACTATTCGTGGAAATTATGGCCTAATGGATCAAGTAGCAGCATTACATTGGATACAAGAAAATATTGGTGAATTTGGTGGCCAACCATCTAATGTAACATTGATTGGACATGGGCACGGTGCTGCATTTGTTCATCTATTGATGCTATCACCAATGGCTAAAGGTGGGTCCAAATTACAAATTGTTTTTTCCATTTGCATTCGATCTAATTAGTAACACTGAGAATATAAATGTATTTTCCACTTTAAATATGAAAATAATGATGTCCAATGAAAAATTCTTTGTAGAGCCAGTCATATATTAACGACAAATGATGATGCGTTGAGAAAATGAATGAGAAAAAATGTATTTTTATGTGTATAAATCAAATAAATTCTGATACATTGAATCGTGATTCGTAATTCAATTCAATTCAATTTGAAATCATTTACAATTTTCGAATTCCTGGTAGATTTGAGCTAAAGCTTACATAAATACAGTAGTTCATCATAAATAGAATTTCAAGAAAGAATTTCTTTTTAAAAAAAGTCTTGAAGACTGATTTTTTTCGATGTATGTTTCTTGTAGTTTTCGGCGCCTCTTTTTTTTCACACAATCTAAAATGCCATAGTGAATATGAAATTCGTCCGTAGTGTTTTATCTTACTTTTTACGCTTTGATAAGTTTTTTTTTCTCTTCACTACATCAAGTTGTTTTGTCAAGATGATTGCAATTTTGTTTGCAAGTTTTTTTTTCTTCTTACACTACTACCAACACATCCGCAAAATTATCAATCCCGTTACAATAACCATCGTACAACAATGTTTCAATGGAATCAAAAAAAAAAAAAAAAAAAAAATTTTCTTTTGAAAATTCGATCTTCAGTTTTCAAACTACTACTATGATTTTCATCTGGACTGTAAAGAATTTAATGAATTGAAATATTTTCATTGAAAAAAAATCAATGTATTCATTTAGAAAACTGTTGTAGTTTGTTTTCGATTCATATCAAATCGATTCAAATTCTATTCATTCAAAGTTGTGTGTTGAAAATAAAATAAAAAATAAAAAAATTTTTATCCAAAATTCATAACCGAATTCATTCGGAAAAAATAAATGATTCTTTAATATATGATTGGAAAAATTTTTTTTTTTTTTTTTTTTTTCACTTTTTTCTGCTTTATTCAATGCGGGAAAAAAATCACAGGTTTATTCAACCGAGTGATATTGATGAGCGGTTCAGCATTGAGTCCATGGGCAATCGCACGCGATCCAGAACATTATGCTCGTGAATTGGGCAACAAACTAAACTGTACTAATTTGGTAAGTCAAATATTTTTTTTTCTGTGATGATTTTAAATGACATGATATTTTTCTTTGATTCGATGATTGAAGTAAAATTTTTTTTTTAAACGAGTAATTTTTCTGTAACACAATGCAACAGCATGATGCCAAAGCCTATGATATAATTGATTCATCTTAGTTTCTTGTTTAATTCTTTTCAATAACTATGACCAACAAAAAAAAACAAGAGCAAAATCGAATTATAATCGAACCTAACTATGTCCAAACAAATCAGGATAGAAAAAACTCAATCGATACTCATTTAGATATTTTGTTTCTGACATTGAAGGCTTTGTTATTTTTTCTATGTTCATGTCTTGTAATTATCTTTATCATCAATTTTATAATCAGTTTTTTTTCTTATTGTTTTGGTCTGGTCATTTTTTTTTTGATTCTATTCATTGCTGTCCAATTGTGTACCAGTTGGCATGGCATTAAGCAATCAATCGTAAGAAAGCCACTTCTGTTTGTGATGGCTGATTATGATGATGATGATGATCATAATAAAATAAAACAGAAAGTTTGTTGAGGATAATTTGAAAAAAAATTCCAATGTTTTTTCTTGTCCATCAATTGTTTTTAATAACTGTATTAATTGTCTGTATTGGCTATTCCTTTTGATTCAAAGAAAGAAATAGAAAATTCATTTCATATTAATCGAATCGAATAGTCATAAATTGGGTGATCAATCAAATGCACACATACCAATAAAAAAAAAAGTTTATTCGTTTTCAATGTGTGTTTTTTTTTCTTTCCATGGTTAGCGGTTTTTTCACTCTGTTCCTTTGTGATTATTAATCAAAATCGAATATTAATAGTGAATTGACTGATGAGAATTGAATTTAGTCCATCTTTGTATGTGTGTTGAATCGGTATTTAAGTTATTTTCCATTTGTCGAATCATAACATTTTCTTTATCATTTCTTTTTATTTGATCATTTACAATAATAATAATAATTTTTTTTCTTGTTATGTTCAATAAATGTAGGATGCAATGATCGATTGTCTACGTACAAAAAAAATTAGTCAATTAATTGCTCAATATGAAAACATTGCACCCGAACATTTGACCGCATTCGGTCCAATAATCGATTCGATTGTTGTGCCTTTTGATCCGGTTCATATCTATCATTATCATCAACATCATAATGATGAACTTTATCATTCATCATCGCCCTCATCATCATCATCATCATCATCGGAACGAGCTACAAATCATAATAAAGAACGTTCACATTTTGATCCATTAACACTGGCCCGATCATATGATCTGATGGTTGGCGTTACTGATGTTGATTCACCTTGTTTATTCTCCGATCAAGAATCTATTTATGGTGTTGAACCAGATCGTCGTGATCGTATACTTCGTACTCTAGTACGTAATCTCTATGATTATCATCAACAAGTAAGTTGATTCACTCAATAATGAAAAAAAATTGATGACAATTTTCTTTATTTACATGAAAATTTAGGCTATTTTTTTAATTTTATACAATGAATATTCATCATGGAATGCTGCCACTACTAATCCGGTTTCATATTCATCATCTTCATCGTATTTGAAAACGAATAAACGATCATTCGATATACTTGATTCGGCTAAATCCATACTGAGCGATGCATTAGTATTCGCTCCATTGGTCCGTATGGCTGATTTACATTCGAATGGACCATGGTCTTCATCATCATCTCAACAATCATCATTTGGTGGCCGTTTATTTTTTTATTATTTCGATACAAATGTAACGAAACGGAAAAATTTTGAATATTTTTTCAATTTACTAATAATAGATTTACCTTTTTGTTTTTTTTCGTTTTCGGGTCTCTGAACAAATCAAATCATGACGGGTATAAAAAAAAAACAACAGCAAGTGAGCCAAGAATCATTGTACAGTGAAAGCCGTATGTCTTTGGCATCATTATCATCGTCATCTTCTTTTTCTCAGTCAACCGATCAATTGCATTTGTCACCATCCAAGCGAATCGTCTGTTCTATTGAACATGATTTAGCCTTTCTATTTGGCGATCCAATTGCTCATCTCCAATTTGGTCTCAATAGTCAGGTTGGTCCATTCTATTATCCGGTCAATTTGACACAGACACACCAGATTGTATCAGAATTATTCATACAATATATTGTTAATTTTGCTCGTCATGGGTTCGTATTTTTTTTTGTTGAATTTGGATGCTAATTATTTTGATTATGTGTTTAGGGAACCAAATACTCGATCATCACATTTTACAACGACATCTTCATCGTCATCCTCGTTGACAAGTCGACAACAATCAAAAATCAAAAACACACTTACTCAACGACATTTTTGGCCTCGATATGATCTGGAACAAAAAAACTATCTATTATTGGGATCGACAAGTCCAAAACAAATGGATCATCGTCAAAATCATCGCCTTTCTCTATGGCTTAATCTTATACCACGATTGTTGATTGATGATCATGATTTTTATCAGACGAATTTTGGTGCCAATCTCACTACTGAAAATGAATCAAATGATCCAAACAATCCTCGTAATAACATCATAAAATCATCATACAAATTGCCATCTAGATTTTCGTATTACTCACGAAATTTTCCCAATTATTATTATGGTTCCACTAATTTTTCAACAACAGGAAATTATGGCGGAAACGATCGTGTGATTGGTGAAACTTCTAAACATGTAGCTGGATCAATGGCTATGGCATCTGAACCATATTCTAGCCAACAACAGCAACACGAAAAACAATTGTATAGACAACACCATCTTCTTGTTGATTACGATAATCCCAAATCCTATGATGGTATTGTTCGAACATTCTCAAATAATACAAATACCTTGAATAACACTAATAATAATAATAATAATACCGATTCCCTTGGATCAAACAATTCTCACAATGCATCAATCTTGGAAAATCATTCAGCTGCAACAGCGAATCTTTCATCTTCATTGTCATCATCGATCAATCATAATTGGTATAATGTTACACATCTTCCAATAAATTTATCAGATATTCATGGCGATGGAAATCGATTGTTACATACACGATATGATAATTCCGGTATGAGCATCGGTCATCCAATGTTTTATGGACCAGTTCCCGATGGTTCGGCATCATGGTGGTTGATTATGATTGGTGCCGCTTGTGCCATATTATTCTTTATCAATGTCATATTTTTTATTGCTCTTTTCTATCAATTAAAAAAGAATCGCAAAGTACAGAAAAATCAAAAATCTAATAACGACGACAAAAACGTTGAGGTAATTGACTCATCGATTCCATCATTTATTCGAATAATTTATTAATTTCTTATTATTGTTTATAGATAAATAGTATACAATCAAAATATCCTATATCTGGTGATCAATCTCCAAGCGCATCGGCAATGTTTAACAATAAATGTGGAAATAAATATCGTGAATCAACTCTAACCGATCAAAATGTGGATGATAATCTAATGATACTACATACGACAAGCAATAATACCAACACCTTTAACCGTAAAAAATCAAGTAATATAGATGGTCCTTCTTATAGCATGTATCCGGCACCTAGTGATCACAGACAGCCAATAAGTTTTGAATTAACACCATCGGATATAACGACAACTACTACATCAACATCAACAAATACATTGGGTAAACGCACAAAGACATTATCGTTTGCACATCAAGGACCCGCTACATCTGGTTTAAATGATCATCATACAACAATCCTATTGAATCATAATCCAGACGATATAGGTGGAACTACGGTTGCTACAGGAAATTATGTGCCTTTTTTAACCGCAACTAATTCGAATCCTACAACATTATCATCGTCGCATCAACAACAAGCAACATATTATTGCCTTCAAGTTAATGCAACAAATCATACAAATCCTAGCAATGATGCAGGTGATTATGGTGATCAAATGATTGATGATGGTACAACAAATACAATTCAATTGCAAACTCAACAGCAGCCATCATCAAATACTGGATATCATGAAATGTCCGTGTGAAAAAATTATCTATATTTAGCTGTACAAAGTTTTGTTTTTTGTAATTGTTAAAGTTTTATTCTGAATTGAAAAATGAATAAAAATCGATTTTTAATTGTTCGAAAACCTAGTCTAAATTTTTGTAATAAAATTTTGAAAATTTTGTGTCACGTCATTGATGAAGGGCATATGAAATTGAGTTTCATATGTCCATGCAAAATGCTATGGCACAATCAAACTGCTGTGCTTACGTGTTCGTTTACAAATATTTTTTCTTTTAATTTTTTAATAGATTTGATGATCGATCGATGTGGTTTAGGATCGGTACAATAGTGAACTTTGAAAAGATCAAGGATATTCGCCAAAAAACCAACATTTAAAATTGAAATAATAATATTTCATACCATTCATATAGAAAAATTTATTCTTGTGATTCAACATTCAGTTTTTTTTGTTTCTCTTTTCCATTTTGAAAAAATAAATTTTGCAATAATTGATTGGTGATAATTTATCGTTTCTTTACTTGTTTATAAATAATGAACAATTTCATACAACAAAATCGTAAACAAGAATTCTTTTCCAAAGCCGAAGATTTTGCAGATGAGGTAATAATGATTCATTATAAGCGACAAATATTCATTATTCTTTTTCATTATACTTTCAGTTTCTTCGGCGTTCCAAAACGATATTACCGACCGTTGCTCGTGCATGTCTTGTATCAACATTCATTGAAGATGGTTTTCGTATGTGGGTACAATGGTCAGAACAACGTGATTATATGAATGCACAATGGCATTGTGGTTATTTTATTGCCACATTATTTGTCATAATCAATATGTTTGGTCAACTAGCTGGATCAAGCTTAGTGTTGACACGATTTTATGTTCAAGCAGCTTGTTCCACATTGTTTGGCATTGTAGTTTTACAAACATTTGCCTATTCAATACTATGGGATCTGAAATTTTTGATGCGTAATATGTCATTATGTGGTGCTTTACTTTTATTATTGGCCGAATCACGTGCCGAAGGACGATCAATGTTTGCCGGTGTACCAACTTTGGGTGAAAATAAACCCAAAACTTATATGCAATTATTGGGAAGAATTTTGGTGATTTTCATGTTTGTCACCGTTTTACATTTCGATATACATCCGTTGATTGTTTTACAGAATATCGTTGCTATTGTATTGATGGGAGCAGTAACTGTTGGATTTAAAACAAAACTCAGTTCACTCATACTTGTATTGTGGCTAACGGTTTTAAATTTCTATTCAAATGCATTTTGGACTATTGAATCTTATAGACCAATGCATGATTTTCTTAAATATGATTTCTTTCAAACATTATCGGTGATTGGTGGCCTATTGATGATTGTATTGCTTGGTCCTGGCGGCATTTCTATCGATAATCATAAAAAAGATTGGTAATGTTCAATGTTAATCAGAATGTCAATCTCAATCAAGTTTTATTCAGACAAATATAATTCGATTGAATTGAACCAAATATCATATGCCGCCAATGACAATCATAATCACCATTATAATTAAAATCGATGAGTTTATCATCAAACAAACTCAAAAAAACAACATGGATTTTCGTTTCTGTTCAAGTTAATAAAGATGTTTGTGTATTTGTCCATGTACAAGCATCTTTTATTTTTGTAATTTATTTCATTTTTTTTAATATTGATTGAAAAATAAAAAATAAAATGCATTTTAAGATTAGATATAGATGGCGCTTGATTGATTTACGAATTTTCTATCTTGCAAAATTGTTTATTTAAATGTATGGCTGTTTTCGATATAAGACGTTCTTTTTTCGCCATAAATTAACACAATTGGAATGTTTATTTTGTTTTTTTTCTGTATCTCAATACGGAACCCAAAGTAACCAAAAGTAACCCAAAGTAATCAGTAAACTCAGTAATCAGTAATTGATATAAAGAGAAATGTATGTATGCGGCTAAAAATCTATTGTACAGTTCTTTGGATGACGATAATCATGATAGAATCATCGGATGTAAAAGAGCAAAGCAAATTTATCAAGCATTGAAAGCAGGTAGCATCAAGGATCATCATCAGCCGAATGGCAACATTTAGACAAGATATTGATAATATCGAAAGATTGGTCACTACATTTTCTACATATCCAATTATTGTTTCTGGTGATTTTAATGCACATCATCGTGCTTGGGGTGGTGAGCTTATTGTGGATCTTTTGTGCCGTCTAAATTTGGTGATTTTAAATGATGGAACCATGACTTTTGATAATGGTCGGTGTCAGTGTGCTATTGATCTAACTTTGGTTAATCAACGTGCGATTGGTCATGTTTCCGAATGGAATGTTGAAGATATCATCATTATTAAAAATTATTATTGAAAACATCATTATTTTGTCGCCTTTTTCTGATACTGTTGCTGATCTTATGTCTGCTGATGATGTTGAAATGTTTACTAACAATTTGATGGTGTCTATCAAACAAGTATGATTCGAATCGTATCGTTGGTGATTGCTAATACTGTTCCGATTGACTTGAAGATTCAGTATTGGTCAGAAGTTTTTGATGCCAAAAATCTTTCTGCATCGGTATTTGGTTCTTTTCAATTACCATTAAAGTATGCTGATACAGTTCATCCGGCTTTGATCACCTCTTTTGATGTCCATGGAATTTTGTTGTGCTTTGCATAATTATCTTATATTCACGGATGGTTCGAAAATTGATGGTTTGGTTGGCGCTTCTTTTGTGGTATTTTACCGGGATGATTGTTGTCCGGTGGCGATTCAATCTTTTCGTTTAGCTGGTCAATGTACTGTCTTTCAAGCTGAAGTTTTTGCCATCGAAAAAGCTTCTGATTCGATTGTTGCTAATAATATTATTGATGTTCAGATTATTTCAGATTCGAAATCTGCAATTCAATCAATATGTAAAATTTATTCATATAATCGTATTATACAGGAGATATTTCGAACTTTCACTGGTTATTGTGGTCATCTATGTTTTGCCTGGACGAAATCGCATGGAATGGAATAATCTATTCATTATTATAGCATCGAAGCTATCCGTTTGGCAAACGTATGACTTTTAATCAGCTGGAACCATTTGTCATGGGGTCGATGACGGCAAAAGCTGTTGAGAAGAAAGAGATCGAAATCAAAAAAAGGAGCCTGAGACCAAAAATATGCTGGCTATGGCAAGACGAAAGAAAAGTTTCAAATGTCACCAAGAAGGTCATATTCGACTCTATGGAGTCAGAGTACGATGATGATTTGTGGAACAATTATGCTCCGGTGGTAAACACCGACACCACTCGACTAGTCTTTTCAATAATCGCCACTTATGACATGGATATATAATCCAATTTGATCATGATGTGTATATCGAACAACCAACCGAATCGTCGAATCTATTTATCGCAACCAAAACACGACCCGATTTTCGCTTTATTGTATCTCGTTTTGTGGTCAAACCATTGGACGCGTACATGTGTGAAAGCTGTAAAACGAATTTTCAATCATCTTGCTGGCACACATAGTTTTGGTATACAGTTGGGCGCCGAAAATCCTATCGTGTTGAGTGTGCATTCTCTGATGCTTACTTGGCTGGTCGTAAAATTGATCCGCGGATATGTGGTGATGATGGCAAATGGACCGATATTGTGGCGTACTAAAACACAAAAAAAATGGTGGTGGACAACACGTCCGAGGCTGAATTTATCGCATGCAGTATGCAATCAATCAGCTATCGTACAATTGAATCAGTTGGCTTCCCCTTCTAAATTCAAACATATTGACATTAATGTTTGGGGTTCGGGAAACATTAAAATTACTTGAACAAGTTCGGAATCGAAAAAAAATAAAAAATTTGGAACGCTTCACGATTTTGCGCGTCATCCTTAATGCAGGGGCCATGCTAATCTTCTCTGTATCGTTCCAATTTTAGTATATGTCCAGCCGACACCGGACAATACAAAATGGATACACGGAACCCATTTAAAGTTTCCCAAATCAGACCACGGTTCTATTACAGTATTAATGATGCTAATTAAATACTTTGATGCAAGAAATATTGTTATATAGTATCCGGCGCAGCGTTTCCCAAAGTGTGGGTCGCGAGCCGGCACTGGGTCGCAGAAAAATTCAGCTGGGTCGCGGCGAAAATTGTAAAATCACAAAAAAATGTTGTTTCATATTATTACTAGTTGGTTATTCACTAGGAATAGTGCCAAAGTATATATTTGTGCTCTTTCATAGCGACGTTAGCGCGTTGTGCAATCTACGCAATTAAAAGTATCCGCTATCGCCGTGTGAAAGCTGGCTTACTATTGTCAATTCAATGAATTGAATTTAAATTTGCAAGGCTTTGGTTTAAATATCTTCAAAGTATCAGAAAAGGTCGCTGCAATAATTAAGTAACGACTTTTAAAAGGAAATTTTAAATCTTTTGAAACACTACATAAATTTATTGAAATCCATTCAAACTACGATGAAGAAGATTGAAACATCTTGAAACATTATCAGTTTCAATTCAAGAACATCTTTCGATGCTAATAAATAGTTTTAAAGACTACTTTCCGGGTATTGCCTCAAATAATATGAGCAATAAAGATCCTTTTTCTGTCGAAATTGAAAAGGAAGAAATGCTTAATCTTAGTGAACAAGAAGTTGATAATTTAATTGAAATTTCATCGATGATAATTTAATTAATCTTAAAAAAGTGTTTGAAACTGCACCACTAATTAATTTTTGGTTGCGCTGTCAAAAGGAATATCCAAAATTTGTTTTGTAAATAAATGTTTTTTTTTCATAAGGTGGGTCGCAAAAAATTTTAAAATCTCGTACCGGACCGTGGATTATGGTGAATTCTATCGAATATCAACTAGCTATAGATGGATGGACCAGATACCGAGACCGAGGGGAGCCCGATATCACCACGAACAGTGATGATGATAAAAAGACTGAAACAACAACAATGATCATAAAGATGGCAACAAAAACTCTTATGACGAAGGTTTCTGGTTTTTGGGATTGTTCTTTCGGTTGTGGCCATGATCACATTCTGGGCATATTTCAAGATGGCTAATGTTAAGAAGAGTCCTGGAAGTATTGATTCAATATGTATATAATATTCAATAGATAGGCTTTTAGAATGGTATAAATGATTTTTAATAATAATGAATAACTGGTAAACATGCTTAATTTATAGAACTATTACACCATTCTTTAAGTTTTGCAATCTCCATTTTTCTATTGCAAAGAGAAAATTTCAATTATTCAAAAATTTCTTGCCAAGAAACACAAACTTACATTTGACATTCTTCGATGTAAACTCAGATCCATTATCCGAACGAACCACCAACACGTCTTTACCAGTATCAACTTTGATTTCATTGACAAACAATTTCAGATTATCAAGAACTTCACTTCTAGACCAAATCAACGACAGCCAGTAGATAATATTGGTTACCATGAATCGAGGGCTTCATATAACCACCAATATCCACATGTATTTTCATGCCAAAAGTTTAGTTGAATCAATCAATTTGTGACTTACATCATCACCACAGCATTATTATAATTGATAACATTCATGTCGTCATTTGTTTTTGCCCGTTTAATATTCGTTGTTGTTAGACTATCTTCATCCATACGATTATGAAACAAATAATTTTAAAATGGTAATTTCATTTCATTAATTATTGTTTTAAAACATAACCATTCTGGATTGAATCATCAAGCCATTTATTAGGCAATATACGAGGAAACTTTGATTGTTTGTCTGGTAGTAATATTATTGTTAACAAAAATGGCCAATCAAAGTTTACGACAATCACGCATGTTATCATATATAGCCGAATTTACGACTGATTTAAGTCATATTAGTGGTACAAACATTACCATTCGCTGACGCATTAACATGTGTTGATTCAGATTCAGCTACAAAACAAGAAGAAGAAAAGAATCGATCCAACAATTCATTCGTGATAATCAACCATCAATAATCATCAAGTGATCTGCCACGAAGAGTCTAGCAGGTTGCGTCCGTTTGTCCCAACCGATTTTCAATTTGGTACATAGTCTTTCTCTTCGAGTGATTTGACCATTTTTTTGGCTAAATCTTCCATTTGACCAATATCAGGTGGTGATATTTGGAAAATGTTTATTGGGAGGCTTAAGAATGATTATTGAAAATTTATGCCGTATTGGCCGTCTGTAATTTTTGTTATTACTGATTTTATTTTTTCATCATGAACAATACTAGTGAAATTAATGAAAATAAAATTTATTAGTGGAAATCAAGAAATCACCATTTTACATACTTTTCTGTTAACATATGATTCAATTCGATTCTTATCTTTGATTTGTGAATAAGTGGATTTACGATAAATTTATTTACCATAAATTACCAAAACACAATTAAAAAGGTGCAATCACCTGCACATGAAATGGGTTCCAAAGGTTTGTTTGAAACCAAGTAGCTCGGCTACTGCTAAATTATCTCCTATGATGAATGCCAGTTTAACTGGGACATGAATGTTGAATTTTTCCAGGAAATTTTCAAGGAATCACAATATCAACAATTTTTATTGAAATAATTGGTCTTCCGCTAGCGGCGTCAAACACTGATTCATTATTCGTCACAACACACGGTGACGTAATCGGTTTGGGTTTGTTTGTTCATATAATACGTTCTCGTCATTCGCAACACTGGTGGATGTGGTGTTCGATGGTTTTGAAGATGCAGAAGAAGTTGATGGTTTTGAATTGGATGGGCCAGACGTCGATGATGTGGACGCTCATGATTTTCATCCCAAAAGCGTTTCTGACACTCATCAGTAGAATGACAGTTTCGTTTGCAATAGTCAGACTTCACATGGTTGCGTTTTGATGATGAAGATGGTTTCTTGTTACTTTTCTTCTTTATGGTATTGACAATCCTGTGTGTTTTAGATAGAATTCGCATAGTATATGAGCAAAAACGTTGCTATAAATTCTTCAATTAAGATCATCATTTAAGTTATGAATGCCAAGAATCCGATTGCCCAATCTGCGGCCAAAATCATAATGAAGCTCTTTGCCTTACTAATTTCAATCCGATTTCATATAAAAATTAAATTTAAATCATGTCCGTCATTTATGAGTAATTCATTGTAGCTGTAAAAAATTTTTTTACAAAAACCCCTTTATAATGTATTTGATTTTCTTTTTCTTCGTTTTTCTTTCACTTCCTTTTCCAAATCGAATTTAGACTGTATTTCGATTTTTTTTGCATTTTTGTTACCTGAACTCGTCTAACTTGAATCTGAAAATATATTATATATTATTATTCAAATTAAAAATGGAAAATGAAATCAAGTAAGTTGAACTTATTATCATTGAATTATATCATAGAAAATTAATCTCTGTTTTAAATAGAGATGGGATGTATAAGGAATTGACCGATAAATATGAACAATTGAATGAAAATTATCAAGAATTAAATGCGAAATAGGTACATAAAATATATTCTCAAAATTCTATTTCTATTTTCTTGGAATTCATAATTGAGTTTTTTGATGGGATAAAAAACTTTTTTAACATAACGTATTACACATTCCCCGAATTGCCCAACCATTTAATCATGGCTTTATTAAGCCAAGCCAATAATCCAACCGATTCGAAATTGGAAAAGATAATCAAAATAAAATCTATGTTGCCAAATGATTTGAGTCTTTGACGACATTCGTTAATTATTTAAAACCAGCCCGAGAACAGGCGCCTGTCCTGGTCTGACTTCGCGGGGCTGACTCCTTGATTTGTCAATATAACTGGATACCCGCAGGGATGGCGCTGCGCCGCCCCCCTGCTTGGTATCCAGTCAAAGGTATCAATCCTTGACGGTCAATATAGCTGGATACCCGCAGGTGTGGCGGCTGCGCCGCCCCCCCTGCTTGGTATCCAGTCAAAGGTATAAATCCTTGACGGTCAATATAACTGGATACCCGCAGGTGGGGACGGCTGCGCCGCCCCCCCTACTTGGCATCCAGTCAAAGGTGTCAATTTTAACGCTTCGTGCCTGACGGTGGGTTTCTATGCACGGCGTGTTGCTTCCGGCCTTCGGTTTGGTACCGCAGGGTCAGCCATCACTTGTGCATTGCACCTGATACCTTTGAAAAAGTTGCGTACACCGAACAGCATACTTATTATTGCTAATCGATAAGTTGAAGAAATACGATATTTTTGGTATAAATACTGTGGTCGTTGTTGATCTTCCCCTCAATTTCCTAAACAAAAATCTTCAGATTATTAGGATTTTTGCAGCGGCAAAAAGCCATATAAATCATTCCATGTTGCAATACTGGTGTAGGAAGGTACACACTTATTTTATCGAAAGATTGCCCTTAAAACAATAATTAATTGTCAGAGCAAAAGCCAATACGACAGGAAATTGTCCACGCACCAATTTAAATGGTAGCTTAGGATCTTGATCGTTTTGCTGCAAAATGAATCATAGCCTCCTTGTCAATATTCGAGCTTCAATGCTGCGTGTATTTACAAATAAACGCATGCCATTGAGCAAACCACTTGTGGTTCAATATTGCGACTGAACATGATAATCGATCCAATGTTTAATCCAAGTTTGTGTCTATAGATCCTATAGGATAACCTTGTGGGTTCATCGCATGAAGACACTCAACATTGAATCTTAAATGCTTTTCTTTATTTTAAATGAAAAAAGTTATCAGGTATCAGGTATTTTAGGTATAATCAGGTTAAATAACCGAAATAACTTACCAAACGATGAGTAGATCATAGATCACGGGAACAAAAACAAAGAAAAAATCATTCCAATGAATACAGTCTTCAGGCAAGATTTCATCATCAAATACACACTCACACAGGCAAACAAAATGAAAATCACGTGCCACATGTATTATCACAATAATCAATTCGAAAAATTCGAATTCGAACTCTTTCTATGTTCTATTGAATGACTGCACCATCTATTGGATGCAAAATCTGCAGCAAAGTGTGCTGAGCTAGAACAATGAAAAAAAAGCTTTGTCAAAGCTACATACCACAGAATGCGTTTCTTTGGAAGCGACTTCTACTTCTGAGCTGGACGAACTGTTCAGCGGCATTCAAAAGTTTTCACCACTGTTCGATATGTTCAGACACACAACACACACTGAGTAGCTTATACTAAATAGTTAGGTTTGTACTGAAAATAAGTAGGAATGGCCGGCTCAGCTTCGCCGCATTAAATGCCAAGTTAATACTCTTCGTCGTGATCGGTGCTATATTTTAAAGATATCGGCAAAGCAATTGATGATTTTCTCGATTGATTTTTTAATTATATTACAGGCTAATAGTGTTAAAAGAAAACTATATGAACTTGATTCATCAAACAAACAGTCTTGATTGACTACACATATAAATACCACAATACACATTCAGTGTGTTGCTACTGTTTGTTTGCTACACACACAGACCATCATCTATACATCATCATTCTCTTTTGTATCACATGTTTTGCTTTCTGTATTCATTTATACGTTTCTTTCCTTCTTTCTGGCTAAATAAAGATTAAATTAAATATATACTAAATATCTTCAACAAATAGCCAAAAAGATATGATGAATGAAAATTCAGAAATCATATCAATATATTCAACACATGATTCGAGCATAAAAGGCTTGATCTTGACAACAATAATGGGTCGGGATAAAATGAAATAAGTATTACAGATATACAGATATAAAATTGTAATTATAATTTGATTTTCTTTTCTTTATCTTTTTCAGCCAACAATACAACAGAAAAGCAGAAAGCTGAATTTACACATTTGAAACCAAATATTGTTGGGGTACTCCCCTAATTTCACAATTAAAAAGTCTTGAAATAACTACATTTTCATCACCTTCACTGATTGATACAGAATTATCTGATTGAACATCTTCTACATTTGGAACATATCCATCATCATTTTCACTATGAAAAAATGTTGATGACGATGATGAGTGATTAATTGAAATTGAGGTTGTGCTAGTTGATGGCTTCCACCCATTTCGATGACAAATCAATACAAGCAATCAAGTACCGATTATTACGTTTAGATGAATTCATGTCACAAATATCGATAGACCAAGTATCGTTATTTTCCAATGATGAATAATCGATTTTGTTATATCTTAATTTGACTTGATTATCATGTCATATTTATTACTTGTAGCCATCAAATTTTTATAATTGATAACTTTTTTCCAAAAAAAAAAAATTTGGGCATTAATGGGTTAAGTCGTGTTACATCCAAACTGAGGTTTTGCGAAGGACGTGTCAGAGTGTTCTGATTGACTTCAGGGCCAACAAGGAGTTTCCTGTTGACCTGGAGGAGATCATGGACGATCTCTGAGTTTTTTTATTGTTTATTTATTTATTTGTTAATATGTCTGATTATTATTGTCATGTTTCGACTATGTTAAAAGTGAAAAATAAAATCTCGTTCATTTGTTTTTATCTCATGACTTATTTTCCTGTTTGCAAATGTATCTGATGTTTCACAAATTTTTACCAGTCCCGCCAACACTTCATCAATATTTTTTGCCGCCAGTGAATCAATAGCTTCTCGGTGTTTTTCGAATATTTCACCAATTTTTTTTTTCGCCTATGATAAAAATTTTTTAAGGCCTCGCGATTTTCTCGGCCCTGTGTACTGGTATGTATTATTATACAATTAAATTTAGAAGAAAATTTAGATATTATAAATGTGTATGTAAATAATTGGGGGGCAAATTTATAAGTGATCGGACAATTATGGTCCATACCACTATCCTCCCCAACAAATAGGTTTTATAAGCGAGGGGGAGGCAAATTTATAAGTGATTATGTGCAAACCACTATCCACCCCCAACACTGACTATTTTTTAAATTAATTTATATGTAATGTGTAAATGTGTATTGTGATAATTGGGGGGCAAATTTATAAGTGATTGGCAATCACTATCCTCCCCAACAAATAGGTTTTATAAGCGAGGGGGAGGCAAATTTATAAGTGATTATGCGCAAACAACTATCCACCCCCAACACTGACTATTTTTTATATTAACTCAGGCGGCCGCGATGGGATTTGAACAGACGTCGAATGTGTATATGTGTGTATATATGTTAATGTGTGTAAATGGGGGAGGCAAATTTATAAATGATGGGGTAATTTCCCCCAAACCATTATCCTCCCCCATAATATAGTATCCATAAATGGGAATATATAAATGATATAAATCCCAATATTTACAGGAATACAACCCTTTTCGCTGTCCCGATTAGCGCTGTTTCGATATAACGCTGTGCAATTACATTACATTGCAATACATTGTTACATTGTATATGAAGAGTAAAAATGCATTATGTAAATTATGCAAAAATAACCCCACTTTGCGCTGTTTCGCTTTACGCTCAATATTTTTGGAACGTAACCCTGCGTTAAGCGGGGTATTACTGTATATTTGTATTATATCACTGTATATATGTAGCATTACTGGCTGCGCATGCTTCTGCCTATTTCTACTTTCCCCTATTTCGACCGAGAATGTCGGTGAGAGAGAACTAGCACGTTTTTCAGCCGAAAATTCCGAGTCAGAACACTAACACACACAACTCGACAACAAATAAAAATCCGATTTTCACAAACGACAAAAAATTCATATTCTTTTTTATTGAGAATAGGAATAATAATGAAATTTTGATCGCAGTAAACTATTTCTACTTAAGCTGGGTTATTGGTTAAAATAACCAAATAAACAATAGCGAAGCAAATATTATCAATATTTTAACCAACAAGCAAATTTTCTTTGTTCGTTTTCAACTAAATTTTTTTGGTTTTGTAATTTCATCATCATCGATCTGCCAAAAACATACACACATAATCATTCATCAACCAATTAGTGAGATTGAAAGAAAAAAGCCAACGATAAAATTTTTTCCCTTATAATGGATGATTTTCCCAATAGACCACTGAAGGTTTGGTATGCGTGTGTGTCATTCGATTATTGATCATAAATTTATCATCAAATTGTTGATAGTGGTAGTGGAATCAAAATACAAATATTTTCCATATAAAACATATATTTAGCATCATATCATTTATGATGCTGTTGATGATGATGAAATTTCATCATCAATATAATTTTTCATTGTTTTAATTATTTAGCTATTAGTATAGAAAAATTCTGATCGAATGAATCCAATTCGATTAATTAGATTAATAAAATCTCAGGATGTCATTGAATTGTTCATTTTGTCTACAACAACGACGGCGATTGTTTTTGCAAACAAAATATTCTTATCAATTTGTCTGCAGAAATATTGTAATGAAATCCTTCTATAATCTGCTAATTTTCTAATTTTTCATCCATTCACACAGGCACAAGGCAGTAGTCCACCAGTCAAAAAAAGTCGAATAGACGAGCCATGTCAGATAGAACATATCTTGTTACGTCCAAATATTGGATCCGTTGAGAAAGTCACCAAGGTAAGATATCTTTTGATCATTAAAAATTCAATCATTTAATTGATAAATCTTATTTTCATTAGCAAATGTGGGTATATGACAGTCAATGGTTTTAGAATGGTTTTACGTGATGTTTCATATGTGCCCCAATTATATAAAATTTTTGATGAAATTCTTGTAAATATTGCTGATGATAAAATTTGTGATCAAAAAATGACCATTATTAAAATCGAAATCAATATGGAAAGTGAAATAATTTTTTTTAACAATGGCCGTGGAAGAACGTTTCTGATCCCACATCAAGATATTAATGGTGCTGAAACAATTGTTTTCACAACAAGGATTTTTGGCAATATTTTATCATCATTAAATTGTATTAATAATAACGCTACAAGTGTATATGATTACACAAATAGGATCCCATTATTAGTGGTAATTGATGGTTCCATTCAAAATTCACAGCTAAATTAAATTTTGCTCGATACACTAGTGGTGGATTCATCAAATCAAGCAAAAATTTTTATTTACATCGTCCACGAAACACGACACTTGATTTTGATTTTCAACATAACGGACAAATAGCCAATTGTCATTGTTTCAAAAATCATTGGCGAGCTTATTGGTCCACTATTGATCAATGTCATCGAAGACAGTGAAGCTCCTACTACTTTTCAAAAACCAAAAGGTTTGAAAAGACTACTAGGCAAATGGTTATTACCTAAAAATGGATGGTCTAATGACATCATTTGCTTCTGCATCAGTTCAGCTATTGATTTCACCAATAACATTTGATGATAAAAACAAGTGGCTGTTGCCTCAAGATTGAAATATATCGTTTTAGATATCATATGATTGGAAATTTGTTCAAAGAGCAAGTCATAGACGTGGACTGGTTTAATCCTAGAAAGGCAACCATATCGATATTGCGGTAAAGGAACCTTTCTATGGTCAAAGTTGGAAGTCAAGTCATTTGTTGTAGTTTTGTGACGTTCCAATCTTTATTTCCACAAGAGAGAGTGTTGGAATTATTGAACAAATAATTCCAACAGTTTTACATAAACAATTTATGAATTTGGATCATTTGATTCAGTATCATAAAAATCAATACTCCGAATATTCGATACTATTTTTATTGACGTTACAACATAACCACAATATAACAATTTTATTACAACAAATTGTATTACAATAACAAATAATACAACATAAACATAAAATTTATCTACCAGAAGTGTATCGAGCAATATTAATATTGCTCGATACACTTAAAGAACAAATGTAATTCTAACAAATTATATTTACATTTACATGTTTATGAATGTTTGTCGCATCCTTTGATGCTCGATCATTCGGATTTCGATCTGTGGGATTGTTATGGTTTTCATAAAATTCCCTGACATACACAACAAAATATGTGATACTTTTCTTTTTATTTCCCATTTTTAATTACTAATTCAAATTTTATGATTATATATTATCAATCAATTGTTGCACATTATTGTTTTAAGTATTTTTTGAACCAATTGCTGTTAAAACCATCATTTGCGCTTCACTGTCTCCAATGACATTGATCTTTAAGAAATAAGATGCAAATTGTCTGATCAGACAGTGAATGCGCAAGTATTTTTAAAATTTTGTTTTCAAAAATTTCAATCATAAATAAAAATTTCTTAAATAAAAATTAAAAAAAGTTTTCATGTTATTAAAAAAAAATAGGAACCGTTCGTATGCATCGAGTATTATGGCAATGAACAACGAGACTATCACATATATGGACAATGAAATGAAAAGATAAAGATAAATGCGACTAAACCACCATATAAGACTTTTTTCACATAAGTGGAAAAAAATGTAGCAAACATATCATCACCGTTTATAAGTGAAAACAAACATTCCAATGTTGAACTAAGCGTACGAAATTTGAGATGATGAGGACCAAAAACGACCCAACCACAAAAACAAAATCCTCTGTAAAATGATAAAATTTTTTAAACAATTTTTAATAAACTAATGATGAACAATTACACTAACCCATAAACTAAAAATGCACAGAGACAGAACCGCAAAACGTTTGGAAAAGATTTCTTCAATGTTACAATAAGAGAATGTTGCATGATTGAAAATAGGCAAAATAACGTAATAATGGAAACAAAACCAAAAGATTACCAATCCCTAAAAATAGCGAACAGCTAACAGAAAAAAAATTATAACCAATTTAATTTGAAACATAAATATTTAACAAACCTATTCATCTTTTTTACTGATACAATTGGACTATCACCTTTATGGTTTCTACAAATTGATAATAATGATGAACCATTGTTGTAGTGAGAATCAATTGAATGCAAAACGAACAATATTTAATAATAAATATGTCGTGGGATCGTTTGTGAAAATCGGATTTTTATTTGTTGTCGAGTTGTGTGTGTTAGTGTTCCTGACTCGGAATTTTCGGCTGAAAAACGTGCTTGTTCTCTCTCTCGGTCGAAATAGGGGAAAGTAGAAATAGGCAGGAGCATGCGCAGCCAGTAATGCTACATATATACAGTGATATAATACAAATATACAGTAATACCCCGCTTAACGCAGGGTTACGTTCCAAAAATATTGAGCGTAAAGCGAAACAACAGCGCAAAGTGGGGTTATTTTTGCATAATTTACATAATGCATTTTTACTCTTCATATACAATGTAACAATGTATTGCAATGTAATGTAATTGCACAGCGTTATATCGAAACAGCGCTAATCGGGGCAGCGTTAAGCGAAGTATTTCTGTAATGTCGTAAAATATGATTGTTATATACGACCATAATTACGTTCTATATCATGGGGAGGATAATGGTCTGGGGGAAAATTACCCCATCATTTATAAATTTGCCTCCCCCATTTACACACATTAACACATAAACACGCATATACACATTCGACGTCGGTTCAAATCCCATCGCGGCCGCCTGGGTTAATATAAAAAATAGTCAGTGTTGGGGGTGGATAGTGGTTTGCGCATAATCACTTATAAATTGGCCTCCCCCTCGCTTATAAAACCTATTTGTTGGGGAGGATAGTGATTCGGAGCGCATTGTCCAATCACTTATAAATTTGCCCCCCAATTATTTATATACACATACACACATACTTATATCTAAATATAAAAAAATAGTCAGTGTTGGGGGTGGAGAGTGGACAATCACTTATAAATTTGCCTTCCCCTTGCTTATAAAACCTATTTGTTGGGGAGGATAGTGGTTAGGAGCGCAATTGTCCGATCACTTATAAATTTGCCCCCCAATTATCAAATACACATTTACACATTACACATAAATTAATTTAAAAAATAGTCAGTGTTGGGGGTGGATAGTGGACAATCACTTATAAATTGGCCTCCCTCGCTTATAAAACCTATTTGTTGGGGAGGATAGTGGTTAGGAGCATAATTGCTGATCATTTATAAATTTGCCCCCAATTATCACAATACACATTTACACATTACACAATTAATTTAAAAATAGTCAGTGTTGGGGGTGGATAGTGGACAATCACTTATAAATTGGCCTCCCCCTCGCTTATAAAACCTATTTGTTGGGGAGGATAGTGATTCGGAGCATAATTGCTGATCATTTATAAATTTGCCCCCCAATTATTTATTAAACAAATTAATCTCGAGTATCAAAATATGACTTTATTGATCGAACGAAAAAAACGAATTAATAATTACAACTATCATTTAAATCACACAACACTTCATGTGCTGACTTTTTGGCCACATTACAAGTGAACACTATATCTGATCCTTTTACCGAAGTTAAATGAGCAAATTGTTTCAAAAGTAATGGTGATTCTGTTAGAAAAAAACAGAGGAAATAAATTAATTCAAGTAAAATGAATTCAATTAGTTTTAACTTACCATTTCCGTTAATAATTAACGTGTGGAATATTAACAAAATGATGAATTGAATAGACCATTTTAAAATGATATGACCACTAAACCGACAAAACATTTTGAAAAATGCCTTATGATTATTATGATGAACAGAAAGAGACAGCATTATGTGAAAACAATCAAACATTGGTAAATTTAGATAAAAAAAAATAATGATTTAAAACTGAATCAATAGCGCCGCGTTTTGGCCGAAAACATGATCAAAAACAAACAAACAAACGGAAAAACAATCAACTACCTTTCACTTGAAGCAATGTCCATTGAATATCGATTCCAAACTGATTGCCTACGATACAGGAATAATTTCCAGAATCAGAAGCTTTCAATTTCAAAATGGTTAAAAATGATAGAAAATTATCTGTTTTAATCTGATATGATAATTCCGGATTTCTATGTCTAAGTAATTCTTGTTCATTTTTAAACCATTTGAACGATAGTGGTGTTCAACCACTGATAACCGAAAATGGAATATTCAATACTGATCCTTCAGATTGATTCAATTCTGTTGAAAACAATTTAGAAATTCGAGGTGCATCTGAAGGGAAAACAAGGGATTTACATTAGAAACGTAAAATTAGAAAAAAAAATTCTCCAACCTTTTGAAGCATAAATAACCGTGAATGAAATACAGAAAACAGCAACAATTTAAACATTGTGAATGTTTTTAAACATTTCACAACACAACACAACAACAACAAAATGATAATCAATTCAAGTAGAAAAAATGAAGATGACCAGAAAAAATTAATTTTGGTAAAACAAATTATGCATTAAAAGGGCCACCTATTGGTCAAACAAATCACGATTATAATAAATAGCAATCAAACCTTGTATGACAAGTTTTGTTGTAATCGAATCAGTACCATGAACATTCCTGGCATTACATGTATAGGTTCCGGTATCATCATTTGAATTAAGACGTTTGAATACAATCGATGACATTGTATCATAAATAACAATTTTATATTCAGTCGAAGATAATTTCTTATGATCATCTTTGTACCATTCAAAAAATATTGATGTCGATCCTGATGAAATGGAACATGGTAATATGTATGATGAATTAATGGAAAGATTAATTTCAGATGCAGGAAATTTATTCAAAATTGGTTTGGCTAAAATTATTATCGAAAATAATTATTCAGAAACATCGAAAACAAAAATTCAAATGAATTACCAGCATCAATTGAATGAAAGTAAAAAGTTGAAAAAATCACCGTTAATAAAATTATTATCTCAGAAACAATGTGTGTTCATACTCTTAAACTTAAGTATACATTTCATGGGTAAAATTATTTTATGCAAAACAAAAAAAAATTATAACCCACAAAATGGTAGAATTAGCGCCATATATTGGCCAATAAAAAACATTGAATAAATTGTTCAAACCTGTAACCGTTAGTTGAATCCAAAGTTTATCGAATCCGAATTTATTGGTAACAACACAGGAATAATTTCCCACATCATTGGAATCGATATTTCTCAATGTAAAAAAAGAGAAAATATCTTTATTTTCAATTGTCGATCGTCCAGTATTGGATAATTCAACACCATTTTGAACCATTGAAACCGTAATGGTTTACTGCCTTTGGCTACATTACAAGTCAACACAAGATCTGAACCTTTGGTTTGTTCATTTTTGAATAAAGTTTAACGAGTACTGGAGATTCTAGATTTAAAAGATAAAAATTGAATTAATTGAAGCAATGAATAATTGACAAACAGACTTACCATCGCTGTGAACAGATGAAATAAAAATGATCAAAGCGAAAAACTTGGAAATAAAATTCAGCATTTTCACAGGCAAATTTCTTGTAACCAAACATTGAATGTGAGTAACACAATCGAAAAAAGTATTAACAACACATAAAGTGTTGTGTGATTTAAATGATAGTTGTAATTATTAATTCGTTTTTGTCGTTCGATCAATAAAGTCATATTTTGATACTCGAGATTAATTTGTTTAATAAATAATTGGGGGGCAAATTTATAAGTGATTGGACAATTATGGTTCATATCCTCCCCAACAAATAGGTTTTATAAGCAAGGGGGAGGCCAATTTATAAGTGATTGTCCACTATCCACCCCCAACACTGACTATTTTTTAAATTACATTATGCGCAAGTGTAAATGTGTATTGTGATAATTGGGGGGCAAATTTATAAGTGATTGTCCACTATCCTCCCCAACAAATAGGTTTTATAAGCGAGGGGGAGGCAAATTTATAAGTGATTATGCGCAAACCACTATCCACCCCCAACACTGACTATTTTTTAAATTACATTATGCGCAAGTGTAAATGTGTATTGTGATAATTGGGGGGCAAATTTATAAAGTATGCGGCCTCCACACACACACATACCACTCACACTACACAACACCACCACTACCACTAATGTCACACACACACAAAGGACACGACATGTATATAAGTCATGACACAAACACTGGACACACACTTGTTGTTTAACCTTTGATTAGTTGACTAATAAAGTTCTTCTTCTCAACCGTTGCACGAACGTTACTGGTGTCAGGACGGATTCGAACTCAACGTGTAAATTCAACGATCAATATGGCAACATTGTCAACTACACGGCGAGAAATCTCTCGTTTACATAGTCGACTATTAATTCGACAATTAAATCCGGAAGCAGAAAAAGAAAAAATCTTAAAGCTTGCCGAAGATCTGGCCAATGAACATGATCAAATATGGTCGTCAAATACAGAGCCGACAACTGAAGAAATCGACAAAATGTCGCAATATCAAGAAAAACTGCGAGAATTATTGCAGGAAGTGGACCCGAAACCAAAAATTTCCACTAATGCAGCAGCAGAAATACCGAAGATCAAAATTAAATTTTCCGGTAAAAAGCAGGACTGGGCAAGTTTCCTCTCGCTATTCGAGATTGCCACAAGAGAAGCAAGTCCACAAGAAAAATTCCTGATACTGACAAATGCTCTGCCTAATCATTTAAAACGTGATCATCCGACAACACCGAATGCTGAAAGTGTCGAAAACATTATCAATGCGCTGAATATCACATTTGGACCGATCGACAACAATCAAACATTGGACATAGTCGAACGTTTTAACCCTGGTTCAAAAACACCATTATCATCGACATCAGGCAAATTGTGTGCTCTTTATTATCAAGCAGTTTCTCGGGGTATCAACAAAGAATGCATAGACCGAGTATTCAAGAAGAAAATACTGCAAATCATGCCGTTTAGCGTGCTAAACCAATTGCCAATAAACAACGACGTGGAGATGATAATCAACAAAATGGCCGAAATAGCCCATGTGCAAACTCAAGCCCTTGAGGCCAAACGAGCAAACCAACAACAACAACAACGCTCATCTTATCGACCAACACAGCATGACAACAAAAACAAGAAATGTGCATTATGTTCAAGGTCGAACCACAACAGCATGGCATGTACCAGTGGCTCAGCAAAATCACGAAAACAGATAGCTCAACGTCGTGGTTTATGCCTCAAATGTTTACGACCCAACCACAAGGCCAACGAATGCCGATCCAACATTAGTTGTGTCAAGTGCAAAGGACAACATGCCACCTGCCTATGTGACAAAGCAACGATCAATACATCGGAGATGGCGCATGATGATTCAAGCGACGAAGACCAATTCGACGATAACGACGACTTGGTAGCTTTAAACTAAACCGCCCTCCCAGGCATCTAATAGAATTCCCTTTGTTTATCAATAAAATCAAAACTTTGGCATTATACGATACTGGTGCAAATTTTACTGGAATGTCAAAAAGCAAAGCGGAAAATCTAAAAATCAAGTGGCAGAAGAAATCGGGATCTGCATATATGGCTGACGGAACAGCAGTCCAATGCCTCGGGAGGGCTAAAACATCGGTAACGATTGGTAGTGAAACCATGAAACCACAATATTTGTGTTCGACAAACTCCACCACGACATCGTAGTTGGAACGGACACTATCGAAAAATTTCTATTGGAACAACGAGTTGGTCTTAAAATCTTTCAACACAACAAACCGTTGTCCAACATGAAAAACGAAACAAAAACGTCTAGCAATCAACAATTGTGTCGATCAAATCAAACGACAATACAACGACGTATTCACTGGGTGTGGAAAAACAGAAAGAATGGTCCACAAAATCGACGTCTCATCAAACCGATTAATACGTCATAAAACCCAAAATATACCAGTACATTGGAGAGATGATATTGCCAATCATATCAACGAATTACAACAACTTGGCATTATCGAAGAATCAAAAAGTGAATATCGATCTCGCATAGTACCAATCAAGAAAAAAGACGGTTCGGTTCGGCTAGCTATCGACTATCGCGACTTAAACAAAATCTCAAACAACGATGCTTTTCCGATGCCAAGAATAAAAGACATCCTGTTCAAATTATCAAAGGCAAAAATCTTTTCAAAAATGGATCTCAAACGCGGATATTATCAAATTCCAATGGAAGAAAATTCCAAGAAATATACCGCTTTCGCCTTCAATAACAAATTGTATCAATTCAAGATGATGCCGTTTGGTCTAGTGGCAGCACCACAAACGTTTCAACGATTAATGGAATCGATTCTTGGTCATCTTGATTTTGTAGAATGCTACCTCGACGACGTGATAATATTCAGTGAAAATGAACAACAACATCAACAACATCTCGATCAAATATTCAACATTCTCAGAAATGAAAATCTCAAATTGAATGAAGAAAAGTGCCAATTCTACATGAAAGAAATCGATTACCTTGGGTTCTCCATCAAAAAAGGACATCGAACAATATTGGCTTCAAATAAACAAAAATTATTACAATTTCCTCGACCATCCAATCAGAATGAAGCCAAAACATTCATCGGTTTGGCCGGCTATTACCGTGATCTGATAAAGGACTTCGCAAAAATGTGCAAGCCGTTATATGAATGTAGTAACCAGAAGAAGTTCAAATGGTTGCACGAGCAAGAAGAAGCCTTCAATCAGCTGAAAGAAGTGATCAAGAAAAATCCGACGATCATGATACCGGATATGTCACAAAATTTACCGTAACAACGGATGCCTCTGATAGCGCCATGGGAGCGGTACTATCACAAACAATCAACAATGTCAAAACGCCAGTTGATTTCTTTTCTAGAGGCTTCAACGATACACAGAAGAGATATTCAACATACGAGAAAGAAGCTACAGCTTTAATTCAAGCCCTAAAATATTGGCAATATTTATTGATTGGAAAACCGTTCATCTTGGAAACAGACCACAAACCATTGAAATGGCTGCTGTCCAAGAAAGATTGTAACGATTGTCCACTATCCTCCCCAACAAATAGATTTTATAAGCAAGGGGGAGGCAAATTTATAAGTGATTATGCGCAAACCACTATCCACCCCCAACACTGACTATTTTTTATATTAACCCAGGCGGCCGCGATGGGATTTGAACCGACGTCGAATGTGTATATGCGTGTATATGTGTTAATGTGTGTAAATGGGGGAGGCAAATTTATAAATGATGGGGTAATTTTCCCCCAGACCATTATCCTCCCCCATAATATAGAACGTAATTATGGTCGTATATAACAATCATATTTTACGACATTACAGAAATACTTCGCTTAACGCTGCCCCGATTAGCGCTGTTTCGATATAACGCTGTGCAATTACATTACATTGCAATACATTGTTACATTGTATATGAAGAGTAAAAATGCATTATGTAAATTATGCAAAAATAACCCCGCTTTGCGCTGTTGTTTCGCTTTACGCTCAATATTTTTGGAACGTAACCCCGCGTTAAGCGTTGTTTTACTGTATATTTGTATTATATCACTGTATATATGTAGCATTACTGGCTGCGCATGCTCCTGCCTATTTCTACTTTCCCCTATTTCGACCGAGAATGTCGGTGAGAGAGAACGAGCACGTTTTTCAGCCGAAAATTCCGAGTCAGGATACTAATAACCTTTTACTTTTTCTTTTCTGTGTATACACGAACACTAACACACACAACTCGACAACAAATAAAAATCCGATTTTCACAAACGATCCCACGACATATTTATTATTAAATATTGTTCGTTTTGCATTCAATTGATTCTCACTACAACAATGGTTCATCATTATTATCAATTTGTAGAAACCATAAAGGTGATAGTCCAATTGTATCAGTAAAAAAGATGAATAGGTTTGTTAAATATTTATGTTTCAAATTAAATTGGTTATAATTTTTTTCTGTTAGCTGTTCGCTATTTTTAGGCATTGATAATCTTTTGGTTTGATTTCCATTATTACGTTATTTTGCCTATTTTCAATCATACAACATTTTCTTATTGTAACATTGAAGAAATCTTTTCCAAACGTTTTGCGGTTCTGTCTCTGTGCATTTTTAGTTTATGGGTTAGTGTAATTGTTCATCATTAGTTTATAAAAAAAATTGTTTAAAAATTTCATTTTACAGAGGATTTTGTTTTTGTGGTTGGGTCGTTTTTGGTCCTCATCTCAAATTTCGTACGCTAAGCTAACATTGGAATGTTTGTTTTCACTTATGAACGGTGATGATATGTTTGCTACATTTTTTTCCATTGATGTGAAAAATCATTAAATTGAAATTCGATTGATGATTATGTTCGAGATCAATTCGGCGGTTCCATTGTTCATCAGCATCCAATTCAAGAATAGTTTGACCATGTTCAACACATGATATCAGATTAGGCTTAGGACATGGTCTGAACTATTTCCTATTGAATTTGATGCTGATTGAATCTTTGGAATCAATGAAGCGATCGAAAACATGATTATAAGTTGAAGATTCATGGGATGGAACACATACTTGAAAATGATCATGGTAAGCAAATGAATAGATTAATTGAACAAACAACTAATATTTATCTTTACTTAGGATTGCCGGCGAACAATTGGGAAATTGAATCTCGAACCACGGATAGAATTTGGACATTGTCTTGGAACATGGACCGCGAACATTGGATCTATTTCAAACGGGACAATTAACGTTGTATGGCGCAATTGGGATGTGAAATATGGATGTATTTTATTATATTTCTAATATTTTAATAAATTAATATATCAATAAAATCAATTAAATTTCAATATATCGATTAAATTTTAATGGGGGGTAAAGGCAATAAAAGGGGGTAAAAATTGCTGCAACAATCGCGTGATGAACGACACAATCGATGATTTCGATATATCGTTGCAACAATCGCTAGGCAAAATTGCTCATAACCCAAATTGGTTAGTACTAACCTTTTTACTTTCTTTTCTGTGTTAATCCGAAACTATAGAAATTCCAAGATTTTTGAAACAAATCTATCTGATAATAATGGCAAATGAAACATCCAAATCGGACATTGATTACACTATATTATTACCGACATATAATGAAAGCGAAAATTTGCCCATAATCGTTTGGTTGATCATCAAATATGTGAAGTAAGCTATTTTTTCTTCAATCAATTGTTTTATTCTCTCTTATTTTATGAATATTTTCCATGTAGAGATTATCGATACGAGATTATCATCATCGATGACAATTCACCCGATGGCACATTGGACGTAGCCAAACAACTTCAGACTATTTATGGCGATGATAAAATTGTTTTGAAACCAAGAAAAGCTAAACTAGGACTTGGAACAGCCTATCTTCATGGATTAAAATTTGCTCGAGGCAAATTCATCATTATCATGGATGCTGATTTATCACATCATGTAAGTAGAACATTATCATGATATGATTGAGGTTTTTGATAACAGATTTTTGTCGATTGTTTTTTTCATGTAGCCCAAATTCATTCCAAGATTCATTGAAAAACAAAGAGAAACTAACAGTCATATTGTCACAGGGACTCGCTACGCCGGTGATGGTGGTGTATATGGCTGGGATTTTAAACGTAAATTAATATCTCGTGGTGCAAATTACCTAACACAAGTGTTATTACGTCCTGGCGTTTCAGATCTGACCGGCAGTTTTCGTTTATATCGCCGAGAAGCATTGGAAAAATTAGTTGAAAGTTCTGTTTCAAAGGGTTACGTTTTTCAAATGGAAATGATGGTTCTGGCTAGGAAATTTGGCTACGAAATTTCCGAAGTACCAATTCAATTTGTTGATCGTGTTTATGGACAATCAAAAATGGGAAGCAATGAAATCATTCAATTTGCCAAAGGTTTACTATATCTTTTTGCAACTCTATGAATATTATGTGGCACAGAAAAATATTTTTTTCTACATTCGACATCAAATAAATAAATAATGATTAAATGATCAATGATTATGATTATTTTTTTTTTAAACAAAATAAAAATTTACATGATTAAAAAAAATTTAAATACCTGCTCTATGAATGGACCAACTGCTAAAAATAATCGCACATTTTTCCACGCGTGATTTTTTTTCAGGCAAGATTTTTCTTAAAATCAATTTCTGAGGATAATATTGTCAACGAAAAAAAATGAAAAATAAATTGCCACGGTCAAAATCATCTTCATCTAACGATAATAGTGATGGTCAGAAAACAGATGAGAAAACATTTGTCATCGAGAAGAAAATTCATGAAGCTGTTGATGTTCTGAAAAAAGTGGTAAATAATCAAAAGAATTCAACGAACGATGAAGGCAAAAAACGATTGTTTGAACAGGATACTGATTTTGTTTTTCTACAATTTTCATTGAAAAAAGTTCCATTGAATAATTCAACATATATTCATTATATTCCATTAAAATATCATTGGCGTCATGAATTAAGCTATGAAACATGTTTAATTGTTAAAGATAAAAATGAACAACCATTAACTGATCGAGATGCGGATTTGGAACAAACAAAAGATTTTTATCGCAATCTTCTTGATGAACATTCAGCGAAAGAATTAATAAGTGAAATATTACCGATGCGTCAATTGTTGACAGAATTTCATCCACCTGCTCTTCGGAAAAGACTTTCCAATGTATACAACGTATTTTTATGCGATCAAAAATTATTACGTAACAAGCATTCATTTTTAAGCCGTTTTCTTGGAAAAGCTTTTTGGATCGATAACAAAAAAGTGCCCATATTGCTAAATTTTAATGATAAAAATCTAAAAGATCAAATTGAAAATAAATTGAATCAAACTTCACTTTATGTTTCGGGTAAAGGTTCTACACAAACCATTCGGATTGGTTCATTACAACAAGATACAGAAAAATTGACAGCAAATCTGATGGCTTGTTTGGAGAAAATCAAACAACTTTATGGTAACAATGTTCGTGATTTGGCAATCAAAACTGAAAAATCCAAGTCTATTATATTCTACATGGATCTTGGTTCGGCCAATGAAATTACAATGGAAAAACGTAAAGAAAATGAAATGGATGAATTTGTTGAAGAAGAATTTGATTTCATACCGAATGCTAATATTCGTGTATATAAAGATGGTCGAATTAGAATTGTAAAACGTGACGTTCCTGAAGAAGAAGATATTGAAGATGATTTGGATAATCTTAAAACTATCAAAGCAATCAACACTGAACCAGATGATGAACAATGGACACGACGATTGGTGTTTAATCGTCCGGAAAATTTGCGAAAAAGAAAAATTATTCAAAGACGTGTTTTCAAAAAAATCAAAACTAAAAAACTCAAAAATAAGCAGTAATTTTTATAATTTTTTTTTCTTGAATATTCGAATTAAAAAAAATTTTAACAAAAAAGTTTTTTTTTTATTTAATGTACGTAACGTCACTTATGTACGGGCAATGCAAAGCGAAAAAAAAACAATTTTGGCGCCTGTTTGCGCGCTTGTTGCTTGCTTTGCCAATGTTTTTAAACAGCCGATGAATTTTTTGACCTTTTTTCTCATTTTTTTCAAAATTCCAAACTTGACATCGAATTGAATGATGTATAATATTGTTTCAATTTTGCAGAATCGTCAATATCATTTGACGAATGGACGACATTCAAATTCATGTCCAATTTTACAACGAAATTTTCTACCACCTTCACGTTTCGATTCGTTGATGGTTGAGCAACATTATAATTTTATCGATTCTAATGCTACATGTGATTCACCGATTACTGCCATAGCTCATCGACCAAATAGTAGAGAATTTCTGTTGGCGAATGACGTTGGCGATATTGTTGTTCTGGAAAAATCATCTTTTAGAGAAATGAAAAATTTCATGGACATAATTGTGCCGTATTCGATGCCAAATGGCGACCTGAACATTCGAATCAAATATTGACAGCAGCTGGAGATCGTAGTATAATTCTTTGGGATATCGATCGAACCGATCAATCATTGGCCAGTTTTTTTCCAGCACATCAAGGCTCAGTTAAAAGTCTTTCGTTTCATTGCCCAAATACGTTCATCAGTGGTGGGCGTGATGGTGCCATCAAAATTTGGGATCTTCGTACTTCCTGTATTCTAAGGCATGGACCAGTATTATCTATTCACGATCCTCACATTCATATTTTGCCATCGATTAAATCACCAAATTTTCGTTCATTAAAATTTCGTCGACAAAATCCCATTGCATGGGCATCACAAAATGCAAATTATCATCCTTCCAATGTTGTCACTTGTGTTGATTTCCATCCGATTAACAATAATTATTTCTATAGCTCTGGTATAGCTGATGATTCGATTAAAGTTTGGGATATACGTCAATGTCGACGACAATTCCAATGCACTATCGTGCCGACACCAACAAAAATTCATACGACCAAAAATATTTCATTAACATCAAGTATCCATGGATATTCATCCTTTTTCATTTCCAATAATGGTTCGATATTATATGCTTCATCTACCAATGGAAGCATTTATGCATTCACTAGCAATTCAACGTATCCAGTTATGATTCTATCTGGACGATATTCTAATTCACAAACAAAAATTTCACCATTTAGTGATGATTACCTATTAAGTGGTTCGACAAACAGCCGATTTTACATTTGGAATTGCAGTCTTCGAAAACCTTTTGATTCGAATGATGAGAATTTTATATCGATAGAAAATCGTTTACCGTTGTTTGAAATGAATTTCGATCATCAACAAGAATTATCATTAATATTTGGTGATTTCAGTGATCAAAACATTTATTGTGCATCCGAACCGCATGTTCTATGGAAATGGTCTTTCGGTATAGGAAGACATCAAAATTCGAATGAAGTTGAATACATGCAAGCTGGTTATCAGCCAACCCTTCAACGATTCAAAAATCCTGAAAATCATTCGAAAATGATAAATATTAGCCTGAAAAGAGCGTCATCATTTGAAGCAATCACTCACCGAAGATCATCAAGTTTAACAAGGCCATTATCAACCATTACGAACTGGATATCTTCAGGGACAAAACGATTCAAATCAAACGACAACAACAATAATAATAATGATGATGATGATTCAGCCGAATCGCCATCATCTATAAATGGTGATAGAAATATTGATAGTAATAATGATGGTCAGGAAAATCGAAGATCCAAATCAACATCACATAAATTAATAACTAAAAAATGTTCACAAACACGTGGTTTACGAAAAAATCTAAAACGGAATCTATTTAGCGATAATCGAAAAATTAGTGAATTTTTCACCAAATCTTCATAGAACACTGATAATGATTTAATAAAATTTTATTTTTTAAAATAAAAATAACCTTTCTATTGATGTCTGTGTGTCTGTATGTGAGTGTGTTTGTTTTGAGGAAAAAACAATTCAATAAATAATGTTTGAAGATCTTTTTCGGGAGAAAAACAAAATAAAATTAAAAAAATTGATAAAAAACGGATTTTTGATTGGGAATTTAGAAAAAAATAGGAATGTGATGAGTTGAGGTTGATGATAATAATGATAATGAATGATGGATGACCAGGATACATGTGAGCAAATGTTATGATTTCAGTTCAATTTTTTCCGGATGAAAATGATAATGATATCTATCATACTACTTGGTATATTAATCTGATTATTATTCTTAATACATTTGTACCGGACACAATTGTTTCCAATCGAATGTTCGAATAGAAATCTGTCCATCATTTTCATCATCTTTAGCTTGTCCAACGTTAATAAGATTTACCGGTCCATTTGTTGAGCCGATTTTTGAATCATATGTTGATAGTTCCGATTCAGACATTCTTAAGCCGGCCAAGCTAAATTGAATTGAATTTTAATTTTTGTTTGGAAAAAAAATCTATAGATCAATTCTAATAGAATCGAATTGACTTACCCATTAGTGGCAAAAGATCCCCAGATATTCATTGTATATTTTTCCAATCCTTTTAGCCAATGATTAGTTTTAGAACCGAATGCAATGCTTATCTCTTCCAGAAGGTTGACTAAAACTTTTGGATCAACACGATAAATTGAAACCTGTGAGCTAACCCTTTAGGGCTATTTTGTTCCTGTTGTACATGATACATTTTGACTAGTCGACATAATTTAACCATTTCATCTTTATCTAATTTCGATGGTTCCAATGTTTGTCGTTGTTTACGTTTAAGACTTCGACGCCGACGTCTTTCTTCTTCTTCTTCTTCCTCGGTTTCATAATCACCATCATTGCTTTCTTCAGCTTCATCCTTGTTATTATCGATTTTTGAATTGGACTCTGCCACTGCCTTTGAAGCCGTAGTTGTTGTTGATGATGATGAATTGTTGTCCATTTCTTTGTTCTCATTGTTATCACTATTTGTGTTCAAAATATACGAAACATAATGATACAAAATAAATACACGATCATGTTATTGTCGATATTGTTTATGTGTCCCAATTTCACATGTTTGGAACAATCATAGAGCTTGGGCGATGGCGATCGCGTGTCTCCCAAATTTATTAAAAAAATCAACATTCAAAATCAAAATGAACAGAAAATGACCACTGACCTTGTATCGCTTGTTTCATCGTCTTCTTCGTCTTTACTATCATTATCATCTCCATCATCTTTGTTATTGTTTTTTGCATCATCAATTGTATCGTTCGATGGCTTCTTTTCATCATCTTCTTCTTCATCAACAGCACTATTGTTATTCGATTCTTCGGTTTCTTCTTCGCTATCATTGTCACCAGTTTCATCATCATATTCATAATCATCTTCACTTGAATCGCCGAATTTTATATAAGTAGTGATTTTATTATATTTCTCAAATTGATAGTCATCATCTGAATTTAAACCAAGCAATATTCTATATTCAGGATAGAATGATAATTACGAAAATAATAGGATCTTGTATCGTGTAATGGAATTTGATATACTTACTCATGATCGGGAGAGTAAATGTTCCATTTGTTGAACATTATTTCCAATAATGAGTCATTAAAACGTGATTCGGACACCATATTCTTAGCCTGGTCCCATATCTGTTTTGTTAATGGATTATAATCTGGCACAAATGGAATGGCAAATTTATCAATCAAATATTGTTGACCTTCCATGAATACGATCGATTGTATACGACTTTTTTCCATACACGCTCGTATATCGCGTGCCGAAACAGTTTCATCATCACAATTAGAATCTTCCATCAAAAATGGAACACTTTTAGTATTCATGCCGTAAATACCAATGTTCCAGATTCCTTGAACTCCTTGAAGAACTGCTCGTTTAAAATATTTATTTGTATCTTTATTCATCAAATGGAATCCAAGTGATATAGCGCCTGTTTATTGATAAATTCTATTGATACTTGTTGATTATTGTCAATTTTAAAACATACCAGCACCATGACCAACAACGGTAACTTGATTTGAATCACCACCGAATGATCTGATATATTTGTGTATCCATTCCAATGCTTTAGCCTGATCTTGTAGTCCAAGGCTTCGAAAATTGTCATTATTTTCATCGGCAACGGATGATCCGAATCCAAATACTCCCAATCGATATTGCATAGTAATCACAATAATATCCTTTTCGGCCACCAACAGCGAAGGATCTAATTCTGGTGATCCAATACCGCCAAATTGAAAAATGCCACCGTGAATGAAGACCATAACTGGCCTGCCAGTCATTTTGGTCGTTTTATTATTTTGGCCATCTTCTTTAAACGGTGTCCATATATTTAGAAATAGACAATCTTCTTTAGTTTCATCACCCAAGCCTTTAACTTCAGTGATACTTAGTACAAAAGTACTCTGTCATTAATAAAATTATCGAAATCATTAACGTTATTATAAATCTCCGGAAACGTTAAAAAAATTATAACAATGGAAATAAAACAACATACCTGATAACATTTGATTGGTTGATAAAATGCTTCCAATGTTGAATTTTTATTATTTTTATTGAATTGTTTTAATTGAGGAGGTCTGAATAGACGTTGATGATCCACTGGAGGTTCAGCATATGGAATAGATAGATAACTGGCTACTAATTTACCATTGGCAACAGTACGAACTTGACCTTTGATATGAATGCCCGGCAATTGAATCAAAGGTTCATATTCAATCATCTCATCACTATAATATTGACGACGTTTGCCGTCTGTTTTACTCCTGGATGGATCACGTTGACTATTTGAGAATATTGATGATGTTGATAATGATGATGAAGCATTTGTATTTGACACATTATTACGATCACGCCGAGATAGTATGATTAACGTGACTAGAATGATTATAACGATAGCGGCTCCGATTAATCGATACCATCGTTTTCTTGATTGATTTTTTGTTGTGAATGTAGTCATCTTCATTTATATTATATTTATTTTGGATTATTTATGAGAATGTGTTCACAGAATTATAATTGATTCATTTGGAAAGAAATTGATTTCATTCGAATTTACAACTTGTTGACTTTGACCAAGACTTTTAAAAAAAAGAAAATGAGAACAAAATAAGAAAAATTGGATGGATCAAATGAATTATCGATAATCTGCCGATATTGATTGTTTGTCGTCGTCGTTAATGTTGTTGATTTTTATTGTACTGTTCGCGAGCAACAAGTGGTATATTTATTTAAAGTGGTCACATTTGCATTCACCAAATACAATGTTTGACATTGAAAAACGTATATAAAAAGAGGAAATTTAAAATGCGAATGAACAAACAAACAGCTTACAGGACGATCCAAGGCGATCATCTACAGATGTTTTAGCTTGTTTGTTAAAAAAAAATTTTTTTGTTTCAAAATGTATCGGCTATTTGATTCGTTTCAAGTGATGAATCATCAACAATAATTCGTAAAGTGAATGGAAAAAAAATACGATCAATTCGAAGGTTCGATACGATTTTTCGAAAAGAGAGAACAACAACAACAACAAAAAAAACAACGTTTCGATTCAAAATTTTCAAACAACACAAACATTGGAAGAAAGAGAAATGAGAAATAAATTCAATTGAATTAATTGAGGATGATACAAACAAACTGTCATCATCAATGAGGATCAATTTCGATTGTTGTTGGCATAATTTTCACTATATATTAAATGATGATGATTATATGATGCAGATTATTTCATTTTTTTTTCGTATGTTGAATATATGATGATGATGTTGTTGTTGTTGTTGTTGTTGTTTGTTGTATATAGCAAATAAATTAATGGTTTTTGAATATGGAAAAAAAGAAAGAAAAAAAAAAATTATCACAATTTATCGATATAATGACGGCCTGAAATGAAAATTTGCAATCATACAAACAAACCAAACAGAAATTGATAAAAAAATTTCAATTAGAATGAAAACAACAACATAAAATGAATTGCGATTGCGATTTCAAAATGACAGAAGTCAAACAAAAGAAAAAAAAAGACAATGTTGGCTTGTTTTTATATATACAACAATATAGTGATTATTAACAGAAAAAAAATTGGACAATATTTTTGTTCATTATCGTTCATCATTTGTTTACGTACAACGGATGTGGTCGATGTCCCTTGTTTAATGCAAATATATTATTTGAATATACACAAACATATTGGGGGACCAATAGAAAAAAAACAAAAAACGAAAGTAGCTGTCTTCAAATTCGGATGCAACGATTGTTGTTTTTTGTTACATTGGTAAATTCGTATTTTCGCGAGCAATCATGAAAAACGAACAAAAAAAAATGAAACTTGCTAGCTGCAGTAGTAGCATTCAATGATTAAAAACACAAAAAAATTATAATAATTTCTCTCCCCGGTTTTTTTCCAATTATTAAAGTTGTTGTTGTTGTTGCTGTTGCTGCTGTTTGGACCAAACTGGAATGCCACATCCGCATGTATGTTCAATTAGCAAGTTTCGTTTTCGTTTTCGTTTTTTTTATTATCGAGACGAATTTCAAAGACTAAAACATAAACACACTGTACAGACAACACACGTTGTTTAACGATATTTAATTTCTCACTTTTTATCGACAACGATCCCGTATTTGTATGAAAATGACCAGAAAAAAATAGGAAAAAAAATCCAACAAGTGGAAGCAATAATCAAAAATAAAGTTTTCCGTTCAATAATGATGATGGTAACTATCGATGATTGAGATGATGGTGTGTGTGTGGTGATGATCACAGAAGTATTGCAATTTTTCAAATGATTATTTGAAAAAAGAGAAACAACGAAACAAACAAGAAACTTATCATATATAGAAGCCAATGGCGATCATCATACCATGATCATCATCAACAACATCATCATCATTGGTTTCTTATGATATGGTGGTGACCAAACAACTGAGCAAAAAAACAAAAACAACAACAACAACAACAAAAAGAGAAAGTCAAGATAAACTAGCCATCCATCGATTATTCACAAAGATGGAGGTGGTGGTGGTGGTGGTGGCATTGGTCGTCGTCGTCGACGTTGTTTTTTTCATCGAACATCATTTGGTTTTATATAAGAAATCGTAGTTTTTTTCTATTATACAACAAACAAACAAAACAGTTTTTTTTTTGGTCAAGTTCACGACAAAAACATTATGTGTATATGATGAAGAAAAATTGATAGAAAATCAAAATGGAGGATATATTCTATTCACATTGGAATGATGATGGATAATAAAATTCATAAATGAAAATGAAATGAACGATAGTGAGAGTGTGTGTGTGTCAGAGAGAGAGAGAGAGAAAGAAAAAGAAAATTATAGAGAAACGAATAATAAATAATATAATATTGAAAATGTAAAGAGATTTACAAACCGAACCAGATAGATACGTATGTAATATCAAATAGCCAATGCCTTTGTATGTGTGTGTGTGATAATGAATGGAACAAAAAAAAAATTAAAGAAAAAAAAAGAAGATACAATCAGCTTCGACTAACTATATATATATGAAGGCGGCGTGTCTTTTGTTGGCTTCACACATTTTCAATTCCAGATACGATCGACTGACGACGATGATTGTGATGATGATAATCATCATCATCATCTCTAAGCAATATTATCCATAATTTTTTCTTTTCGTTTTGTTTTGTTTATGTTTCGTCGTTTTGATTCGAATGAAATTTTTTTTTCTATGAAGAAATTGAATGTAATAATATGTGTTGGGGGGGGATAAAAGCGCAATGGATTTTGAAGATGACGTCGAAAATACAGAAAAAAAATGGCTGATGGTTCCTCGACTCCTTTCACTCTTTTTCTTCCTATCGTTTGTTCATAATTTTTCCCGTAACTTTTAAATAATGACTTTGTGATGGCACTAATAGTTATATAAAAAAAAATTCGATGTATGATTGCAACAGATCATCAGATAGAGAAATTGAATAAAACAGAGAGAAAGTGGAAGAAGTGGAAAAAAGAGATTCGGCCAAATGTAATGGTCTTCGTCATGGTGGTGATTGTGGTGGTGGTGGTGGTGGTTGAGAATTTTGTCATTTAAGATCAAAAGAGAACATACATCAAAACATCTAACATGTCTCTGTTGGTGGTGTTTGTGATGATGATGATGATGATGATGTTTATGATGATTTTGTTTTCAATTGCCGGTTCACACTATTTTCTGTATACTTGTTCCAAAGTGGCTGTTTTTTTTTAAAAATCCAAGAAATAAAAAAAACAGCTAACCTGCTGCGTGTGTTTTTGTACATGTGGATATTTTCATGCAATATCGTCACCATGATGTTGATGATGATGATGATGATGATGGAATTATCGTAGACCATTGATATTTTATTGAATTAAATTCTATAAAGTTTTTCTTTTTGTGTATTCGATTGTCCTGTATGATCGTAATGATTATAAGGTATGATTTTTATTCTACTAGCAATTTTTTTGAAATCATGCGAATTGATTGAATCTTGTCATTTAAGGTGATGAATAATCAAAAAACAAAACAAACAATATACGACATTTGAACACAGATTAATAGGAAACATTAAACAAACAATAAACTGGCATCAATAGATATCGATGCAAGGATTTCCCTTTTCCGTTGATAAAATAAAAAGGGGAAAAATGATGAAAAATGGATTTTTTTTCCTAAAGTTCCGTTTTCATTAGTGATTTCATTATAGTTGAATTGATCATCATCATCATCATCGCTTAGAATGACGTTCATGTTGACAATTTAATTTTTTCATTAATTTATTCAATTCAAATGTTGATATTTTCAAACCGATAAACATACATGATGTGTTTGTCAAGTTGATTCTGGCAATATGATATAAATAAATTACGTTTTTCTCTTCAAAATAACACACTTTATAAATATCATAACATTCAGTTTGATTTAATTCAACCAAAAAAAAAAAAAAAAAAATTTCATTTTTAGAAATACAAAACAAATATTTGATTTTTGAAAATTTGATCTTTCACCTTCACCAATCAATCATGGCAGCAGATGAAAATTAAATTTTCTACTATCCGCTAATATTATAGATGAAAAAATAAAAATTTAGCATTGATGAAATGATGAAAAATAAATTCATGGTCTTAGGTCTCATTGTGTGTGTGTATAACATCAAGATTTGAATTTTCAAGAATTTTCTTTCATCTTTAATGAAAAAAAAAACCAATAATAAATGACAGAAAAAAATATTGTTAAAAATATCCAATATATTTTGAACATCTGTGATGATGTATCTCAAAACACTGTAGGATTTAAGGCCAAGGATGTCCACATTTTACATTATCCGCATATATTCATAATTATTATTATCATTCATATTTATCTATGGCGACACAATTTTTTTTTTTTTTTTGTTACTGTCAAAATCATGTTCTCAATCTCAATGTAATAGTTGTTCATTATAATTTTTGCATTTCCATTTGTTGGTATATGTGTTACCCTCAAAACAAGTTTTTTTTGTGTAGTTGCTTTTTTCTCTGCTTTGTTTATTGATTGTAAACAAAATCAAAAAAATCATCATTGGCTACTAAAATCAATGTTTGTAATTTGGAAAAAGTACCTTGAATTAACATCATTGGTGATCATCATCAGATTTATTCGGCTGTATTGATTGTTCAAGATCAATGATAATAAAGAATATATTAACGTTTCATTAGTTAGAAATAAATTAAAGAAAAAAAATTTGTTTTTCCTTTTCACAATGATCAAATTCTCAAGGGTTCTTTTAACAATGTTCAAATTCTGTGAATGTCAAATTGATGATTTTTTGAGAAACGAATTTTGATGATAATCCGAAAACTGGTTTTATTTTTATTTTTATTTTTTTGGGTTGTTTTCCTCTTTGTTATTTTTTTTTCTTCAACCATCTATCTATTAAGAGGCAAATATTTTAAAAAAAACTTACGTAAACAATTTTCATTTATGTAAATGTTTGACAAAATGTACCAAACAACATATATCAAGTATCTATATATTTTTGTTTCTGTTTCACTAATTATCATCATCATCATCACTGTATGCGCAAAACATTCAAGGATTCAAATGTGATTAATGAATTTAATCAAGGACAAATCACATTTTTTCATATCAGAGAATTGAATTCTTATTGCTTATAGCTAAGAAAAAAAAACTGAATTTCGAACATGTTCAAATATAATTTTGCTGTCATTGGTTTTTTTTGGACATTTAGCCATACTTTTTCAATATGATCAATTGATAAAACAAAGGAAATATCTACCATTTTCAAATTTGAAACATTTATCATTTATCAATTGATGATACCCACCAGAAAAAAACAAAATATGTCTTTATTTTTATCATTATTCATCTCTTATAAGTGTTTGTAGTCATATTTTTTCAGAATTACATCAAAAAATATTAATCATTATCATCATCAGTCATAAAAATGATCGCATCACCAGCAACTAATCAATCAACAGTGAAAAAAAAAAATTTTTTTTTCCTCACCAAAAAACCGCTACATTATCAATCAAATAATCATTCAACCGAATGAGTGTGATGGAAGAAAAAAACAAATAGAAAAAAATAAACATACAAAATTCCCAATGGATGGAATTTGCACGCAAACTTTGATCAAATAATAGCAGACAAAATAATGAATTGTCTGATGGAACAATAATTAAACTAAACATTTGAAATTAATTTCAATCATCATTATTCGACGATAATTTGAATTTCAGTGTCTCAATTTTTATTTGCCTAATTTGGTTTTTTTTTCTCGTTGCAATTTATTGTTGAATAGGTAAAAAAAAACACATTTCAATTTAGGCAAACAAATTTACACGTCCTGTGAAATCCTTGAAAAAAAAGAGACGACAAATGCAAATAGACAAAGATGAAGTATATGGAAAAAACACTATCACCACCAACAACAACAACGACAGCTAACGATAAGGTAAAAAACAATGTGAAGGAAAGTTAATTTTTTCGATGAAGAATTATTCGACAGAAAAAAAACGCAAACAAATAAATCATTCATTGTCAATGTAGTGAATGGCTAAAAAAATGAAATATTCTCGATAACTTAAAAAGGAAAAAATTCAAAAAATTTGACGCAAAACATTTGAATGTGTTTTTTTTCCAGCTCCAGGTTTTGTATCAAGGAAAAAAAATGAATCAAACGTCAATTTAATAACAACAACAAAAAAATATTTGGGTTCGAATGTCAAAATGGATTTTTTTATCAAATATTTTATTTGGCTTTCAATAAAGTTGGGTTTTTTTTAAAAATTTTTTTTGTATTCATCTGATAAAAATACTTCGTTAGTGATTCATTGCTTAGTATAAACCAATTTCGTGTTTCAGTTGTTACCATCACCATCCCATTCAACAGGTTCATCGGATTTTTTTTTAAATTCTAAATTTGAAAACGTTTGCTTACACAAGTACCTTCGTAGCAAAACTGGATTTTTTTTTCGTTGGTTGTTGTTGATCAGGTAATTAATTTCATGCAAACAAGAAAATGAAGATGAATTATTTTTTTTGATAAAATTACAATCATCATACCTTTTGTGCACCACAATTTTCATAATTTGGTGAATTTCGTTCACTTAAAACGGTTGTCAATGCTGGATTTGATGGTGAACGAATACGGCATGGTGTTTTACATTGTGTACCATGAAGATCCTAATTGATGAGAAATTTTTTATTTTTCATTTTAAATTCAAAGAACTTGACATTGTGTCATTATGAGAGAATAGGAAATTTAATGTCTACATTCACACAATGTGTAAAGATCAATGGAAAATTTAATTGGCGCCATATAGTGACATTGAATGGAAATTTTATAGATATAATTCCAACGAATGAATGAATGAATCGTTTATTTTAAATGTGAATGAACCGATTATCATCATTGTTATATTGTTCAATGTTATTGAAATCATCATTCATGAGATATTAGCGCCACTTTCTTATTTCTGAATGAAAATTTTCAAACCATTGAAATGGAGAATAAAAAATAAACAAAACAATTGAAGGAAATTGTCTTTTTTTTCAAACATCCTTTGGTGACAATGATGATTGTGATTTTGATGAACAAAATAGGATAATTTTTTTTTTTTTTTTTTTTGGATGACTAATTTCACTTTGTTTGTTTGTTTGTTTATTTTATACTTACATAGAAAGATTCAACAACGGCATATGGATCGGCTGTCTGCATCATTTCTTCCCATTCATTGAAATATTCCATTTTACAATGAAGATGATCACGTTGATTTGGTTGTCGAGATGCTGATTGTGCCAATGAAAAAATGGCCACAATCATTGTGAACAATGTGATTGATTTTATTGTATTCATTTTTTTTTAAAAAAAAGATTGCAAATCCAAACAATTATGAATCTCGAGGTTTTTTTCAGTTTGTTTTTATATACAAACATAATAATAATTGGCCTGGTTTTTTTTCTACCTCCTCTGACCGGATGAAGGGAAATCGATGAACTGAAACCAGGAAAATACCAATTTATGATCCAGTACATTTGGGCAATAAGGACATGTGAAGTGAAAATTTTCCATCAAATAATCCCCATCAAATCAATTTAATTAACAAATTTTTTTTCAGGAACACAAAAAAAATCATTTATTTTTCACAATCTTTTTGTTGTTGTTGTACTTCATTAATTATTTGGAATTATGTAATAGTAATAATAATAATAACAATATATAGAATGAATGGATAGCAGTGAAAAAAAAAAAAAATGAATGCACGCACACATTGTATGCATACAAAAATGTAAATAATAAATCAATATCGATATATAAGGATAATAATCAGAAGATCAGATTTTAGGATAATAGTGGTGATAATGAAGAAGAAAAAAAAATCAATTTTCAAGCACAAAAGAAAAATGTATCAAAATCATCTCGTTATATCAATCAAGAAATCAAAATTAAAAAAATGTGTGAAAATAAAGAAATTGACAAACAATGGAAAAAAATTTTTGTTCAAGAAGAAAATCAAATTTGAATATGAATTGTGTGTATGGTTTACAAATATTAATAACAATCATTATTAGGAAAATTCATAATTAGAAAACGGATCATTTTTGTTTTTGTTTTGGTATTTTTTATATATATGATGTTTAAATTAGGAAAAAAAATCAATCAATTATTTCATATCAAAAAAAATAATAATAAGAAAATATCATGATAATAGAGTATCAATAATCTAATTGATTTCATTGAGAAAAAAAATATCTGTGTGTGTGTGTGTGTGTGTGTGTGTGTGTGTGTGTGTGTGTGTGTGTGTGTGTGTGTGTGTGTGTGTGTGTATGTACAAGGAGAATCAAAAAAAAAAATTTGTAAATATTGTTATCAATCGATATTGGTTTTTTTTGCTTCCTTTCGTTCTTCATGGTAGAGTTAGTTTAAACTTTAATTGGCCATAATAAATTACTCCAAGTTTGAGAGAAAAAAAAAGTAAAATTTCAAGACCAGAAACAGAAACAAGAGTGAAAACAAAATGATGATGATTAAGTTCAATGATGATGAAATAAAGGTGTGTGGTATATGAATTAAAAAAAAATCACATTAAATGTTAAAGTAGAATTTAAGAGAAAAAGTGATTAATGAATATAATGAAAAATAACAAACGATTGATTGACAAAAACAATTGATTCTGCATGAAATGTTTTGGTTGTAAACAAATAAAAAGAAAGAAAAGAATATTCAATAATGATGATCAATTAATTAATTAATTAATAATAAGGGTATAAATTTTGTACTTCATGAAACATTAATCGAAATTATATTAATAATAATAATAAGATAATGAATATTCGTAATTGTGTTATATAATTATGAAAAAGTGTGTTTTTTTTTGTATAAAACAATAATGCTGGCCATGCATTCAACCAAACAGTAGGATAATTATGGAACAAACAACGATGATACTGAAAGTTGACATTGACGTTTTATCTAATCGATGAAAATAAATATCATTTAATGATGATGATGATGGTGATGGGGATGTGTTCTTTGAACATTATTATTTAGATTATTACCACCATTCTTAATGTGCGTTCCAGATGTTGCAGATGATGATGTTGATGATGATGGTGGTGGTAAATTTGGCCCTGAAATACGGTTATGTGTACCAGTACCACTAACGACAAATGATCCTTGTAGATTGTTGTTATTAACAGATGTTGATCGTTTTTGATTAATGTTTGATTGTTGTTGTTGAATATATTCCTTGAGACGATAGAAATAAACTTGCAAGTCTTTACTTGTGACAACAATTGAATGATCACCAAATAATGCAACATCTAAACATTGCTGATGTTTTCCTGATGATTCATAAGCACCGATCAAATGTCCATCCAAACGAAATAAAGTAACATTGAGATTGTTGTAATTATCGACTACTAATAATTGATCAAATGCTTCATTGAGACAGACACCAATCGGATAATTTGTGATACCTTGGCCACCAATTTGTCGTAGAAAATCGCCATTAAAATTGAATACTTTTACACAATGATTTCGATTATCTGAAATGAATATTTCGTCCGATCGTGAAACCGCAACAGCGTTCGGAAATTGAATACGTTCTGAACAATCAAATGAATGTAATAGGACACCTTGAAGACTGAAGGCAAATACACGCATCACTTTACATTCAACAACAACGACACGATTCTGATGATCGACGGCCAATCCACGTGGATGGCGAAGATGTTTGGCACCAAATTTGCATTGAAAAATACCATTCTTACTATACACTTGTATCTGATGTACGGGTGGTCTTTCGGATACAACAATTTCGCCCGTATTACGTGATAAGGCAACTCTGTTAGGAAATTTAAGTTTTCCTTCACCAAAATGGAATTTAAATTTGCCCCATTTATCAAACACTTGAACTCTATGATTGTTAGCATCGGCAATGTAGATTTCATCATTAGCCAGATTAACAGCAACACCAGATGGCTCAGCAAATTGTCCATCCTGTGCTCCTTGTTCACCGAATTTCAAATAATAGCTAATACGTTCACGACGAATACGTGGTTGAAGTGATTTTGTGATAGCTTGTTTTTGATTCAAAATATTTAAATCATTGATAGATTGATGTGTCTGTGACGGATGTATAGATCCGTTGAATGTTTGTTGTTGTTGATGATGATGGTCATTTATGTATGACGTCAATGCAGGAAATTCATCATTGATGTTGCCGAGAAAAAACTGATTTTTAGTATCCATAAATGATGATGATGGATTAATTTGTGTACGTTGCTGTTGTTGTTGTTGTTGTTGAAAATCAAAAGATGGCTGTATCAAATGTTGAAAATGAGATGTTGATTGATGAACTGAAGGAACCAAAGAGGTGTTTTTAGTGGAATTGTGTTGTTGGGTGTGTAAATTATTATTTGTTGGCTGTTGTGATGACCACGGTGCTAGCATAACCGATTGTTGTTGTGATGAATGTTGATGATCAGAAAATTTAGCAAAATTATCATCTTGAGTTGATAATGGTTGTGATTGAAAAGCATCAAAATGACTATCAATAGTTGATAAAAATGAATCTGTATTATTGAAAAGAATCGGTTGTTGTTGTTGATGTTGTTGTTGTCTGTTCATCGGAAATATTAGAGCTCGTATAAATCGATCTATTGTTTGCACATCGATATTTGGTATTCGAATCGAATCAATCAAACTAGAATCGATTGATGATTCAAGTATATTTTGTACATTCTGAAGAAAGTCTGAATCAAAAATATCTTCACAATTAATATCACTTAATTTGTTTGTATTAGCATCTTGAATATTGAATAAATTCGATTGTTCATCCAATTTATGTACAATGTCTTCGATTTTAGTCTTTTGAATGTTCAATTCCATCATTCTAGTTTTGAAATATTGATTCAATTCACCATCGATATTTTGCATTATGGCATCCAATTGTGAACGACATTGTATGATGAATGAACGATAATTACTATATGAATCATCATAATTATTTTGTATTTCTTGTTGCAATCGTTTAGTTGTGGCCAATTTTGATCGAAGTGATTGTCGTATAAATTCAATATTCCAACCATTATTATTACTTTTCTGATGAATATGATTAGGATTATTATTGTCTAATGTTGAATCAAAAAAGAAATGATGATTATCTTCAACATTCGTTTTTTGTACTGTAAAAAAAGCTGATGATGATGATGATGATATTGGATTCGACGTAGGTGAACGACGATTTCCATTCAGATCACAATTATCACTATTTAAGGAAATTTGTGAAAATTTTTGATCCATAGTAGAAGATAACGAATGAAATGGATCATTATCGAGTTTAAGATGATGATGATTAGAATTGAATATTTGATGATGGTGAGAAATAGAATTCGAACCAGAAAAATTTAGACCATTCGAAATGGGATGATCAACATTTGAAATAGGTGCTGTCGATGATCCACCGTTCATCATTATTGTTGTTGTTGTTGTTGTTGTTGATATAGATGTTGTTGGTGTTGATCGATGATTGATCATAGTTTTTTCATCATTAATTGATGATGAATATTTTAAATTGTTGCCATTCGTATCCAATGGTGGATAATCAATATTTGAATCAAAAAACGATGCCGCCATCTTTTGATTGATGATCAAAGTAATTTGGATTTTTTTTTAATTTTTCAAACGAAAAAAAAATTTTTTTTCCAAATCAATTCATTTCATCTATGTTGGATAGATTTGAATGGTAGAGAAAAAACTTCTTGATCGAACAACATCCAAAAACCAAATGTATGACTAGAACAAGGGGCTGAGGCGAACAGCAACAACAACAAAAAAAAGCAAACAAACAAACTTTCGCTTTCGTTTCAAAATTTCTTCTGGTTTTTTTCTGATATTTCAGATTTGATAATTTTTTTTTATCTTTCATTCATCCACCCTCACTCACTCACTCACTCAAACGCACAAATAAAAACATACCACACACACACTCACATTCTGATGATTAAACAAACTCTATTGATGACGATGATGATGATTATTATGATCATGGAATGGAATCATGATTGATGATATTGATGTGTTTTCATCGCAATTTCGATGGTAACGACGACGACGACGACAAAACAACAATAATGATATAAATGATGAATCGATGTAATTATAACAAACAAAATACAGTAACAACAACAACAACAAAAACAAAAAAACAAAATTATTTCTTTCCAAAGCTCAATATGTCGTCGTCGTTTTTTGTTTCACATGTCTAAATTTGAAATTAATAAATAAATTCACTAAACAAAAAAAAACACGCGCAAACTATAGTTAGAATGTCAATGGAACAGAAAAAAATCAAAGATCAGAACCACATGACAATATGATAATGAATGATGAGTATATTATGATGTCTATATGGTTGACAATTGTTGAAAAAAATAGAATGATGATGAAAACAAAAACAAAACAAAACAAAAAATCACAAGAGAATAATAATGATGATGATCAACAAGTGAACAAAAGAGACACACACACACACATCAAATCTGAATCAAAATAAGCAACATGTGATGATGATGATGATGGCCATCAAAATGGTAAAATTCAATCCCCGGTAAACAATGATGATATTTGATTTAGATGATAAAATAAAAGAAAATACGTAGTAAATTATTTATGATATAATTTTTTGTTTTCTTTTTTATTCATTCAATCATCAATCAGCCATCATTATGACGAAAACGTTAACCTGTTAATATTGAGAGATAGATGAGAAAAAAAAAGAAATTAGATCAATGATTTGATAACATTTCAAGTTCCACATATAAAATAATGAAAAAATGAGTCAATATAAATAAATCGATACGATAACTAGTATATGTATCAATCGATATGAATTATTATTAATAGTTTTATTGAGAGAAAAAAAATGAAATTCCATATTTAATGCTTTTTTTTGTATACATAATGGACAAAAAAAAGGAGAAAATGGTCATTGAATTTTTTTCTTATAAAATGACATTCGTTCAACCTATAGGAAATGATCGTATTTGGTGGATATTTGGTTCATTTTTTTCATTTCATTGAGGTTTGATTCAATGAAAAAACAAAAACAAAGACAATAGCAACAACAACAACTTGTTGCTGTCGATTTGATCAACATCAGATTGTTTGTTGCCTGTTGTAGTTGACAACAACGAAGAAAGATCCGCTTTCATTTTTTTTGTTTGCATTTTTAGGTTTGATTTAATTTTTTTTTGTTTTGTTTCTCATTTTAAATATGAGCCTGTTGCTATTTGTCTGTTTGTTGATGTTTTTTTTTCTGTAAACACATACAACAACAACAACAACAACAATCTATCTCAATGATCATGATTATGGTAACAGTAAATGAAAACAGAAAAAAAATAGTAGAGGATTGTGTATGTTTGTGTACGAGAAAGAAAAAATTCCAAAATCTAAAATCAAAACGAGAAAACCATATTTATAACCAGAGAAGAAAAAAAAATATGAAATATGTCAAACATTTTTTTTCTTCTTCTTTCTACTTCTACTTTTTATATTCACATTATATGGATTATGTCAACGTCGTTGTAATCGCGTAGTCATATATATATAGTATAATGATAATTGATTTTCTCTGATATTTTGACATTTTGACATCATCACATATCGATACATATTGATCAAATCTATGTATGTATGTATGTATGTATTGTATCATTAATCGTAAAATTTAGATTTTTTTTGTTTGTTTGTTTGTTTGTTTGGGGGTCAACAGGGGGATTAATTATAATCTTTTTTTTTGCAATTGATATATAGACGTAGTGTGCGTATATATTTGTTAATGTCTATTTAAAAAAGAGTCATTAATCGATGTTCGAATGGATCAATGATGGAGTCATGAACGATAATAATGATGATCCTTGGTATATTGATTCGAAACTAAAAAACTCGATTATGATGATGATGATGACAACAACAACAACAACAATAATAAGAATAATAATGACAACGAAAAACAATGACGATGATGATGATAAATATCATTAAATAATGGTAAAGAAAAAGAAAAATAAAAAAAAAAATTTATGTCAGCACAATGATCATCATCAACAACATTCGTTTCAATTGCTTAAATAGAATTTTCTAGAGAGATCTTCACATTTATCTATTGCTGACATTTTTATTATATATCATCAAATCAAATGATTTTTATGAATGATTGAATGTGTGTGTCTGATGATTGTAAAATAAAAGAAAAGAACATCTTAAACGGAAAAGTCAAAAATTAATATAAAATTCGGATAAACAAAAAAATTAACCGGAAATCAACTTGAAATAAATCAAATCTTACCTTAAACACATTGAAAGAGAATTAAATTTTGGATTTTCAATCATCAGAAAATATTAATAATGATGATGATGATGATAAAATATTGATGACAATTGACAAAAAAGTGGAAATTGAAGAGTAAATTGCAAAGTAATCAATTTTTTTTTGTTCTCTTTCGTTGATTACAATGATGATTAATTTGAATATAAATTAATTATAAGAATCACACATTTATATTATCATAAATTTGATGTAAAAATTCATACATTCATACATCCAAATAATAAAGAACAGAGAGAGAAAAAAAAGAGAACAAAGGACCCAAGAGGAAAACTATATACAAACAAGCTACTAGTTGCATTTACAGATGAGTAACAAAGAAAAAAAAATGAGAAAAATTATGAGGACTATAGTTGAATGTATTTTGTACGAGTGTTTGTTGTCTCGTAGGGTCGTAAGTAAGTCTGTCAGGTCACACATTCATTCATTCATTCACATGCATACACACAATGACTTCAAATGACCGAAACCAACACAGAAAACATTAACATTATTTTTAGAGAACCAAAGAACCATTTAAATGGAGATTGGTTGTTGTTGTTGTTGTTGTTGTTGTTGTAGTTGGCCGAAATTAGATGAACTACTACCACCACCAACAATTTTTTTTGTGTCGATAATAATAACCACAACAACAATCTGGTATAGTGGTCGATTTTTTTTCTGTTTGTTCGTAATAATGTTTATATATTAAATGAGACCCTGGGAACTAGTACAGCAAAACAGCACAAAAAAATGAGAAAAAAGAATCAGGATCCAATTGATGATTATTTGAACAAATTCATTTTGGTTGATTTATGATGGGCATGTTGTGTGTCTCTCTGTGTGTGTGTGTGTGTATTGGTGAATTTGAAAAAAAACCAAACACACAATTCAGATTACTAATCACAGATATTGGATAAATAAATATTGATCACAAAAAAAAAAATTGGTCCAAATATTTGGATAGGAAAACTGATCATAATCAGATCTGATGATAATAATTTACATTTTATTAAATTATCTTTTTCAACAAAGAAAAAACAACAAATATGATGACGAATGAAATAGTATAGTATACGAATAGCCAAGATCATAATAATAACGATGATGATGTTGATGTTGATGATGATGTTGTTCACATATATTTGTTGCATTTTCCCCTTTTTTTTCATTGAAAATATAATTTTGAAGATTTCTTTGTAGTTGTATTCATTCTTGTTGTTGTTGTTGTTGTTGTTGTCATCGTTCGACAATAGTAGAAAAAAAAATTAGGGACCACGCCACAAAACGACAAACAACAACAACAACAACAACAGCAACAAAACACTTGAATGCAACAAACAACAGCCGATGCGTGTGTGTTCGTATATAAAAAAAAGGAAAATTTCTCTTCTTTTTTTATGAATTAAATTATTATTATTATTATTATTATTTCAATTTGAGAGTTGTCGATGTTCTTGGTTATTTTCTTTCTTTAATTTTTTTTTTTTTTTCATAAGTCGAAGTCAAAGTCTAAGTCGTTGTCGTCGTCGCCATCATCATCATATTCGATGATGATTCGAGGTTTTTCTTTCTGCTGTTTCAATGTTCGTCGTTCTGTTATTATTTTTTTTTTTGTTTTGCAGTTTGTTGTGTAAGGATTTTCTTGTTTTTCCCGGTTATATTATTATATACGATATACGATATATGAATCTATTGAATAAATGAAACGTGCAATGTAGAAAAAAAAATTATTACAAAGAGTCAAGAAAATACGAACACAACACACACACACACGTATATATGAAATAGAACTGGATTGTTGCTTCCATAGTATTATGCATTCAAATAAAGACATGATGGAATTGAAAAAAAAATTATGAATCAAAAAAATGATCATTGCTTTTGATTGTGTGTGTGTGTGAGAAAATTGATAGAAACAAGCAATATACGATGTTGACGATGTGATTATTATGGCTTTGCGACTCGTTCAGTTTTTTTTCTATTATTTCGTTATGTTTGATTTGATTTGATGCAATCACAAGAAATTATAGTAGATATACAGTAAGAGAGAGAGAGAGAGAGAGAGAAAAAAAAATATCCAAATCTACCACCTCCACCATATCACATCAATAACAAACAAACAAAAAAACATTGGAATTTGTAAATGGAATTGAATTTATGTTTTTGATGCATCAAAATGGATGAAATTATAGAAACATGCTGATCACTCATACACACACACACATACATACACACAGTTGTTGGTTGTTGATGTTTGAAGATGATTTTGATGATGACATCTGGATCATAATCATTACAATTGATAATTTTAATTTCACTTTCAATAGAAATAGAATTTGATACAGGTGACTATTTGATGTAGTATGATCAACGAAAATCGAACAATTTTATTGGATTGTTGTCAATGTTGTCATAGAATATGTTTGTAATATGGTCGGGCTTTTTATTTCTCTTTTTTTGATTTTCTAACTGTTGCATTTGCTACTGCTTTTTCATTCGATCCATATTTTTTTCGGATATTCTTTGAATTTATCGTTTTGTTCATTCATTCGAAAAGAATGAAGATTATATATTGAGTTTTCACTTTTTTTCTTCATTTTCATTTCATGGTTTGTTGTTATTGTTGATTGTGAATTGAGCTCATCATGAAATAATGTTGTTGTTGTTGTTGTTGTCGTTGTTGATAGTGATGATGATGATGATGATGATATCATCAGGCCAATGACGCAATTCTCAAATCACCAGTTGTCTGCAATCTTCAATAAAAAAAATACGCGTTGTTCTTGTTGTCTTGTTTGGTTTGTCTGTGTTGTTTTTGTTTTCTTTGGTGCCAATATATATTGCGCCTGTCCGTTTCGATTCGGCGCCCAAATCGGCCAATCATCAAACGTTTGTAAAAAAAATGACGATTGTATTTTTTTTTTTTTTTATTTTTATTTTTGTTACACGGAACTTTGAAACAAAATATTCATTTTTTTTGTGTCAGATCATAGCGGGGTAACCACCACCACCACCACCAGCACCACCATTTATATAGATTGTATGGACTATAATAATAATGTTTAACCCAAAAGAGGATGATGAAACAATAAAGTGTTTTATCCGTTCGTTGTTTTTTTTTATCGGATTTAATAGTTCTTTTTATACATATTTTATAACTTATATAATACACACACACACATATGAATAATGTTTGATGATTCGATTTAAAGATATCCATGAATCGGATAATATTTTTGTTTTTGTATTCAAATCATTTATGATAATGGTTATGGTATGTGGGTGGATTTTTTTCTCTCTTAATTTCCGACAAGTATTCGTCAATCAAGATAATCCATGAAGGATTGATTTAAAATTCAAACACACACACGATGATGATGATGATGATGATGATAAAATATTATAAATGGAAAAATGAATGAATGAATGAATGAATGAATGGATGATTAAAAACTTACTGAATTGAACTCATCCATCTTCGTTTTTTTTTATACATGTTTTTGGCATTTTTTTTCAGTTTTTCGTTGGAATAATAATGTAAAGAAAAAGTTCATTTAAGTTTTTTTTTCAATTACCATTCACTATTACATATTATCGGTTGATGAGAGTGTATCGTTGTGTTTTTTTTTCAGAAAAGTGATTACCAATTTTTAATTAATTTATTGGAAATCTAAAATCAAAAAGAAAATAATACATTTGAGGATACATTGCCAGCCAGCCAGCCAGTCAAACAAACAAATTGAATGCTAAAATCGGAAATCTATCTATTCGATGACAGCTGATTACACAAGTTATTAGATTAACTATTAGGTTGAAATAGTTGAAATATATAGAATGCAGAATATTTTGCAATAATATGATCAATTGATATGATCCATCGATCAATTTGTTTGATAAATGAATTGTTTTTTTTATCATTTTAATTTTGTTTTTCTTTTGTATGCGTGTGTATGTGTATGTGTGTCTGTCAAAATAAATGAATCGATTTGTTTGTTTGAATTGCTATTATATTGTTGTTGTTGTTGTTTTTGTATGCCAATAATGATCGAATATTTTTTTTCTGATCAGAAAAAAAATTCAACGAAACACGCCCAAACTGAATGAATGAATGAATGAATGAACAAAAAAAAGTATATTTTTATTATTGACTTGTATCGATCTTCAATGTATACACACAATATCATCATAGGATCGGACAAATTATATAAAAAAAATTTTTTTCATTCATTCATAAATTATCTCTCTATTACCTTTCCAATACATATGACCTATTATCTCAATTGGCATCAATCGTAAGAATGAATATTGAATTGTCAGTGAAAAAAAAAATTGCCATCATCATCATCATCATCATTTGTGCCATTATTCAACATATATGATGATTTTACCTTGCAGATATATAATAACTTTGATGAATATGATGATGAATTAATTAATATATTATATATGGGATTCGAATTTTTTAGTTTGTTTGAGCCGCCCATGGCTATTTGAATTTATTAAATCTCTATATATTTTTATTCATTAGGAAGTACCGTCACGGTTGATGATGATTTCAATTTAGAAATTTGATTTAAATTACTTTTAAATAGATTCGAATTACAAGTTGTACAATATGGTAAAAATTGACAAAATATTGATAAACAAACGGAACAAACATAGCCAATATCTAATAATTTACGATGACAAAAACAAGCAGCAGGTGGAGCAATTTCATGTTTTGGTGGTAAAACATATTGTGGTCGTTCAGTGGCCGATGGTGTTAAACACCAGAATAAATGTTCCAATATGGATGCTACTTTATGTATACGAATATAACGACCACCAGTTAGATCACATCCTTGTTGCAATACTGAAGCTGCAAATTGATCTTCAAGACTTGCTGAAACTGGTGCCGTTTCTTCTGTTTCACGATTCATACTAATTGAACATGCATCAATCAAGACATTAATTTTTTGTGCAGCAAAAAAACAATTAATTAATTTCATATATTGTGATGAATATGTATCCGAATGATCGGCACCAAGGCTGAACACCAATATTCTTGAATGTTTCATTTCATTTTTATACGAATGAATCATACATAAAGCTTGTGCTAGGGCACCAGATAACAATGATGATAATGTTTGCTGTATTTCGGGTTGTTGAGATTGTTGAGTTGCTAATGTCTGCTGAAATAAATTTCGACATTCTTGAATCCATTGTAGAAAATTACGGCGAAAAGTCTGTGTGACCAAAGCAAATTGTTCATTCTGTTGATCTTCGATTATAATTTGATCCTGTTGTTGTTGTTGATCATCATCATTGGAATTGTCATCAAAATAAAGGACAGCATTTTTCACCGAACTGGATCCCAAAATAGTCAAACGATTATATCCAGATTGCATTAGAAATGAATTACCGAATGCAAGAATAGCATCCAAACATTGGATTAATGTTGATTGATCAAATCGTGGTTTGAGTAACATATCGATTACAAATACAACATGTACACCATCATTACTGATGTTTGCTGTGCCATCATTATTATTCGATATCAATGTAGCCATAATGGAAATGAAGAATTACGATTAAAAATAATGATGATAATCACATTTAACGTGAGTAATAAAAAATTATTTCGAAAAAAATTGACAACAACATGCATGGAACAATTGAATCAAAACACATGTTTATTCAAATTAAATCGATGTATCGTCAATAGATGGCGGAATTGTCGTATAAATCTGCTAAAAAAAGAAGACCTTTTGTTGAGTTGTTGAAATTGATCTGTGATAACATCTTTTTATGTAAAAAAAAATGAAAACTTCGTTCCAGTTTCCATTCCACCCGAACAATAACAATCCGATAATTTATGGATAAATCTCTCCCGATGACTTATTTTCATCTCATCTTGATGATCATTAAAAATGTTGTTTTTGATGAGATGCGATGATGACAATGGAAGGTGGTCTTGAAAAGAGGTCGGTATATTTTTTTTCCAACAAATTCTCGCCCAGTCATTTATTCAATCTATCTGGTTATTGTTGTTGTTGTCGATAATAATTCCATTATAACTGCTAATCCTAGCTGCCAACTTCAGCAACTTTACATTACATCATTTTTTTTGCTCATAATTATAACTCATCATCATAATCATAATTTGAAAAAAAATTAAACAGATGCCAAAGGCCTAGTCGTTTTTCTGGTTCTTCATTCATCGGAGTGTGTTTGTAATTGTGTTTGCCAAGTTTATTCACATTCTATTCTATTGTGTCTCGAAGTGTTTTTTATTTTCCTTATTTTTTTTGCATTTTCCTTCATCATTTTTTTTGTCGATATGAGGGGGCGTCAGCAAACCTGATGATGATGATCATCATCGTGTGATGATGACGACAAAAGTTTTTTTTTCTCAATTTTTTTCTTTTGTTTAATGTAAGTTCAGGTCATGTACGTTTATGTTTATGATTCAATAATAATGGTGTTGGTGAACCTTTGTAACCTTTGGACTTTGGTGATCATTCAAATAATCACACATTGAATGATGATGATGATGATGATGGAATTAACTTTCACGCTTATGAACTTTGTCTACATTACCGGCTGTATAAAATGAGAAACAAAATTTCAAAAATTAACTACCGTATTCATTTTATGAGAACACCTGAATGCTTTCATCTCTATGCGAGGAAATGTTTTTTTTCTGTTTTTTGTTTTACAATTCAAAACAATACAAATGACAATTACCACTTGAGAGATAGAGAGAGTGTGTGTGTGTGTGTGTACACATTTAACCATTGATACCCAGATGTTATGATGAATAGGTTAGGTCATCATCGGTCATTTCTCTTGATCGACTATCCATTCTTATTTTATCTCGATTTTTTTTTCGTTCATCCATTTAATGAAATGAAATGATTTATTTTTTCTGGTTCAAAGATATCATCATCATCATCATCATCATGATCATCACAATGAATGTAAAATAAAAACATCATGAAAACTAATAATAACCAATGATGGTAATGATAGTATGTATTGAAAAAAGATAATTCAGCTATGAAAATGAAAGATTAACGAATCTCGAATTTTTGGTCATTTTCAAGTGATGACATTCCATAAACATGGCATTACACTGGCCACACACACACACACACACATAATTACTGTTCGATGAACATGTTCGGTTGGATGATTTGCATCGGCGTTTTTTTTTGATTTGTCCTTGCTTCAATGATTTTTTTTCCATGATGATTTTCATAATGTTCTTGTTTATTTTCCATTTCTATCATCATCATCATCATCATTAATGGTTATTCTAGTGAAAAAAAAACTTGTATTCTATTCCTATTGCATTTAAAGTTTGTTGTCATTTTTATTTTTTTTAGTTTTAGTTTTGTTGTTCATTTTCGCGTGCATAAATAGTCATTATCATCATCATAATCATTATTATTTGATATGATTCACCATAGCTCTAGTAGCAATAATACATGTTTTTTTTTTTTTTTTGAATGACATCGTATTTTCGATGTTGTTTCAATTCCAGCTAGTTCGTTATTGAATGAATAAAACATTGATGAAATATTCAACGATTGTAAATTGCAATGTGTATATTTATTTATAAATTTAAATACAATCATCGGAAGTTATTGATTCGAACATTTTCTTTTTTTCTTCAAACATGTAATATTTGTTGGTGATTAAATCATTTCATTTCAGTTACATGATTGTGTGTGTGTGTGGATTATGATTGTCGGATTAATGAATTTTTCTGATCAAAGATTAGCCGTTCGATTAATCAATAGCGCTATAAAGAAAAAGCTGTAGTAATAATTCTCTATTCCCAGATATAAAGTGAGAAAAAAAATTACTATCCTATCCTTGAAATCGATTGCATCAAATTACATCCGTATTGATGCTACTTGCCAATCGAAAAAAAAATTCATCATCATCATGTCTGCCGCTTCAAATTGAATTGAAATTGTTTTTTTTTTTTTTTGATGTCAGCAACAGTAATCATTCATTTTATTGGTGAATAATTTGATCCATTTTCATGTATGAATTGTTAAATTGTCTGAGTCGAATCTCTGTTTGGTTTAACCCAATCACTATGATGACCAATTAATGTTCCAAATATTGATACAGGACATTCACCCATATACACACACAAACATACTATTTATATGGATCAAAAAGCGACAATACACCATTCATGATGATGATGATCGTTGATGATGCTCCAACCGACAATATAAACCAGAACAATTGGTTCATAATTCAGTTCGTTACTGGAAAAAAAAACTTTGCGCGCATTGCGTCAAAATGCATCAACAACAAACATGCATGCATGCATGCTGAAACTTTGAAAAAAACCTATTCGTTTGTTTGGCTTTTTTTCCTCCATCCCGAGATACAAACAAACAAACAAATTTTTCTCACACACACACATATATATAACATAACATTGAATTCATTTTCACTCTGTAGGCACACACATTGGTTTTTCGGATGATATCTTCTCTCTCTCTCTTTTTTTTGGTTGAAGAGGCTTGGTGCATATCTTTCTTTCTCTCAGTGTGATGGCCGAAATTGTGTTCATTTCGTTTCGTTTCATTCATTCATTAGGTCTATGACATAGACTCAATGTGCTTGTTTGTGATTGGTTTTTTTTTGCTTGTTTTCTGGCTCGAAATTTTTGTAGTCTGTTTTGGTTTCAGTTTGGTTTTAGATAGATTTTTGAAATATTTGTTTGATGATATTCATCCACCGATGACGTTCAACTACTGACAACTAAAAAAAAAAAAAATCAAACAAATAAATGAATCATGGTCAACATACATACCATAATAAGTAATTTATTTGAATTGTTGATTAATAGAAAATATCACGTGCATGTGACAACAAAAATATGGCAACGGTTCTCATCATATGAAAAATTTCGTCTCATTAACCACCGCCACTATTAATCAAGAATTAAACTTGCCATATATCCGGTATGTTTTATTCATTCAAAAAGAAACAGAAAAAAAATTTCTTGCCCGAATCAATTCATTTTCATACACTATTTGAGAAAAAGGCGGCCATTTCCACACAAAAGATCATTGGCCACAATTTTTTTGTTGTCATAAGTTTTTTTTGTTATCATGTAAAAATTGTTTTTTTTAATATTTTGTTACGAACAAACAAGCCGAATTTTTGACAAAGAAAGAAGAAAGAAAAACTGTGACAAGTTTATTTTGTAATAAACATTTTTATTTTTATATGATGAGGTTTGAAATCATTATTTTTGTTTTTAAAAATAATATTTTGCCCAAATGTTTTTTATATCAGGAAAATGTATGTTTGCTAAGAGATCGATTGACAACCCTTGGTGAATGGAATTATTATTTATCATTCGATTTTCGAATTCGAATCAATTCACATTTTTTATACACATCATTTGACCATCATCGCGTCATATACGATCAACTCGTTTTTCGATTTCGATTTTCTATTTTTCGAATAAAAGAAAAAAAATTTTTTTTTTTGCTCAAATGAACAAAATAGAACTTAATTGTCTTTGATTATCATCATCATCATCATCATCATCATCATTTTGAATCCATCATTCAAGAACGACAAGTTGGAACAAAGTGACTATATATTACATTAATCATCCATCAATCCTGCCTTAAAAGTCTATTGTAATTATCATTTACACAGATTAGTGATACCAATTTTTCAATTGATTCAAGTTAGTTTTTTTATGTGTCTGTGTGTGTGTGTATGTTTTATTTAATCAGAATTGATTATAATTTTTAATGTAGTGGATCAAATTTCTTCTCTCTCTCTCTCTACTGTCTTCAATCTATCCATCATTAATCTCGATTCGGAACGAATTGAATGAAATCGAATACCATCAATGAAAAACAGCAGCAGCAGCAGCAACAATTTTTTCCCGTTCAATATTTACTATCTGTCCGGAAATATACGCATTTATTGTGAACAAAAATAAGATGATTCGGAGCATCATCAGTTGATAAAAAAAACCCGTGTTGACATTTCCACTATTTTGTTTGTTTGTTTGTTTGTTCATGTCTGGCTCATGATTTTATCTTTTATTACATGGGTCATTCATTCAATTCAACACCAGACAATTTGATGACAGATTCTTTTCAGAATGAAGAAAAAAAACGATGAACTAGTTTCCATTTGTCTGCTGCATAATACTGTGTGAATATAAGAAAAAAGGATTGCTTGTGTATACAAAAAACATCATGAATGATTGAATTGAATCGAATACATTAGTTTACTATATATATATTTGGTTGTCGTATGTGATCGTCTTTTCATTGTTTGGATTTTTCAACATATATACCAAAGTTATTGATGACTTTTTCACATTGACATTTAAAGTTTTGCTCCAAATTTTTCATATGTATGGCTATTATTACTATAAATTGTCATGAATGAATATGATCGAAAATAGTAACGATTAATGATCTGGATTATTATAAATTTTTTTCCGTGATCATCTTTATTGAAAAGAAAGAGAAATTCATTTGAATTTCGAATATCCATCAAGATTTATTGTTATTTTTTTTGTTGTTGTTGTTCATTAGATATTGAGCTTGATATTCTCTCGATTCTATAGTAGAAAAATCTATCAAGTTTTATTAGAATTTCGTATATTCAATGAAGAATGGAAAGAAATAGAATAAAAATGATGAATATAAACAACCGTAAAAAAATTCCGTAATGAATTAGCAGTTATAAAAGTTTAGAGTTGTTTGTTTTTGTTTTGGTCTTAGTTATTTTTGGTTACAAACCAAAAAAAAATATTTCAAAATGACTTAGAATTTTATCAAGAATAACGGTAATCCAGTATAATATAGTAATGTGAAATGAAAATTGGGCGAGTCTCGTATCATTGTTGTTGTTGTTGTTGTTGTCATTTGACATATTGACATGAAAATTTTTTTTTCTGATTATCCAATATAATGTCTTATTATATTCTATCATCATCGCTAAGAGATTTTGGTGATTTTTTTTTTGATCAATGAATCAACTATTACAAACTTGATTGGTTTGATCCATTAAAAATTGCCATAAATTGCCATTGAGTATTTTTTTTTTTTTTTTTTTTTTTTGCTGATTATATCCATAGAGATGATGATTATTATTATAAATTTTATTTTCACAATTACTGTTATACCATAAACCAATATATATACACTCAAAAAAAATGTGAATTTGTACGTGTATGAGAGAAAGAGAGAGAGGATTGCACAAGAAGAACATTATTAATAGTAAAATCTTTCATACCTTTTTTTTCAATCTATGTTCAAAAAGTTAGATTTTCAGGTTTTTTTTTGTTGTTGTTGTTGTTGTTTTTATTTTTGAATGTGAAAACAACGTTTTATTTGTTTTGCCATTGATGATATTTGGATGGCTATATTGATAGCTGCTAGATGGGCGCTGTTCCACATCTGTTGACAATCATCATCAATTGAATAAGTCACACACACACGTATTGAATCTTTTGTGACAGGATTTTGTCTATACCCGGTTTATAACAAAATCAATCAAATCCAAGTGGTTGAATGTGGTTATAGAGTTATTGGATGAAATTTGATTTAATTGATTATTTTTCTGGGTAATCATTATCATCACTATTATTCAATGTTATTAATTGATTTTAATGATTATAACCTGTTTTTATCTTTGATAATCCTGTTTTTTCTCCAATTAATTAACTTGTTATCTATTTTTATCATTGTACAACTAAACTTTTTTTTTTTTTTCCATCCATCTCATCATAGATCATTTTAAAATTGGATCATTTCCATTGTTTCTTTGATCATCACCATAATCAATAATCAAACGGATACGAATTATATGAATTCCAAAGTAAATTCATCAATTTCATGAAAAACATTATGATTGTGACAAAGTGAAATATTTATCTGACAACGGAGTGGAAAAAAAATTCGCATAAAACAAATAAAATTGAAATTTATCGCCATCAACGTTTCTTTATAATCGTTGGGCTATTTGCCCCATCTCTTTTTTGTTGTTATTGTCGTCTACATTTTGTGAATTGTGAACTTCAGTGCCAAAAAAAAATAGATAGAATATATTCATCATCATGATGTCATCACCAACAACATCAACATCTGAAAACAGAATTCGTAGTCGAAGAAATTTTGTTTTCGACAATTCAATTTCATGCCTTAAAACCGAGAGAACAACAAACATCGACATCGACAATAAGAATAAGAATAATTATTATTATTATGATAATAATAGAATCAAGATGATGATGAATTTTAATCAAAATCCAAATTCATCGTTTCTAATTTTGGCTTATATTCTATTAATTATTACTGCCATTACAATTACTATTGTGAATGGTAATAATATTTGTGGTGCAACAGTGAATTTTCTTTATTGTAATTGTGATAATCACGATAATGCCCTAGAAGCTGATTGTTTTACTATTGGAGAAAATATTTCATCAAATGATCCAAAATGGCAATGGTTTTCCAAATATAAATCATTGAAACGATTGAAACTGAGTGGTTATAATAATGTTACATTACAAAAATTTCCAAAAATATTGTTTCAATCACAAACATTACGCAATTCATTACATGATGTGGTTCTAAGTGATCTACAATTCAAAACATTACCAACTGGTTCGTTCCAGAATATGAGCCAATTATTATTGGTTGATATTTCGCTTTGTTCACTAATGGAAATTCAAACCAATGCATTCGATAATCTAATTCGTCTGGAAAAGATTGCTATGACCAAGAATAATATTTCAACATTACCACGAATGTTTCGTAATGTTCCATCATTAAGAGAATTATTTCTTGAAGATAATAATATAACTAAATTTGAACGTGGTGTATTCGAATCGCTTGAAAATCTAAATTATCTTACATTGGATAATAATAAAATTCAAACATTATCATCATATTATTTTGATGGTCTTGTCGAATTGAATTCATTGGATTTACGTTATAATCAAATTGAACATTTACCGAGTCGTGTGTTTGAAAAATTATCGAAATTAGAAATATTGGATTTAAGCCATAATAAAATCGTTGATATTGATGAAGAAGCATTTGTTGGTTTAAAACAATTGAAAGAGTTACAAATCAAAAATAATAAATTGAAACAAATTGGTACACAATTACGTGTGATGGAGAATTTGATTGAAATCGATCTGGATGATAATGAAATACAAGCACTTTCGAAATATTCATTTTATCGTCCAGATCAGAAACGTTTTGTTAGTATGAAACTTCGAGGTAAGTTTTTTCCCATATTATTTTTAATAATATATTTGTTTTGTTTGATTTTTTTTATTGATTGAAACCTATTCCATATGACCGTATATCAATCAGTCAGTTACACTGACCAATAGAACAATCTATTAGCTATTGGTCATTTATTAGCTAAAAAGAAAAATTTCTAGTTGCTGTTTATGCACGCAAATCAAATTATATGGCCATGGATATTGTTTTATCTTGTTGAATCTAAAATGAATTTCCTTGATTTTAAGATATTCTGGCCTGATTTACCGTTTCATTTATTTTCCATTCAAGACATGATAAAAACAAAGAATTATCAAAATGCTTAAAATCTCTGATATCCGCCCTTAATGAACGTAAAACCTTGTGGTGAATGTGAACCATTTCTATTCGGTTTTTTTAGTTTTCCATTATTCTTTTTACCACAATTTCCTTTCATTTAGTCATTCATATCCGAATGATTTTCTATCTTGTGCTTGCATTTCCTGAAAAATTTTATTCATGTTGAATAAAATTGATTAGAATACTTGTTTAGCTTTTATTTTTATTGATATCTCACCAAATGGCAATACATTATTGCTATTCGAACAAATTGTACAAACAAACCCTGGACTCACAGTAAAAACAAAAATAAGGTAAACAGGCGACCATTTTCTTTTCACTAAAAAAAATCGGTTGTGACCATAGTGACAATATTGTTGTTGTTTTTTTTTCATCTCGTTCAAGATAAAAAAAAATTTAATTTTTTTCGGTTGTTGTTGTTTACTGAAACCATAGAGATTATCATCATTTGTGCAACAAAAAAACATTTTCATAATTCAATGATGATGATGATAATGTTGATGTTTGTGTAATTTACAAGGACGAAATTATATTTTGTTTATCCTGACTTGACTCATCATCATCATCATCATCATCATCATTGCTTGATTATTATTGTTGATAATTCTTATGACAAATATTTGATCAATTTATTTTGATGATGAGATATGAGATTGATAAACAAAACAAAAAACATTAATTCAACAACGGTAATTTTCACTTTCATATTGCAATTGCTAAAAAAAATGTTGAAAGATTCAATACAAGGATAATTTATTTTTTTTTCTCATAACATGAAAATCAGTAGCAATGAATGAATGAATGACAAGAAAAAAAACACTGAATATTTTTGATCATCATACATTTCTTATTGTTTGTTCAAAAAAAAAATAATACAATGACCTTTTTTTCTTATTTCATTCAACCTTTGAACTCAATGTGTGATAATCTTCCGTGTTTGTTGTGTAGGTTACGATTACTTTTTTGGCCAGGTCCTCGAATAAATTGTTGTTAATGTGTGTGTGTGTGTGTGTATGTTTGTTTGTTTGTTTGTGGTGGTATGTGTGTTCTACATCAAATTTAATGTTTGTTTAGACGATCCAAATATTTTTACAACATTCAATATTGTCAAGATTTTTCAATTGAATACTGTTGTTGTTATGGTTGCTTTTCTTTTTGTTTAGTTGTAGAAATCAATGACCTGTCTATACTATACTCATTTACTCATAATAATAATAATAAGATGTAAAATTTTTCTTTTCTTTATTAATCGATTTCCGTTTTTCTTTTTTTCACAATTTCGTATCATCATCATGATCCATTCCATTCATCATTATTGTTAGATAATCAACTATATTGTAATTGTCAATTATTCTGGCTGAAAGAAGCATTCGAAATGAATCCAGAAAATCGTAATTATAATAATAAGCAACGTTGTTATCTTGGCCAAGGACAATATTCGAATGATTTAACTATTGTACAATTTTTAATGGATAATTTAACAATTGAACAATGTACATTACCATTACCACCAACAATAGCTACTATTGATGATGATATTGAAACAGAACCTATTGAAACAATTGATTCAATTGAAGAAAATTTTAATGAAAAAATAGATGATTTACCAGATATTCCAACAGATGGCGATAAAAACACTGAACCAGAAATAATAGACAAAATCGATGAAAATATTGATGATCATGAAAATTCTGCAGATAATAATAATAATAATCATGAACCACCACAATTGAATGTAGCTGGATTTGATCGTACTAATTCAAATGATAATGATAATAAAGATAACGGTGTTTGTACATTGCATTCATGGAGTTCAGCATTAGCTTTATCATTTTTATTGATCATCATTTATCACTGCCCGTGAATAAAATTTGGAATTTCGCAAAAAACTTATCTCATACCATATATACACACATTCTTATTCATGTGGAAAAAATATGCCAATACCATCATCATCATCATTCAACATCCCACATCACATTTCCTTTTTTTTGTTCTTATTTACCTCCATCCTTTTTTTTCATTCTTTATTTTCGATTAATTTATGTTTTTGTTATTACGATCTATGATTTCAAATGAATATTTGTTTTCAAACAACACACACACACACACACATATGCATAGCTATGTACACAAAACATGTTTTTTGAATTTTCTTTCATTCTCTTTTTATTTCGTTCCAACAATAGTTTTGTTCGTTAGAACCAAACATCCAAACGCGAATACAAACTACTAACACTAAGTCAAACCATGTATTTTTTTGCGGCGTTTTCTTGTCAATTTACAATTCATTCATTCTACAATCTCACTAATCTTTACATTCAATTATGATTAATGTTATTAATTAATTAAAATTAAAATCTACATTCAGTTTGATTTCAATGTCTGTGTAATGAAAATAAATAAAAAACAAAATTAATTTGATGTGTTTTAAAAATTTCATCATTATTCAATTACAATTAGTTCATTGGAAACAGGATAGATCACAATTATTGTCACGATAGATAACAATCAATTATCTAATCAATCAATGATCGATCATCTTTCATTTGTTTGTTGTATCGTTGACACAATTGGTGCAACATTTTTTTTTTCGCAATAATAATAAAGAATAATATCCAAATTACAATGGCCAGCAACAAGATCAAGGACGACAATATTTCATTTTCACCAATGACATTGTCATCATCATAGTATTTTTTTTTCGATCGAAACTTTTCCATTTAGATTATCAGGGACCAAAATGAGAACAAAAGAAAAACTAATGATAATTGCCATCAAATATACCTACCTATTATAACAGAATGGTGGAAACTTAATCTACCGACATAGGTATAGAATCATTTCAGTCAATGTTGTTATGATGGTGAAAAAAAAATGGGAAAATTAACTAAGATATCGTTTATTCGATCAATTTTGTTTTTTTTTTTTTTGTTTTATTCTTTGCCAGACATTCACAAGAAATTCATAAAAAACACAAATAAATTATGACTATACTACCATATAGAATTTTGCCCAAATATATCATATTTAATGTGAATTGTCTGATATAATTTCATTTTCGTTGATGAAAAATATTGATTATAATTTCAAATATAAAGTTCTGTTATTGATCAATATCAATTCTTATTATTTGATCATAATAAAAATAAAAATAATCAATATTCTGGACGAATATGTGAACAGGAACAGGAAATTTCCATACATTTATCAATCAATCAATAATTCATTTATTCAATTCATCATCAGGTTAGCTTTGTTGGTCATCGCCAAGACCAGTTTTCATTTTCCATTTCGAATGGTTGCAGTATTCATTCATTAAGAACAACAAAAACTGGATTCGTGGGAAACGATAAATTAATTTAAAGTTTTTTTTATGAGCAAAATAAAAAAAAAATCAATATTTCAGTGCAAAAAAATAATGAATATATAATTCGAAAGAATTGCATTTGGAATATATGAAAAAAATGCTTGTTTTTATTCTGCTAATGATATTCTGATGGGTGTGGCCCTGTTTTTTTTTTTTTATTATCTCATTTGGTGGTGATTGTCACCAAATGTTGATGATTGTTTTTATTCCCTACTGCTAGCCCCCAGCACAAAAATGAATGTCATTTATAAATTTTTTTTCTGGTATCAAAAAAACAAAAAAAAAACACGAAAAAAATTAGAATTCAAATGGTGATATTGTTTGCACCTTTTGTCTATACAGTATTATCATATTAGATTCATTATCAAACAATAGATATAAAACGAATGATGATGATCATCATCATTAATGGACAATAATAGACAATATATAAATGAAACAAAATTCTCAATGGAATAATATTCGAGAATAATTTTTTTTCTATTTTTTTATCAAGATCAGTTGATCGGTTGTTTCATATGATATGCGCATGACAAAAATGACAAAAAAAATACCTGTAGAAATTTTGTTTTTTTTTCGATTTTTCATTATTATTCACCATTTCTTCGATACCTTTATGGCCATGAAGATGATTTTCTCCAATTGGGTATTGCGCCTGCGATCAGATTCATATGAAATGATCCATACACTTTTCATTTTTATTTTTGTGTGTGTGTGTTTTTTTTTCTCCCCTTTCATCATCATCATCATTATATCTTATAAACACTAGGAAATTATATGTCAGCATTCTGTTCTTTTTTTATATTGTTGAAGAGACAAACATTGGAAAAGAATCACATATGCTATTATATAATGGTATATTGTGACTAGCAATATATACACAGAACAATAATGGATCAAGTTTTGATAATGTGATAGTCATACATAATTATGTTATTACCGCATACCTAGATTGTTGGTTGTTCGGCCCGGTTCGTTCGAATTCTTTCTAGTTTTTCTTTCTTTGTTTTGTATGTATCTATGAATGTCTGTTTTGTTTCATCTGTAAAATGTATTTGTTTTGGACAGAAAATTCATGGTTGCTTAGGACAGCGGAGAAAAAATTCCAATATACATTTTAAATCTTGTGTGTGCCATTCCATTTAATACTGAATTCAATGTCAAAGTCAAAGTTTTTCTCACCAGACAATTGGACGATTGTTAAATTTTTTTTGAAATTTTTATCAAAAAATTCGAAAAATAATCTCAACAATAATAATGATCGAAACATCAATAATCGATCATTTGATAGCGAAAAAAATCGTCCAAAACTTCGGATCGATCCACCATCGCCATTACGACCATCATCATCATCATCGAACAAAAACAATGATCAATACATCAATGATGGTCCAAGTTTAGGCACATTGATATGCAAACTTATCTTGGCAATTCATTTTATTCTATTTATTCTTCTACAATTTCTTTGGTCTTCTTGGTGCCTATGGTTCCAGATGAATACAATGGATCCATTGTTCAAAATGGCATTGTTCACGACAATGACCTTTATTGATTCTTATCTTTCCTATCATGTTTTATTATGGTTGATAATTCTTATAAAATCGATGAAAAAAAGGACACACCAATATTTAATCGAACGTCGACGAAAGCGACAACTAGGACGAACCCCGCCTGAGCTTCAAACCACATTGACAACTCCAATGAGCGCATTAACATTACAAAGTCTTTCATTGGTTTCCAATTATTTTGATGTAACGCCTACACCGACGCCAACGATTATCATACCAACAATCAATGTTCGTTTAGCTCAAGACCAAGATGATTATGATGATGAAACGGGATTTGAATCAATAAAGTTTATTGATGATTCCAAATCTACAATGGACATGAATTCTTGTTTGAGTTTCATTAAAAGAAAATCGTCTGCAACATCATCAATATCGTCAATTGATATGTTGGCAAATTATTTAAATCAATTCGATGTTAGTTATTTGAGGAAACATAGCCAAGATTTGACTACTGGAGAAAAGCTAACCTCTTCAAACGAAAGTTTGGCAACTGAATGTTCGAAATCTTACCGTGATTCAATGCCCTAATCAAAGAGAAAAAATGACATTTTGATTAAAAAAATTTTTTTTAACTTAAAAGTTTATTTTAAAATAAATTCGTGATGAAATCCATGAAATTCATTTACCATTTAATAATACCTGTTTCGAATTTGAATATATTTCAAAATGTTCTATCTGCTGCCATCTAATGTCTTTAATACAATTATTAATTGTTTATGAATCGTCTGCTTTTTCTGTCGATAGACGGCAGTACTGTTGATGCATCGAATGGATTAAGTATCGCCATCTGATTATAAAATATTAAACTAATTATTTTTCAAAATAAATATTAAGATTTAATTAAAAGAGCGAACGATTTTTATTTGATAATTGGAAATTTTTAATTACAAAAACAATAATAAGATAATAATTATAACAAAAGTTAAAGTATAATCTTTATTTTAATATGATTCAGTCATAGGCATTTCTTGTTCATAATCCGATTCGATTATTTCATCTGTATCATCATCATCATCAACATCATCGTCTTCATCTTCATCTTCAATTTCAATGATGATCAAATCTTCATCTTCGTCCAAACAATTCATATCCGACAAAATTACATGATTTGATCCATGATGGCCAATATGAAGATCAATATGATCATCAACAGTTTCATTGATTAGTGGTAACGAAAAATCAATTTTGGTCAATTGATTTGATGAATTTCTTGAATTAATATCAACATTCGATGCTGATGATGATAAATTTGCGGTTTTATGTTCATGATGATGTATTCCATAATGATTAATAGATGTGGATAATAAATTATTATAATTTACTCTATTACAATTGTCAAACATATCATTCGAATTACGTATCATTCCATAGGGATCAAACAATTTTGTTATAACCTTATTATTATTATCATGAACATCATCATGAATACAAATCAATTCGTCAACTTCATCATTATGAACATTATCATTATTGTTGTCATCATTCAATGAATTATTTGTATGGTTGATTTTAAAATGATTTTCTATTGTTGATGATTTTTGTTCACGTTGTTGTTGTACACTATTCACAGGATTTAAATCAACCGATCCCAAAGTACTAGCTACTGATGTAGCATCATCATTAGAATTTTGAACTGTAAATGTGTCAGGATTCGAAAAATGTTTGGCAAAGTTCATACCATTATAATGGCTATGATGTTGTTGTTGTTGTTGTATAGAATGATGATGATAGTAAACAGAAGATGAAGACGAAGTTGATGATGATGAAGATGGCATTGATGTTGTTGGCAGTTTTGTTACAGATGATGGCATAAACAGCGAAGGCGATGATGACAATGACGATGAGGATGATGACAGATGATGCGAATAGAATCCACCACCATTTTGTATGACTTGATTTTGATGATGATGATGATGCTGAAATACTGGCAAACAAGATTCTGCATTTGAATCATTGTCATTATTAATGGGTTGTTGGCGACAATAATAACAATAACAACAATGAGAATGCTTCTGTGAGGCATTTGGTCTAATGGATCCAGTTTGGTTGCCGTTGATCGTTTCCGTTATCGTTATAATACTATTGTTACTAGTTGGAGTTGTTGTTGCCGACATTGTCCTTGATGTTTGGGCCGCTGTTTGAATATAATGTTGATTTGAATTTCGGTGTTGATAATGTTGCTGCTGTTTGTTGTTGTTGGAGATAAGGATGCAAATTGAAGGCATTACAGGATTGTTGCTGCTGTGAATGATGATCCAACGAAACTATTGGAAAACTTAACGATCGGTTCAATGAAGTTGAAGTAAAATCTGGCATTGTTGTGTCGATAAATGGAACAGCTGTATGTTGTTCAGTTGCGGACGATGTTGTATCATTGGAACAGTGAAATGAACATCCATCTGGACAATTATAGGTATCATTACTACAACAGCATATTAAATTGGTTTTTGTACCAGAATTATAATTCTGATGATGATGATGATGTTGACGTTCAGGTATTTTATTTGTTGAAAAATTTGTCTTATCATCTTTTGATTTTAAAATCGATTGATGTTGTTGTTGTTGTTCACAATCATTATGATCTTCAATATTATTGCTATTACCACATTGTAAACATTGTTTGTCATTATTATTTTTGACATTCAATAGATCACAAGAGATTGTTGAATCTTTTTGTAATAAAAGTTCTGCAACATCAGAATCCATATTGTGATGATTTTGATGATTATAATGATGATGATGTCGATGATGATGATGGTGATGATGATGTAAATGACTATGGCCACCAATATCATCATTATTGTGATCATCATCTTCACCATTTGAATTTTGATGATCAATATTACCAAATAACCATTTTGATATCTGTTGTGTATAGTTATTTAAAAATTTTGATATTTTATTGCCGCCATTACCATAATCCATGAATATTAATCGTAACGAACCATATTGCTGTAGATAATGTTTGAGCTAAATATTCCAATAAATAAAAAAACAACAAATGAAACAAAATCATAATATGTACGAAAAAAAATGGTATAAAAAAAATTTGTTTTTATGTAAAAAAAATGTTGATGGATTTGGTATCTGTGAATTTTTTTTTATCTCGTTTGTTTCCTATTGAACATATTTTATTTTTTCATCATCGTCGCCGTTATCTTGAATAGTTCACTCCACCATTTATGAATGAGAATACTTTGAATCATTTGAATCGATAAGAGTTATGTTTGAAAAACTAGCGACAACGATGAAAATCGAAAACAAAATCGATAGATATGGCAAAAAAAAAACAAATTTGCATATATAGTCCTGCACAAAATAATCAAACTAAACTTAGCCTGAATGTTCAATGTTGTCGACAAAATAAATAAACACAATTCGATATGTTCGATTTCAGTCTGTAACCTACAAATAATAACAATGCAAACTATTCCAATATAAAAACAACAACAAAAAATCTCATGAAAGTCATTATCATCTTCTGCCAACTGTGTCAATTTTTTTTCTATTTCAAACACACACACACACAAATGAAGAATTTTTCAATAAATTCACACATTCTAAATCGAATAATGGTAGAAGATTACAAAGTTTTGTTTCGCATACTTTTCTTATTGATGGAAAAATTATTCATTTTCAGGAATATTCTTTTCTGCTTTGCAACAACAACAACGACAACAGCAACAATGATTCAATTCTATCGTCAGAAATAAGATTAAATATTCTTTCTATTCAAAAGAAAAAAAATCCCACTGCCAAAATCAAACTAATTGACAAGTTAGATACTTTGTCGTGATGAAGATAGATTTATTTTTCTTTCATTTTTTGTTTGTTTGTTTGTTTGTTCACATTCAAAGTTGTTGACAAAAACTTAAATGAATGAATTTTTTTTTCAATGTTAAGTTATAAGTTTCTTTTTTTGAAAAAAGTCTGAATTGAAAATGAAATGAAAAAACAAAATCTTCATTGAAATTGCTAAGACTAGCAGCCGGTTTTTCAAAGTTGATCAACAAACATTAGCCATATGACTGTTTTTGTCATAATATCCAAAACATCAAACTAAACTTTTATTTGTTAAATTCTGGACCCGTTAACAAACACGTATGACGAAGCTTAGTTTATCGTTGTTCATGTCATAAAGATACGAAAAAAAACTACAGCCACAAAACAGAAATTATGGTATTGAAAAAAAAACACCCATGGGCAAGAAAAATGAACAAATTTATATAAAAAAACGGAACAATATTTGTGTATGCGCGCAAAAGCTAACATTTATATACGATCCATAATTACAATTTAATAATAGGAAAAGCATCAAGAAAAAAAATAGAGCAAACAATCTCTGGGCTATATGTGTACGAGTAATAAGTAGAAGGAAATATGGAATTTTTTTTTTTATCCCTTAGCCCAGGATTTTATTATTATGTTCCCTATATGCCATCAAATATTAAATTCCAAACAAAGACAAATAAAGATAGAATTCGAAAATTATTGCTAGAGAATCATTTAGGTTCAAAAATAATATTACTACCATGGTGGACGCAAATGTTTGTAAATGTGTTTGTATTTGAGTGTGTGTGTGTGTGTGTATGGAAAATGATGCTTACATTATAACGTTGATAGCAATGAAAATAGAATGCTAAAAATGAATGTGATCCATTGGTTAATGCGAATATCAATTCAAATGGCGTTGTACGTAATGTTTCCAATGATAAGACGCCCAAAAACCAATTGAGACAAAAAAATGGTAATAATATTATACAAGCTCGTATTGATGGCCGAATCTGGTGAATTTGTGAACGATGCGACAATGGTTTTCTTTCAAAATAACGTTTAAGCACCAATAGTATCAAACATGTATTGAGCTTTATTATTATTATTATTGTTTTTTCAGTTAGATCAATAAGAATTCCATAAATAATAAATGTATATATCGTTGGGAAAAATTCCAAATTCATCGCAAGCATTCATTGCCATCATCAATGTTGTCGATTGAATGAAAAATGATCAAATTATAAGAGAAAATAATAGAAAAAGAAAATGAAAAGAAAAACAATATTTTTCATTATAGATTAATAATAATGAATATTTTTTTTCAAGAATCGAACATCTATTATTTCTTATTCTTTAATGTCGGTAATCACACACACACAAACACATACCGAAATTAGAAGCAATACAGGCATTATAAACGAATATTGAATACCGCCTTCAATGGACATCCAACAGCTATAAGAAAAAAAAAAAAGAATAAGTAATGAACGATAAAATATGATTAATTGATAATGGTGAGAATCCAAAAATATCGATTCTGAATTAAATCAATAACTTTGTAAAATCAAAAGAATGAAAATCGAATGTTACTTTATTATTATTCACTTACTATCGTTTGGTTTCATATCCTTTTGAATTGAGCAAATAGGATAATAGAACAAATATGAATGGAAAACCTAATGAAAGGCATAAATAGTGAGCACAATTCCAAGTGACAAAAATGGAACGAAAAAAATCTTCAAGACATCTGAAAAGATTTCTATTATTATTATTATCATCATTGTCATTATTATGATGTTTTGATTGTTGATTATTATTGTCATTATGATGGCCATGATGGTGATGATGGTGATGATGATGATGATTATTATTATTATTCTGTTGTTGTAATCGATTATTTGATGATGATGTTGATAATGATGGTGATGAAGGCAACAACAATGATGTCGATGATGATGATGATAAGGAACATTTTTGATGATGATTTGTTGGTAAATTGGTTTTGATTTCTTTCATTGATAATGATGAGGATTTTGTTTCCAAAGTTGATGATGAAGTTGATAACAATGGTTCTTTGTTAACATTGGACATTTCTGTAGACTGATGTTGTTGCTGTTGTAGTGAACTGAATGGAACATTTATTTTTGATAAACTATTATTATTATTTTCATTAAAACGAGTCGATCCATTTATATCGGATTTCTTTTTCATATGAAAGAATTTGGATGACACATTTTTTTGACAAAATTTATGGAATTTTCTTTTGATCATTTGAAATATCGAGCATCTACCATTATTATCATGTTGTTGTTGGTCGATGGATTTTTCATCCATAATATTTGCCATCATGATCTGATGATGGTTCTGTGTTTTTAACTTTTTCAGAAATTTTCGTCTACATTCATGACTGAAAGCACCCAATTCATTCATTGTCATTATATCATTCACCGTTGACGATGACGTTGTTTTAAATGGATGTCGTCGTCGTTTGGTTTGTAGTTTATGAGATGGATTCTGTGAATTTATCGATATATTCGCTGATAACGATGATGTTGATGTTGCTGCTGCTGTTGATGAAGGTTCTTTATGACGACGCCACATTCGTTGATATAAAAGAATCGTATGCGATAACATCCAAAACATTGAAGCCAAATGAATGAAATGCAAAAATATTGGCACGGAAAGACATAAAATATGTTTAATTTGATTGGAGAAGGCTGTCGTTTCGAAACCGGTAGATAGCTGTTCGACACGGATCCAGAAAAGATCCATATGAATCGTGGTTCCCAATAAAAATGTCAATTGAATCAACAAAAGTGCAATTACTAGATTTCTAATAATGAAAAATGTTTCTCGAGTTTCATAATGCCGTAGTCGATATTGAATAATCAAGGTCAATGAGAAAAATATGACACTTGATATAAGACTTGTATATAATATGATATCATAAAGAAAATGATGGCTTGATGGTGCCATAGTTCCGGGTGAAATATGAAAACCGCTTGAACGTATTATACGAGCAGCTATATTATTATTATTATGTCGATAATAAGTTTTATCCGTCGTCATATCATCATCATTATCCATGGATGATTCAAGTAAATTATTTTCACCATTCACTATTGTTACTGATGTTGTTGTTTGATTCATAACTAGCTGTAATGTATTATTATTATTATTTATATTGTCTACTACAACAGACCACCGGCTAACGGCACCAATCAAACCGGGTTCATTACAAAGACATCGAAGATGTGTTCCATTATAACTAGCTGTACGGCAGCCACCATTATCGATTGTCCATATAGGTCTATGATAATAATAATAATAATGAATTGGAGAGAAAATAAAACAAAGAGAAAAATAATTATGACAAACACAAAGATAAACAAAAAAAAATTGTTTCAATATTTTGTTGGATAATATATAACAAAATGTTTTTCAAAAAAAAATCTGAATATTATTATAACATATGGCCATGGCATATACATAATAAATACTATTGATTACAATTTTTTTCTGTTGTGGCCATAAAAAATCAATCAATCAATTATATATATAGATATAAACGCGGCAACTAAATATTCCGTCAAAAAAAACTATTTTCATAAACACAAACACCCTGCGAAAAAAATTTGCAACAACTAATAATAATGTGTAATAGTGTGTCTTTGAACAAAATAGCGGCATTCAAATTTAAATTTCAAATGACCGATCGACGGGAGAAAAAATAAAAAAATTCTCATACAGATCCATTTCCTTGGTTTCCTTTTTTCATTCAGTAAAACCATTCCCAAACATTTCACATACACACGAAAAAAACGATGGAAAAAAGTTATCATAAATTATTAAAACAGAAAACAGGAAGAAATCAAGAAAAAGAAGGAAAAAGGAAAAAAATTCTACATTGAATGACGATGATGATGATGATAGTAACAACAATCAACACAGCAAAAGATCATTGGGGTTTTGGGCTCTCTTTTGGGTACTGCTGCCAAGGACATCTAAATTTTTTTTTTGTTTCAGAACCAATTCAGAATTCAAGAGATCTAAACAAAAGAACAAAAAAAACTGTGAAAAAGAGAAAAAAAAATTGTTTTCATTTATATTTTTTTTCTTGCAAAACGAAAGACTTTCATTTGTCAAGAATAAAATTGGTAAAGAAAACAAAACAAAGAAAACTGTTATGGACACTGTTCATGAATACATCATCATCATCATCATCATCATGTATGAACCGAAAACAATCACAAACCATGCACACAATAGAGAGAATGTTTTGGAATAAATTAAATTTCCAAACAACGGTTCGTTTGTCAGCAAATTTACAGATGGACAATGAGAAAAACAATAAAAGAATGGAGAGAAAAAATGGAAAATGAAAGGAAATCAAGTCAACACATGATGGAAAATAACCTAAAATTTTTAGGGAACAAAATTAAACTTTTAGTATTCTTGAATTAAAATTCTATACTATTTTCCGAGTGTCATTCACATGTCGTTTTCAATGTAATCGTTGTTCATTATAGTAACATTTTCAACATCAAATATAAAACAAACAAAAGAAATTGAGCACAACAAATTTATAAAGCCACAAATTGTGAAGAAAAACTGATTTTTTTTTTTGGTTGATGATTGTAAATAACAAATTTTCCAGAACATACAAAAATAAATATACGTAGTATGCAGAAAAAAATATTGGCTGTCAAAAACACGGCTGTGAGAATATCAGTTTAATTTTAGTTTAAGCATCAAGCCAAAAAAAGAAATAGAAATTAGCATCACATACCGTTAAATTACATTTTTTTTCATATATATAACATCCTAAAGTTTATTCTCGACTCATAATGGGTATGTGTGTGTGAATTAAATGAATTTATCAAAGATGCCAAGAAGCAAATATAAATTGTATAGAGACAAGCAAAAAAAAAAAAATAAATAAATTTTAAAAAAATCCAATAAACAGTCAAGTGAATGTTGGCTTCACTACATTGCTTTATTTTCGTTTTTTTTTCTCTCGTTCATTTCGCCTTCGAAAAAAGTTTGAAAACAAATGAACAAAAAAGGCTAAATCTTTAAATCCACTCATGTCGTCGATGTCGTCATCATTTTTTTGGTTCTGTTGTTGTCGATCACTAATCTGATTAAGGTAATTTTTCGTACATCCGTTCGTCCATTTAAGGAACGACAATAGATGAGAGAGAGAGAAAAAAAAATTTAATCCTTCTACTTACGGACCAATGGAAAGTGAGAGTGGAAGAGAAAAAAAATGTGAAGAATATAATTATATGGCCAACATCATCATCATCATCAAACTAAAAAGGAATGTTCGAATGGAATGAAAGTAATGGAAAAAAAATTTTCCGGCCCGAATCTTGGTTCAAACATTTTTTTCTGGGTCAATAGAGGATCAAAATCGAAATATATTGACCTCAATTTATTTCGTTTTCAAAATCTCATTGTTTTTTACTAAAGCTTTTGTCTATGCATCCGATAGTAAGCGATCTTCATATATAATAATAATAAGATGATAACATTGCATTCAAGAGCTTGTTGATTAATTAAATTTATTATCTCAATATATATAGCAAGAAAGAAAGTAAAAGTAAGAAAATTGAAATGAAAAAAATTTTTGGTACACCATAAGAATCGAATGGATAGGCAAAATTACTGGTTCAATTTCCACATGTGATTATTACTATGGAACTAAACGAATGTAACACAAACAAAGACATAAACGATGACCAAACTTAATAAAAATTTCTAACAATTTTTTTTCAGACATCAATCGTCATACCACATTCTATATTTTTCTCTCTTGCTAACATTGTTGATTGATGTCCGAAGGGTCTATCAATTTTGTTTGTATAAGTAACAGGGACTATGACTAGGTCTGGAATGATTTTCAAGTGTTTCTCTATTGGGATTGAATATTTCAACCAACCAACCAACCAACCAACCAACCAAACCAATCGATAGAAAAAAAACAAACATTTCCCATAAGTTAATGTAAACAAAGTTGATATAAAAAGAAAGAAAAAACTCACTGTTTACGATGTGATATCATCAATCGAGCGCAGTGAATTGTATTGACTGTTGTCAATGACGATGATGATGATTTGTTTGTTTTGATGATAGATTCATTATAAACATGATGATTATGATGATGATGATGATGTTGTTGATGGCGATTGAAGAAACAGCCATCATCATTGTTAGTATTTGTATCGAAATTTGAGCTGTTTATTTTATACTTATCTTCTGAAATATTGGCCTTCATTATTATTGTTTTATTATTATTATTGTTACAATTTTTCTTTTCAAAATGTTTCCTGTTGTCATCATCATCATCATCATAGAATCGGAAGACCACTTCGAAACAAGGAGCAATTTCAAAATTAACTTGTATTGATACAGCTGGTACTAATGATATTGACAGTATTTGATTACTTATATTCATCATCATTATTTTTGATGAATGTGAATTATGTTCATGTTGTTCATCATTATTTTGTTTGGCCATTGCTGTCGTACTGATTGTTTGATCAAATATATTATTGAACCAGATTTCTGTAACGCCCACATCCAATTCATTCATACCTGTATTTTTTATTTTTGCACCATTAAATGTATGAAAAAAAAAATTTGTTTTTGTTAGAAATATCATAAATAAAGAATAACACAGTTAACCATACCATTAACGATGATTGTCGATGGAGCATTCGAATTGTATAACGTTTCTTTCAATGATGATAATGATGATGATGATGATGATGATGAAGGCATCAATAAATTACACATATCATTAAAATCAATTGTTTGATTTGTTTGCACCAGTGTTATTAATTTTGGTTTAATTTGACGTTGATATCGAAGATTGATTCCTGTGTGTTTTTGACACATAATTCAAGTGGAATAATTATAATTGAAATTGAAATTAGAAGCATTGTATATTGAAAATAAAAATCAATAAAAAGGGACAGAAAAATTCTGTCAATATTATGAATCAATAATTCTGACATTTTTTTTCTCTCACAGATTCATAATAACATTAAATAATCATTATTATTATTATTATATTTACCAAAATTTTTTGTCGAAGGAAAAAATGGTCGTTGTTTTCCAATAATACTGTTCAAATGTTCAATTGAGCCATCCTGACAAGCTAATATGAAGGCACGTAACAAATTGTCCATCAAAAGTCGTACCGAACTAATTAACTGTATTAATTCAGTTATTATTGATTCCTTGATTGATTGATTTGAAATACAAAAAAAAAATTCAAAAAGAAAAATTAAATAAAAATTTTGTGAGTTAAAATCTTCATTTTCAATGAAATGAAGCAAAAAACTATCGATGTTCGACGGGAAAAAAACCATCGATTATTAAAATTGAGAAAATGATCAATGAAAAAAAAAAAAGTAGTAAGCAATAACAAATTGATCAAATTGCCTAATTTGTTGTTATAATATTAGATCAACGTTCCTAAAGTTTAATTAATCTAGCTATATATTAGTATTAGTCTTATTTATGTGTTTAATGTTTTTATATTTATGAGTGGATGGCAAAAATAATGTATACATGTACTTTAACAAGTTTTCTGATATGAATCTGTTGGTTTTCAAAGTTTGGTTCCAATTTTTTTCCCGATTTTTTTCTGTTGTTGTTGTTGTTGTTGTCGTTGTTCCAATCTTATTGTCGACTATTAACCAAAAAAAAAGAGAGAAAAACTCTAAATCCTTAACGTCATTCGTATGGACCATTAACACAGCTGAACATACTACTAATAATAGTACAAAACAAGGGGGGCAAAATACATCGATACATCTGAAAACAACAATATCAACAGAAGAAAAAAGAAAAAAAAAACAAGCAACAAAATTCGACCTCATTGACGATGATCGATCGGAATAAATCTTGGTCTCTATAGCGATTTCATTTATTCACTATTTGGACCATTAAAAACGTTGTATATGTGAATGTGAATGTGTGTGTATCACTAATGATGATGATGATGATCATGAATGTGAATGAAATGCATTGTAGTGTGAAAAAAAAATCAAAAATAAATCGAATATATATAATAAAACATAGTGAAAGAAAAATATTCTAATAGATCAAAAATGTGGCAACACAAAATACAAGGAGCCGATTTAAATTTGATGTTGTTAATTTAATACTTTTGCCAGGAATAGAATTATTGATTGGACAGTGAAATTATTAATTTTTTTTTCGTACAAGTAAATTTATTTATATCTTAGTCTCTCTGTGATTGATCGAAATCATCAATCTATTTATTAGTCCACTTAGTCTAGGTTTTCTTACAAGAAAAAAAAATCAAATAAGTCTTATATTTCATTTTTGGGGGGGATATGGTTTATCGAGCAAAAAAAAAATCATATGTATTTGATGTAAAGAAACTAAGGAAAGCTGGTAAAAAAAAGAATAAATAAAATTAAATTTTTTTCTTCGTTTCATCTAGAGACCATATTTTTTTTTGGTGGGTAGCGATATGTGTGTTGGTTCCATGGAAACCCCAAAAAAAATATACAGAAAAAAAACTCAAGATAAATTGAATAAAGATGAAAGGTTTCACTTTTTTTTTTTTTATTCATCTAGAGACCATATTTTTTTTTGGTGGGTAGCGATATGTGTGTTGGTTCCATGGAAACCCCAAAAAAAATATACAGAAAAAAAACTCAAGATAAATTGAATAAAGATGAAAGGTTTCACTTTTTTTTCAATATTTTTTGATCTCATATGTGTGTGTGTGGTCTGGCACGCAAAGCTACATAATTTGTTACATCGACACACACACACACACACACTATATAATCACTTGTATGTATTGAACGAAAAAAAAAATTGAAAAACATTACGTATGGATTATGTATGATTCATCAGAATCAATATTAAAAAAACAAAAATATTCTATCCATTATTTTACACATTATTCTCTATCTATCTCTGTATATTATTGATGAGTAGGTATGTCTATAAGGTCCATAATAAGAATCAAGGAATATATAAAAATTTTGTAGAATAAATTTATTCACACACACACAAACACAGTTTTGACATGCAAATTTTTCTTCTTTTTTTCCAACATTATAATTCTTTCTCATATCATCATCATCATCATCGTCATGATGAAAATGTTTCCTTTATTTTCTGTAAATTACAAACCAGAAAAGGTTTTAAGAAGCATTGAATGTATTGTATTATTTGTTATTTTTTGCATCAAAGAAACAAAAGAAATATATGAAATAATAAGCCAAGTAATAAGTTTTTGAATATTGATATATACAACACAAAGGTTCGGGTTATAATTATAATTATGAATTTGCAACAGTCAAAAAATAATGAAAACCATAAGGTATTACCACCATACTTACATTATTTCTACGAACATTATGATTGATTGGTTCCAATAAACGATCCGTTATGATAATGACAGACTATATATGTGGTTGTTTTGTTTTGTTTTTGGGCCATCATCAAATAAAAAACCATAGCAAGATTGGCATTAAACAAATAAATCCAAAAACAAAGATTAAAGAAAAATTAGATCAGTTGATGAATATGAAACAACAATGTGGCAATGTGTGTGTGTATGTATGCATGTGTGTTTATCTAATAAGTCAAATTTTCACCAGTGGGTAATGATTTTTTTTTTGCTGGTTGATTAAATTCATTTCATTTTCATGTTTTTGTTTATTCAATAATAATTGGATTTTTCTTCCATTGTTTTGTTTTGTTTGTTTGTTTATTTTTTTCATTTAACAAATGCCAAAAAAAAAAAAAAAAATTGAAACAATGTATCTTAATGAAAAAAAGATTCTAGATGTTGTTTGCACTTGTATGTGCGTGTGTGTGTGTGTGTGTTTGTTTGATTTATTTGAAATTTTCATTCATTTTCTTACCTGAATAAAATGTACCATTGTACGTTGTTGTTCATAATCATAACGATCAAAACGAATTTTATGTTCAGTCATATGATGTAAAATTGAATTAAATAATAAAAGTGAATCTTTATGATCCAATACATTGTATATATTTTGTTTGATCAATAAATTTCTTAATTCAATAATCAATAAGAATAGGCCATCGATAAGATGTTTTCGTGAATGTTGATTCACCTAAACACATATACATAGAAGAAAAAAGAAAACAAAAAATTATTAACAAACATTTGAACAATGTGTGTGTGTGTATATGCTAGAGAGATAGAAAGAGAGAAGAAAATCTCATAAAAAACAGCCAATGTTACAATTCTGGCAACGTAAAACAAAACAAACGAGAATGATATTCCAACTGGATGATGCTCAGACCAACAATCCGGAACAACGACAACAATGTGTAACGAAAAAAATTCTTCACATTATACAACAACAACAACAACAACATCATGATGGTTAAATTGAATGCAAAAACATACCCAAACGCAAATATTTACCTTTTTATGCTCGTGTTTGTGTATATGTGTGTGTGTGTATGCCAATTGAATCTGGATCAAAACTGATTTCTGGCTTCCCATTTCTCACTCATTTCATACTATGTGTTTCACTTGGCTACATTTGACAACAACAATTGAAACAATGGTTCAACATAGGTTTTCATTTTTATTCAGTTGAATCAACCATTAAATGGTTAATGGATTGCATGAAATTTATTTCTCTTTTTTTTATCTTTGATTCCATGATAATGTTTACATTTGTTTATACGATAAAATTCTTTTTTACAGACCATGGACACGCAATAGATCTATACATCATCATTCAGAATGAATTCAATTCGACATTTATATTCAACAACAATATTTTTGATTCACATTTAATTCTACAATAAAGTGAAGAAATCAATTTCATTTTCTTCGTTAATACAAAATAGAGAATGTATGTGCGTGTGAGAGACAGAAAAAGAGATTGGTAGTCAAAGTTAAACAAAACAAAAAAAAGGAAAAAAATGAACATCCTATCCTATGCATTTATTGGAAGAGAGAATCCAAAAACTGAAATAAATTCACTTTTTTTTATTCAATCTTTGATATCTCGTGGTTAGCCATATATTCTGATTTTTTTTTTTCGGATTCTGTTCTTTTTGTTCGCAACAATGATAATAGCAACCAGAAACCAGAAACAAGAAAATCGAACATTTTGCTTTTGCAGAAAAAAAAATAATATTTTATCAGCTGTATTGTATGATTGTTATTATTTTTTTTCCTGTTCTATTTGTGTTGGGCAAAGTTATTTTTGTTCATGGATTGAAAAAAATTGAAAATTGAATCAAACTGATATGACACACACACACAAGTAAAAATAACGCAATTTTTCTTTGAAATGCAAAACAAGCCCGATTTTTTCTATAGATATATACATACATAATGTTCAATGGATGAAACGACCAAAGGCTACTCTACTATACCTAACACCATTATATAATGGCTAAAAATTGAATCATGATTTTTTTTCAATGAACTAAATATATTTTTTTTGTGACGCCAGAATTTTATTCAATTCGAATTCGGCATTCTATTCTAGATATGTGATTTTGAATAACTAATGTATAATAATATGGGCGAAAAAGTGTCTGTGTATAATAATAATAATAATGCTGATGATAAAATTATTAATAGAAAAATAGCCTTGAAGCTATTCGCTTTCAAATTGTGAAAAAAAATACAAATATTACATCAGGCGTCATCAAAATCCAATTGGGCAATCTATTTTCATCTATTCATATATTGATCGATGAGATGAGAATTGTGTATGAATTGTATTCGAGAATACAATTATTGAAAGAAAATCAAACAAAAAAAAAATTCTGAAGTGTGAAGGTGAAAAAAAATGAATTCTTTTCTTACCAGATAATGTAATTCACGAAGTTTTGTCAAACGACATTCACTCATATCAGGTTCCATCCAAATGGCTTTAGAATGATGTTGATGATGATGATGATTTGACGTAATGCTATTGTTTGATGAGATGACAAAATTATGACATAATCGAAACATTGTACCATAATATTCATCTGATGGACATGGCTGTACAGACATGATACCCGAATCAGTAAGTGGCCAAATTATATTATGATTATCATCATGTTCAGCAGGACAAAATATCGATGATGATGATGATGATGACTTTAAATCATCAATAACATCTTTATTGCCATTGTTAATTTTGTTTTCAACATAATGATACGATTGGTTTTGTTGTTTGTCACCTTTAATGTCAACGTCAACATCATTTGTCACATTATTTGTCATTGTATCAATTGAATCATTTTTGACAGATGAAAATGTTTCATTTGATAACAATGAATGATGATAATAATTTACATTTTGGATACTGCTATTTGTCACCATTTCGATTGGAAATGAAAATGTTTTGGCCTTTGTTGAATTGGAATCATTGCATCGAATAACATCAACAGCAGTATCTGTTGTTGACAAGCATCGATTTGTCGAATGATTTGTTACTGCCGTTGATTTTTGCTTCAACTTAGGTGGTCGTATTTGTTGTGGTAATTGATTGTGATTGTTTGAATCGTAATGCAAATTTATCGATTTCTTTTTTTCATCATCATCATCATCATCATCATTTTTGTTGTCATGGTTGATTCCATCTGAATGAATGTCATTGACAGGCAAAACGGCAATATTCGTATTGTCAACTGATTTTAGTTGATGATTTTGATGGCTTCCGTTTGGATGAATGGAATAAATTTTCATTTGATCAGATGATTTTTGTTGTTGTTGTTGTTGATGTTCGTTTTGTTTGTTGCCATTATCATCATCAACATATTTAGGTGATAATGTTTCCATTTTATGACTAAAAATTTGACTCCTGTTAACAGCGGAAAATTTTTTGTCACCATTTTCAAGATTGATAGTAGAATCTATAGTCGAAATCAAATATGGAGATGGAGTTGTAAAAGTTGAGATTGTGTTATGAATAGCTTTGGGCAATGATTTTTTTGATAATGATGTAGAAGATTCAACCATGACGTACAACGAAGACGATTTGAGTTTATTAATAATACCATTATTGACAAACGTTGAATTGGAATCGATCAAATCGTTGTTGGTCTTTGCTGTAGTTGTTGTTGTTGAAATATTCAATACATTCATTGTTGTCGAAGTGTTCAAAATTTTTCGCATAATAGTTTGATAATTCGAAGAATTCTTGCCATTCAATTCTATATTTGCGTTTTTTTTATAGTCATCAAATATATGAAAAAGAATAAAAAAAAATTATTATTAGTGAAAAAACTTTTCATTTGAAATAGTAAGGCAAACAGCTACATGCTATGATGAACAACTTGACAAACAAACACAAATTCCATTCGGAATTTTGTTTTCATAACTGAAAAAAACATGAAAAAAATGAAACACAAATAATGGATCCAAAAATATATCACACACACACACACATACGCACATTGTAACGAGAAAAAAAAAATCATAACCAAATGTTGCACAAATTTTTCTCATTGATACATCCAATATAGACACGTTCTTGGTTTTATTTCGTTTCGATTTCATCAAAAAAAAGAAAAAAGAATTGATTGAATTACCATCAGAAAAAAAACATTTATAAACGCAAATAAATAAACGCTATAGGCTATATATATTGAATGGATATAAAGATGCAACAACAAAAAAAAATTGATGATGATGATGATGAACAAACCAACCATCCAAACGATGAAATGAAATGAATCCAAAGAAAAAAAATAGAATTCTATTCAATTCGTGATGTTATACAACACATTCATGATAATGATGATTAAACACAAACAACAACAACAACAAAAAAGCCAAAAGGCCAAAATCCAGAAAAAAAAATTCTATTCAATCAGCATCAAATGGATTCACCGAAAAAAAATAAAATGGATTCACACAGACAAACACGAATGAATGGATGGAGGATTTGAAAAAAAACCAAAATATCAGAATCAAGAAAAGTATCAGCTGTCGATTCGATTTCGATTGTCAAACAATTTTGGCTAATAGATTTTTCCTTTTTGTTGTTGTTGTTGTTGTTGTTGCTGCTGTTTGTTGTCATTTTCATTGTCGTTACGTTTTGCAACGATTCTTTAGCTTTCATTTGATTGTTGCTATTTTTCTTCTTTTTTTTTGGTTTGTTTTCTTTTCCGTTTTTGTTTTTGTTTTTTACATAGAGAGAATTGTATAGCATGTCAATGACAATTGGCAATTTTTCTCCGTTTGATTTTATTTTTATTGTTGTAAATCTATTGAATGTAAAGTCATACATTGATGTTTTAACATAGCTTTAACCGAATAGACTAATAGAATTTATGAACGAATAAACAAAACAAAACAAAAAAAGAATTTTGAATGAACAAATGAAAATGAAAACATGGAACAAGAAAAAAAGAAAAATTATGAACATCAAACAGATGGATACTTTAAATGTTTTTTTTATTCTTTGGGTGTTAGGAATGAATAAAATGAATTCATGCAGACGAAAAAAAAGAAAAAAAAAAATAATAAGGAATCGAAAATTGAATTCAAATGAAATTCCTGTTGTTGCCTATTGAATTCAATCACATTCAGTTGATTTTCTGTTTTTTTTTTCAATCATTTGCCACAATTTTTTTTGTTGGGTGGATGGATGGATGGGTGGTTGAGCGAAAAGAAAAAAAAAGGCAAACACACACGATAAACTGGCCGGAAGCCGGATACCTTGAACTAATATATATATACAAATCTACAATATATGAGTATAGAATGTATGAATTTACCGTATTTGTTTCCAACATCATCGTTCAATTTCGGTGATCATAAATCATTGGTTATTCTATATTTTTTTTCTCTCTCTTTTATATTTACATTGTTCACACATTCGATTCATTTTTTTCTAGTTTTCTATAGGATAATATTTTTTTTTCTATTACTACTACTGCTATTGCTATTTTCATTTGAACACATAAGAAGCTAAATAAAAATATTGTTGTCACTGCATATGTTGAGGCCATTTATTTTTCTTATGAATTTTTTTTCAGATGCAGGAAAAAAAGCATAAATATGAAGAAATTGATGCAACTGAGATTTTGAAGGCACAGCTGTTGACAACAACAACAACAACAGCAACAGCAGCAGCAAAAACAAATAAATTTAGACCGACATAAAAATGAGCAAAATATATAATACCGGAAAAAGAAAAACGAGACAAACTAGGGACAATAAACAAAAAAATGTGGTGAAAATTAATATGAAAATTTGACTAATGACGATGGGAAATTTTGATTCTTTCTTTTTTTCTTTCAATTTTTTCTTCTCTCTCACACACACATATAAATCCATGGTCTTATTATGCTAATAATGTTCAAAATAATAACGATAATACTTGAAAAAAAATGAAAAATAGAATGATGTGAAGAATCAATGAAAATCGATATCCAAAAAAAAAAATAAATTTTATATATTCAAAGATAAATTGATATCGATTTTCATCATCGTCATCATTATCATCTTGAAAATCTAACCACATTTAGAAAAACCCAAATACTTGAGTCGGTAACAATGGAGCGTGTGTGTGTGTGAGTGTGTTCAACGATATACCATTGAATAATTATTAGTTTATTTTTCGGCCTAATAATTAGAAGAATTTCTTTCTATGTGAAAGAAATAGAAAAGAAAAATCCATTGAATCAAGATCCATGGATGTAATTATTTTTTTTTTTTTTATTATTATTACGTTACTGAAATCAATGAAAGAAAAGGAAATCACATTTACACAAGCCAAAATCATTCAGATTTAAGATTCATCCACTTTTATTATGAAATTCTTGAATGATTTGTGAATCGTTGATTATACCAGTGGTATGTTACAATACCAGTGATATCAATTGAGAAAACAAAGGCCAAAGTGTGTGTGTGTGTGTGCTTATTTATCTAGTCAAGCGAAATTGTTATCAAAAAGAATGGTTCCGAAGAAAAATTCGGGCCATAAACACGAACATTCTTTTTCAAAACAATCTATTTATCTTTGAATTTTTTTTAGTGAACAAATTCATGTTTAAATTTGGTTTTTCCATTTGCCACATCGTAGTACCGGAATGAATAATTGACTGAAAATCATGCAATGATGATGAATTACGATGAAGATGATGATGATGATGATGATGAAAATAAAATTCCAAGAAAAAACAATCGCGACAAAAATACAAAAATGGGTAAATAGTGGTAGTAAAAATAATGGTTTTCGATTCGTAGAGTAGGCATCCTGGGAATGTCCTATTTTTTATTTTTTTTTTTTTTTTGGCGAAGGTGAAAGTGAAAAAAATAATGATGAAAAATAATATTTGCCTGATTCAATCAAGCTTTTCGTCGTGTTCTCGTTTGTTACACTTGAATTAAAAAAATTGAAATCGATTTTTGTTTCACACGATCGAAAATTGAGTTTCTTGAGTTGCTCGTTTCGAATTTATTTATAAAATAAAACTATCATAATAATAATGAGGATTTTTTTGTTGTTGTTGTCGTTGAAACAAACTCACGTACTCAATACTTTTTTGAAATTCGTATTTTACGATGTTCATTTCATCATGAAACTGGAAAAAAAAACTTTTTCCATCCAAAATGTGGTGAGTTTTTTTTTCTTGAAACGTATAATAAAAACGCACAGTATATTTATATTTGAATTAAATTAAACTTTTATTTTTCTTTTTCGACAACAGTTCCATGTGAATAAAATAAAATAAAATAAAACCAGAATAAAATTCTACGAGTCATCTAATAGTAGTAGAATGGAAATACTAATAAGATGTAATTAAATGAAAACTATAAGAAAAAAAGTGGGCATAGCAGGCGACGAATCATCATCATTTTGTTTATGTGTTTTTTTTATCATTTCCATTAACATTAACGGTGATTTTCTTTCATTTCAAAATAAAAAAAAAGAAACTATGTCGTTTTTTTTTCGTTTTGACTCTCTTTCAATGTCATCATGGAATTTTTTGTTTTGTTTTGTTTTGTTTTGTTTTACTCATTCGTTATTATTCAGTAGTAGAAAACATTTTTTTTGTTCATGGAACAAAAAAAGAAAACAAACAAACTACAGAGTAAACTGGCAAATGGAACAAAAAAACAAAAATACAATTGAACTCGAGAAATAACATGAAAGGAAAATGGCAAAAAAAAAAAAAAAAATCGAAGAATTAATGTTCACGATAATTTATTGAGTCATTTGTTTGTTACAAACAAGTAGAATTCACACCAACAACAACAACAACAACAACAAAAAAAAAAAAGAAAGAATTCAAAGAAGTATGAAACCGAAAAAAAAAGAACAAAGAGCAAATCAAGTTTGAGATTTATATATATATTGAATACTGATGCTCGTACAATCTTCGTTTTTTTTCAAGTATCGTTAATTTTAATGAATGATTCTTCAGTATTGTCAATTGGAAACTGATATTTTTTTTTGTCTGTTTGTTTGTTTGTTTCATTGTGTCTATTCACCATATGTATACTATTGTCATCGTCTTTTGGTGGTGATAGTGATTTAAGAATACTAAAAAAAATCATATGATTCTTTATTAGTTTGTTAGTATTAGTAGTATAATAATAACTAGTTATTAGTTTAATAACAATCTTTGTAATTCGCAAAAAAGTGAAAAGTGAAAAGTGAAAAGAGATGGATCGGAATTCTGTCATATGCTCGAATATTATTATAAAAGCTAACGATTAATTATAATTGTAACAAGTCAGCTGTAAATAATGAAAGCAATTTTCTTTCAGGCATTTCGAATACGACATTCTACATGCAGACAACAAAAACAGAAAAAATAAGTGCAATATGTGTGTGTGTGTGTGTGTGTGATCATGATGATGATGAAATGAACAGGAAACTTTTATTTATAAAACAAAAAAGTTTAAGTTATAAAGGAGGGGGTAGAAACATTTGATGAAAAGGGAAAAAAAATTCAAGCAAGCATGTAATTGTTTTCAATTCTTTCGATCAACACATAGCCACACACACAGACATACATAATGAGAGATAAAAACAAATTGAAAAAAAATCCCAATTAACCTCGACCATGATGATAGAGAGAGGCTAAACATCACATCAGATTACATTAATTTCACACCTGAGTTTTTTTGTTGTCATATAACACATATATATCGATTAAGATAACAAATTGTGAATTGCTGTGAAGCAGGAAAACAAAAATAAAATTCAATTTAATTAAATTAGCCCAAAGCATACATTCTTTTTTTTCGGGCATTTTGCAAACTACTTCTGACATGAAATGGTTAGAAGATGGATAAAGTTTTTTTCTCTCTTTCAAAAACAAATTTTCTGTTTGTTATTGTTGTTCAATCATTAGATGGTAAATGGTGAATCGTTTATTTCATCGTTGCATTTTTTTTTGCCGGTTACAAAGACAGAGAAATTCAACTTAAATTTTCAATGTGGCTAATGTTGCTACAGATTCTACTGCTGCTGCTGCTGCTGCTGCTGCTGCTGCTGCTTTTTGCTATCATTACTATCTGAAACCAGTCTGATTGATGCTACTGTATTCATTGTTATTTTTTTCACCATTCTAAACTTGCAAGCCATTATATTCATGAGTAGAATAGCAAATTAGTAGAATGGCGTGAATGAAAAAAAAGAAGAGCCCGAACAACAACCAAGAAAAAAAAGTGAGAATAAAAATTCAGTAAAAATTTTTTTTCTCTTTGATGTCTACTGTTGCTGTTGTTCTCTCTGATGTTCCAATTAATAATCATAAACCACTCAGCTGATTTTAAGTTGATTTTAGTGGCTTTATCAACAATCATCATAGATTATTATCGTTGTTATTATTGTAATAGATTGGTTTTTGGTGGTGTTGATTTTCATTCAAATTTTTTTTCCCAATCAACATTTTCAAAATTTGAAAAGTTTTTTTTCCCACCATTTCCAATTATCGAGTTATATAATAATTATTCACATATTTAATATGTAAATCACACAATTCTGTTTTCAGTATGATGTAGAAAAAAAAACATCTCAAACGAGGTTGTCCTTCGCATTTTTTTTCCAAGCTACAAATAAAAAAAAATCCTTCATCATCATCAACAACATTATATCACATATATATCATGTGTATATTGCCCTTGATTATTCAAGTTATATGGTTTTTCATTACATTCATCATTGAAGCGGAAAGGCGAATGAAAAAGAGAATTTTGTTCCATCATTCACGTTATGAATATGAATTATCAAATCTGTTACCCATGTCATTTCAAATATCAAATATTATGCAATATATATAAAGAATAACAATATGGATATATTATATTGGGACAGAGAGAAAAAAAATGTTGAATTCTAAATCAAGGCTTTGATATGCAGCAGATGTTATTAATTTCATTTTCATATATAGAATATTATTATATTCATCATTATCATCATCATCAGAATTATTATTTGTTACTCTGTGTCCATGTTGTTGTTACTTATCATCGTCATTTTCAATATTGTTCTCATATATATACCATTATTATTATTATCATTATTTCTAAGCTTCGAATTTTTTTTTCTCGATCCAATACCCGGTCTTTTTTTCTTGTTTTCTTTTTTTTACACATAGAATTCAGCCAATTGCATCAATATGACTAGTATCATCATCATTGAGAAAGTAGAATATAATAATAATAAATTAGATTAAATGCCAAGACGCCATTACAAAAAAAACCAACAACAATAAAATAGCAAAATTCAAATACCGAAAAAAAGTAATAATAATGGAAAGAGATAGATGGGTAGATAGATAGACATAAGATACAATTTCCAAAATAAACATAGCATCAGCAAGAAGGCAATAATATATATACAAGAAAAAAGATTATAAAGAATAGACGAACTGAAAACCCCGACATCAAATGAATGTGGATGAATGATGCAAATTGCCCTCTTGATTCTTTCTTTTTTTTTCTTCTTCATTTTCATTCCCATTTCTAGATGAATACTTTCCTTGAACACACACACACACTCAAACGTAACGAATTCTATTCAATACCATAAAGATTCACCATCATCATCACCATTCATGATTCCGCTTATCTCGATTTCATTTCATTTTCATACAATTCTTTTCGGTATATTTCTTGTTGTTGTTGTTGAATAGGATGTTGATTTATTTGACACTAGAGAGTTACAAACATACACAGACATCATATATATGATGTTGATGATGATGATGATGATGATAGTGATGGTAATGGCTATGGGTGATCATTTATGATGATAACCAATAATAACATTTTCAAATGAAATTGTAATATTCAAGTAGCAGCAATATTCTAATATTCATAGAGAAAATAGGAAAATCTACTTTATTAATGTCTAATAATGATAATAATATTAGGTAATAATAAATCGATATCTGAATCTTATTTGAATAAACTCATTTTCTATAAATATTTCTGAATTCATTATCTTTTGAGTTAATATTTTTCATTTCTCATAATGATAAATATTCATCAAAATGTAATATTGCTATGAAATCAACATAAATAAATAGAACAAACATGTAATTTTTAAACATAAAAATACAAACTAATTTATCTGCTAAGAAAAAAGGTTTCGAAATCAACGGAAATAAACAAAATGTCAACAACAAGACAAAAATTAAAACTAAAAAATGTCTGACTTGTTGATATCTTGTGTTTGCTTTTTGTCAACGCATATTACCTTTGTTATAACGGCGATGCTTGGATGAGCCATCATCTATCTACAATGTAGATTCTACATGATTCTAATTATAGTGTCTATCTATTTTCAGATAATCATAATCACGAAAGAAGAAATAGTCTTGATACTGGTGAAAAAAATTCCTGTCAAATATTTCCACTCAATGGACACGAACATTCAGGAATCAAAGAAAAAAAATAAGCCTAATCAATGGTATATCATTACTCCCTTTTCTTTTTATTCTTCATTTTCATGGAATTCCTGTGAAGAAACTTTCTTTCGCTTCTCGATTACTGGTTACTATTATTGGCGGTTATATCGATGTGTCGTCAAAAAGAATAGAAGAGAAAAAACAATGAAGAATCGATGATATAAAGAAAAAAATAAATAGTCACGCACACAACAAATAAGGACAAATATTCAGGAAGCACAATGAACTTTGAATAACACACATACACACACACACAAAACAATGACATTCAAATTTATATGGATCACATGCACAGAAACGAACAAATAGAAACAAAATAAAGCGAAAAATGAACACATACCAGAATTAGAATCCTTGTCATCATCATCATTGTTATTGTTGTTGCTGTCGTCGGAGATGACCATGGTTGTCGTTTCAAATAACGTTGATTTTGAATTTTTATCCAGCCATTGTTGTTCGTGGTCGTCATGATAATGATCTGGATGCACATACATATCATGTTGTTGTTGTAGTTGCTGCTTTTGATGTAATGATGCTGACGACGACAATTTTTTCCATTCATCATCCTTTTTGTCATTGATGAAAATTTGGTGATTGTAATTAGTTGAAACATGTTTATGTTTGACAAGAATATTGTCATCATTGGACATCACAGCATCTACGATGGATTCTTTTTCATTTTTCGTTTTAATCATTTTTCCATTTCCATGTACAATTCTTTTTTTGATATTATTATTAATAATAATAATCGGATCAGAAATGTTTGATTCCTGTTGAAATTCAGTATTTTTGTTCATCTTATTATTATCATAATTCACGGAAATTGTTCCAATATCACTATTAGTATTATTGTTAATCAACAGCAGATGTTCATTTTTATTTTTCTCATTTATTCCATCCACTATATGTTTGTTGTTATTATTATTCTTTTTATTCTGGACAATATGATGATCATTATTGACGGAATATAAATCTTTGAATACATACACACAAAACAAATATGAAAACATAGAATGAATAAAAATATCAAATTAGAACATCTGAAGGTTAGATTAATCATTCATTCATTCTTACCTGTTTTATTTTGTTTGTTATCCATGATTAACGTTGACAACATTGTTTCATTTTGATGATTGGCTATTATTGGCCATTGTTGGAAGATTTGTGAATTAGGAAAAGAATTTTGGCCAATATTTTTTGTTTGACTATGTTGTTGTTGTTGATGATCAACATAATTATGTATGCTTCGGCTTATGTATTGTTGATTTGTTAGCTGTTGTTGTTGTTTTTCTATTTCGTGCTCCACTATCATTTCCGTTGATCTAATCAAATTATTATTCTTGATGATTCTTTGGTTCATGCTCATCATTGTTGTATCATCATCATGATCATGTTGATGATCTTTTTCCTTTTTGTTCGTTGTATTTTCCGGGATCAATTCATTCATTTCATTCTGTTGTTGTTGTTTTTTCATCTCATTCTTTATAATCATCATCATCAAATCATTCAACTGATGTTTGTATTGTTTGCTCATTATTTGTTGTCGGCATATGTTGTCAATATTGTTGATGATACTTTCATTCAATAATGAATAATTCGATGACAATAGATTTTGATTCTGTAATGAAAGTGGCGGCCATTTTTGCATTGATTTTAAAAATTGAAGCAATTCTGTTGCTATTGTTGTTGTTGTTTGATTATTCAAATTAGTTTCTGTTTGAATTTTATTATTCTTCTGATTATTTTGCTTTGATTGCTGTTGACAAATTCTTTCAAGCAGCTGTATTACGCGTTTCTCATAAGATTGTTCGTTGATTTTTCTTTGTTGTTGTTGTTGTTGTTCAATAATCAGATTTCCATCGTCTGACTTTTTGTTTTGTTGTTTATAATCAACGACCGATTCTTTATTATCATTATTTTCAACGATATTGATGTCATTATAAATAATGCCATCATTTTTATCATCATAATATTTTTCTTTTTTAGGATTTTCCGTTTTTTGATTCTGCTGCTGCTGCTGCCGTTGTTGATGATGGTGATAGCTGCTGTTGTTAATGATGAATGAATTCAACAATAAATTAACTTGATCAGAATCAAATGCTGATGGTATTGATGAAACAGAATTTTCAGCCCAATGATTATCAGAATGAGAATCATTGTTAATATTATTGTCATTGTCAAGATGTTCATCCATGATAATAGAATTCTGATTCAGTTTAGAAACAAGCTGATCATGGTGAAAATTCTGATTTTGTAGCTGTTGTTGTTGTTGTTGATTAAATGATAATGGTAATGATGTTTCATTCTCATTTCTTCTTCTTCTTGTATGAATTCGTTTTTGTTCATCAATGATTTTTCGCACTGTTGTTGCTGTTGTTGTTGATGATGATGATATATTCTGATTAAAATCAAATGGCAATGATGATGATTTGGCATACGTCAATTCTTTTTCATGATTCATTATGGAATCATGTATCTTTGATTCATTACCATCATTATCATTTTGTTTGGATTCAGTTTTCATTGTCATTAGCATCATAGCATTTTGTTCAATTTGATTTGATTTTCTTCGAATTCTTGTTTTGATTCGATTATCATCATCATCTTCATCATTATCATCATCATGGTCAGAAATATTGGCTGTTGTTGACAATTTAGATCGTTGTTGTTGACGTTTCTCAACACTGTTGTCAAAATTCTTGAAATTATTTTTTCTATGCCTGCCATTCTTATGATTTTTAGTTGTTGATAAATTAGATTCATTATCATTTTTACTAATGAAATTCGGAATTTTATCATTATTATTATTATTATTATTATTGGCACTGGAATGTTTTATTGTTGACAACATTTGTTGATCATTTCGGCTATCATTCACATTCTTTATATACAATGATGATTTATTATCATGAATGGTCGAATCTTTTTGGACAACTTTCATTTTCATTGATTTCGATTCAAAATGAAATTTTGAAATCGTTTCATGATCGTTACGATATTGATAATGATAATGATGATTATTATGGGCACTGATGGTGAAGGGAACAATTTGATTGGTGGCGATCGTAGTAGTAATAGTAGTAGTAGTGTTTGACTTTGTTTCCGTTGCCGCTGTTGTTGTTAGTGTCCATATTGATGATACAATGACCATCAATAATAATGATAATGATAACAGAATAAATTTATTACAGGCAAATAGGAACATTGATCCGATACGACATAAAAGATTGACCAACAATGATTTTTCTGTCATTTTTTCTTTTCTTTTCTTTTTTAGTGTTGTGTTTCACAATATGAATTTCAATGACGACGATACGTATACGTATAGTAAACATAGACAACAGCTAAATTCAATGAAATTGATTTAGTGCAAAGAAGTAAAAAAAAAATAACAAGATGCTACTTAGCCACTGAATGGACAGAATTTATTTTGTTCATGTTTGCTCGAAAATAAAGATGAAACTATCATCATCATCATCATCATCAACATCACCGTTGCCATCATCATAGTGGTGAATGTGATCATAATAATGATGTTGTTATTGTTGTTGTTGTTTCGATTTTTTTTTGTTGATAAAAAAATAATAAACAAGAATGAAAGTTATTCTCAGATCTTGTACGGTATCATCATTATTATCATTGTGGCCATTGTATAGGATGTGATGAGGATGATGATGTTGTCATCGCTTTTTTGATTCTATCCAGTTAGACTCTTGAATAACGATGACAAACACACACACACACACACACACACACATACACACGATGCGTGATGATGGGCGAGTATGAGATGTCAATTTTTTTTTCTTCTTGGTTGTTGTCTTTTTCTTTACACAATAAAAACGGACAGAATGATGATGATGATTATAACTTTTAGTCGATAGGACAGTGTGTCTCGAATCAATAGTAGTTTAGACTTATATTTCTAATGTCCCTGTGATCATCAACAATAACAATGGCAACATCATCATCATCATCATCATGAAGACCATTGAATTGGGTGACACAGATTCCACAAGATCCAAACAACAACATTACACTGATGTTTCATATTGATTTTTTTCTTTTGTTTTTTTTCCCATTCATCTGTCATTGGGTTTTTCCAAAATTTATTCTCTATTCAGCACAGTACTAAACATAAATGACGTGTCCAACTTGTTCTGTTTTTATTGTTGTCAACTTTTTTTTTAGGATTTTCTTTTTTTTTCTTTCTCTCTCAAGGTTTGTTTGCGAGTTTTCGATTTGTTTGAATTCAATCAATAATTTTTCGGCAATTTTGTTGTTATTATATTTGGATCACATTTGGACCATATTTTTCTTGAAAATATTCCAACTAAAGCTTTTCAGCTGTTGTTGTTGTTGTTGTTGTAGTAGCTTTACTTTAAATTCGTTGTTTATTTTCATCGTTTCATAATCTACATTTGGGACGAAAAAAAAACAACAAGAAAATCAGATTAATTCAATATTTTGATAAAATAAAAAAAAGAACAAACAAAGACGAGCAAAATGAAAAAAAGTTTTTTTTTCTTTGAACAAAATTGAATTTTTCAATATCTATTTTTCTGGTTGAAAATCAAAATGGACAAATTTCATCGGATTTGCTTCAACATAGAAAAAAAAATTGAATTTGATATTTGGGTATTTCGACATCCGTCAGGAGAAACAGAAAACAAAGTTCATCTCAATCGTTTCTTCAACATTCATTTTGATTATATGCAAAAAAAATACGGTACAAATGTACTGGTTTCATCAATTTCTTGCCCTCTCAAACGTTTCAACACATCGTTTTCAAGGATAACGAATGAGTAAATTGAAGTTTTTTCTTTCGAATCGAACAAAAATAAAGAATTGAAAAAAAATGAAAGAAAATCTAATTTTCGTAAATAAATATAAATACTTTATTTTAAGAAAACAAAAACTATCGACATGCATTACACACACACACATGCAGCAGAGACAAAAAGATAGATACGAATGTTTTGACAAGAATTTTCGATTGAAAGAAATTGCTTTTAGGGCAAGTATTGAATCAAAAACATACATGACATACTTACATATACACATGGAAGGTTTTATACACATTCAGTATATCTGGGTATTGCTTATTTCTTCAAAATAAATATATATAAAAAAAACATTAAATATCCACATAAGGGCATTCACACACACACATTTATTCGTCGGGAAAAATTGATGATGGAATTATTTTGAAATTTGAATAACCGAGTACGAATATACAAAAATCACAACAACGACGACGACGACGACAAATGTATTGATACCAATGAACGCTATTGAATTTTGATTTTGTTATCGTTATTGTTTTTTTTCTACTATATTCTTGAAATTGTATTCGTTTCCATTCTTTACAAATAGAAAAGAGATATGACATTTTTTTTCGTCGTAATATATTCACATTGGAAACGAAAATATTGCAATATATAATTTTGAAACGAACATGTGTCGATTATAAGTCAGAATTGACCGAAACTGATTCAAATTATGAAAATTATTTGAAAATTGGTGGATATATGCGTTTAACGTTTGATTTCAAATTCAAGAAGTCAATTGAAAAATATCGGACACCATTTCAAATTTATGAATACATGACCAAAAATGTGAAGATTCCTATCTCGAAAAAGATGAGAATTTTGGAAGAAATCATGAAACTCGAATATGTTTCTCGCAATGTGCAAGGTTTTATTAATCTGTTCGAAGGAAAAGTTGATGAAATTAATAAAGACCAAGATTCAGTGGTTATCAATGATTTCCTTAAAGCCTTGTTGTTAACAGCTATGGACAGAAAGAAATTTTCTCATGTTATTCGAAGTATTCAAAATGATAATAAACTGGATTACGATAATTTGGTTCAAAAATTATTGCAAAGTGAAACTACCGAAGTTCCTAAAATTGATACGGTATGTCCGGTTAAAAAAGTTAAATGTTTTAAATGTAACAAATTTGGTCATTATGCTAACAAATGTACATTCAAGAAGAAAGAAAAACATACGATTCAATGAAATCTTTCTATTCCAATGATAACTAATGGCGACAAAAAACATGAAGTTAAACGTCTTACAGTGGTTTATTCTGGATCAAATCAAAAATTAAATTGTTGTTTTATTCTTGATTCAGGAGCATCAGCTCATTGCTGTAATAATCGTGATTTGTTTCTTAATCTTATTGAAGATGAAACAGTTTTGTCAACCATTAGTGGACAACGATATTCTGCTAAATCTTCTGTGTAACCGTACGTTGTTTGTGAATCAAGCAGAAAATGAAGAGTGAAAATACATTCAATGAATTTAAAAAAGCACATGTTATCGAACTTTCTGTACAAATGATTTGTGCTTGTGTTGTGATCAATTTGATTTTTGTTTCTGTGAAATTTTTAAAGATATACCAACATTTGGTATGAAATCTATTTTAATCATTATTATAATTTATAATTTTATTGTTCAATTTTCAGAATTAAAGATTACAATTTGTTGTGTAACACTTCTGGTACGATTATGTTCAATTTTGGAAATGGTTATGGCTGTGTTCAAATCGAAAAGGTCTACTTTACACCAAATTTTGATCTTAATGTTTTATCGATTCCATTGCTACAAAAGCAAGGTTTTGCCATAAATTTTCCAGCCAACGAAAAACGTTGTGAAGTTTATCGTGGAAATGATCGTATTATTGAAGTTGATCAAGATAATGATCTGTATTATGTTAAATATACATCTGTTAAGGATAAAATTGTTTGTTTCACTGCTCATGAAAAATTTGGTCATCCAGGAAAATCGATTCAAAAAAGATTGAATATTAATGAAAATGAATCTTGTAAAGATTGTTTAGAAAACAAAATGGTATCATCACCACATAAATTTAAAATTGGTGCAAATATAACCAAAAAACTTGAACATGTGGCGCCTCTGGTGTCAAAGCCTCGATGAATAGCCCCAGTCGTGTGCGATAAAAGAGAAAGCACGTGAAATAAATATAATCATTCTTCTTTCATACTCGAACTCGTCGCTACAAACATATTAATGTTGATCTTGTTGGTCCAATGTATGTTTCTACAGTCGGTGGCTCAAGATATATGTTGGTTATTGTTGATACATTTTCAAGATTTACATTTGTTGATTTTCTTGGTGCAAAATCTGAAGTAACAGATATTTTAATTAATTTTATTGTTATGGCTTCAAATCGTTATGATTTTACAGAATCGATTGGATCATTATTGTTATTGGTGTTCACCATTGTTGATGTCGTTTGATTAGTTCGACGTGTCAACCGTTTAGCCGATTTTGTTTGATACTCACTCGATGATTTTTGACAAGAACTCTGCGCGACACGGAGTTTTCCACCCTTTTATACTTTCGTCTTTTTGTTTTTCTTTGCTGATGATTAAACGGTCATATGTTGCGATCTGCTGTCGATTCCCGTCACAAAATACGTTACAATGCTTTACGTTTTCCGCTACACAACGAAATTTCGACTGTATCTCTTTATGAATAGTCATCGATTTTATGAACAGGACAAAATTATAATTGGCATTTAGTTTCTCTCCTCTTTCAATATCTTTTATTTTCAGGTATATAAAGAAGCTGAATTTTTGATCATTTTAAGAACTCTTAAGATCTCATGTCCAACCATCATAATTTTTGTTAATTTATCTAAATTTGTCAATAAAATGAATTTGTAAATCTGTACGTGAATCTTCTTGTAATCATTTGCTATGTATCAATCGAACGAAAGTTGTTGTTGAAATCCTAACGGCTTAAATATCGACCAATACTAACGTCTGTCTTCAAAATCTGGCTAAATATCGATTTAACAATATCTACGATTTGTTGCCCCTCTTTCATGTTTGTGATTAAAGATAGAAGGAGAGGAAGTTACGGTCATTTCCGGAAGCTAACTCTCACTTTTATTACATATATATTTGTTTAATATTCGTGAATGAAACTGTGAAATAGAAAAAAAACAAATGAACAAGACAAGTAGTGGGTGAAAAACAAAAAATTCCATGAAAAAAAAACGTTCATAAACAAAAGAATTCAGCAAATGAATGACGATAAAGATTATCATTAACATTTGAACAAAGAATAACAACTGCGATGACAATAGCAAAGAAAAAAAATCGTCTGATTCGATTTACGATAGTTTTTCCATTTGTTATGATTTAAAGTTTAACACAAAAAAAAAAAAATGTTTTTTTTTTGCTATCCAATTTTTTTCACGAAATAAAAGCCAAAATGTCATTGTTGATGGCACATACACAATAAAGGATTTTTCATCGATTTTTGAGAATAAAACAAAACCAAAAATAAACAAAAAACAACTGAAACATGCGATTCTTTGAGATGATAATAATAATAATGATGATGATGATGATGATAATAAAAGATTATAATGATTATCATTATTATTAAGAAATCGTAATCATAAAAAGTTATTTCAAACAACAACAACAACAACGACGACAACGGTACAGAGAAAAAA